CGCGGTGTTGCGTTTAACAAATAACACACATCCCGCTACTTCTGAGAGACCCACGACCAAACGCCGCCGATAATATTTAGATCAGCACCACAAGCCACGCATCAGTTCTGTCCTAACCACATACGTTACGAGTATTTCAATCCCAGTTCTTCTTCTAAGGGCATTCTGCCGCCTTATTTTTCCAGCCCCGTGTAATCTTCAAGAGCAACCTTCACGTCAATTCTCTTCTCTTTCGCGGAGACATTCCCCAAATTCATATACTAAAGGTTTTACACGGAATCTTTTCCGAACGGCATTCCGTCCCAATTACCGCAGTTCGGGGGGGGGGCGATTTCCGAAACGTCCCCTCGTTTTCACTCCGGATTTTGTAAAATCCTCCCCACCCAGCCCATGTTCATTTTAAAACCCCGGTCCAAAAGTCCCAGTTGGAGAAATGGTATATTTCCCTAACAAAATGACTTCTAACGACATCCATGAATCTTAAATGGAAATTTTCTTACTGTAAATTTATCCAATATAATGTGCTCTTTAATTAGCAAAAGTACTTTTCGATATTTAGAGTCCATAAAAAAGGGTCAAATTTCTTAATCTTAACTTTAATTGAATTAATCATTAAAAAAAATCACCTTAACAATGTGATTATTATCACTAGTCAATGTTTTGAGAAAATATATAGTTAAATTACAAAACCCTAAACCCTAAAAGGTTATTGAAATAAAGAATATTTTCTGTTATGATGAGTTAATATAACTGTATTGTTTAAAATCTGGCTATAATTTATAACTTTATGGATGGTAAAAATAAATGCCACCTGCCAGAATTGAACTAGCGACCTTTGCATTACAAGTGCAACGCTCTACCACTAAGCTAAGGAGGCAACTTAGTATATATTTTTCTTAAAAATATATACTTGACTATATAGGTAATATTTTAACTTCTAATTTTGCAGCCATTCCATATCATAACGTAACGCAGCACGAAGACGAAGAAGTGGAGTATTCAATAAACAAAGGATTTACGTTATTGGCGCAGACAAGAACATATTGTTGTGACTTTAACCTGGACACTCGAGGATAAAGTTACTGTCACTATTGCTGTTTTTCGTACAAGACGAATGTATCGATTTCTCTCATATATAAAAGGAACAACTCTTCAGTTCCAATGTATAAAACTATTTATGTTATATAGACTACTCTGTTACAAGAGGATGAGCGAGTTACCACTCACTGACCTCAGTGATAGGTCAACATGCCTATTTAACGTATATCTACCCTCATTAAAGCTTTAAGTTCTTACCATTCTGATACATATATAGAGAACTAAATAATTATCATAGCTACATCCATAAGTTCCCAAATTAAGAAGGGGGGGGGGGGCAGAATTATTGTAACAAATACCTTAATATATTAACCAGTATATCTACCATTAGACTAAACTAATATATTAGAATATAGTACATATATTGCGTCTTTAACTAATATAATACTAATTCACTATCTAATAATAACAGGTAAAATAAATACAAATAAATCTATTTGTAAATAAATTTTAACTAAAGAAGATATAGGTTAACAATTATTAACAAACAACAATCAACATAATATCTAAGAACAATCAAAACCAAATTGAAGAGTTAATGAAGAAGTTTGACTCTTACTCTAGAAATCATGAAGCTGAACAAAGAAGAATCAAAGAAGAAAATGAAGCGAGGTTCAAACAAATGGATGAGACATTTGATAATATGCAAAAAGTAAAAAATAATCTTCAATCAGAAACAACTACAGCTATAAATCAGATGAGAGAAGTCTTAAATAAGATTCTAGAATCGAAACAACAAGCTCAATCTGCCAGGACCCTACCAGGAAAAACAGTTGAAAACATTTCTTTGGAATTTGCTAGAGTTGAAAACGCCCAATACGATCTCGAACAAAGAGAAAAAAATCTAGAGACTGCCAGTCTGAGAGAGTAATACAGACTCTAAATAGGTCATTAGCGACATATGTGTTGTTCGAACCTGAGTGTTGGGATGATTACTTACCACAGATAGAGTACGTGTAAAACTCAACCCCAAATCGTATTCATAAGAAATCACCGTTTGAGGTTGATCTAGGATATCTACCGCCGTCAGACAAGAAGATACTAAATTAGATGAAACAACCAAAATGGAAGAGAGATCCTTACAACATAAATTTGAAGCTGAAGATATTGCGATTGAAGAGCTTAAACATACGATCAACAATCCATCAAAAGAAGCATTTAATTATTTGTATGATTGCTACATTGGACTAAGTGATCAAATGAAAAATATGCAAGATATAATAAAAAATCCAAAAAACAATTTTAACCTTGAAGAATCGAAGAAAATATTAATAAATAAAATCAAAAGAAATTTGCCAGAGATTATTCTAGAAGCTGATCACCCTGCAATCGGAACTTGCACCAAACCTTACTCTGATACTAGCATACACAGGGCTCCAGAAATGATCATCAATTCAGGTCCTAGAATCGATAAAACTGATCAAATACTTGCTATAAAAACAAATTTAATCAGTAAGAAGGTTAAATTCCAAGAGTGGCATTGCTTTTTATCCTTTTGTTGCACAGGATTAGCACTCAAGATGCTGAAAAATCGTAAAGGCGAAATCATGTCTTGGACCGATTGCATCATCAACTTTTATGACGGTATAGGATTCGAAGATATAAACCTAGCCAAAATACAAATTTTATCCAACAAGGAACCCCAGGATGGTGAAAAATTGTATGAATTTGTTGTTAAACTAACCCACGAAGCTATGGAAATAATTGGCTATAACGTATTTCCCATCATACTTAATAAAATAAGACAAATTTATCTTGTGTACCTACCAAAGAAAGCAGGCCCAAAGGCTGCAAATATAACAAATTACCCAGAATTGCTTGATTTTCTGGATAATAAATTCCCTAAAGAATTAATCACTAATAAGAGTTCATCAACTAATACTGCAACTGATCTTTCTCAAATATCAACCAATAAGAATAAAAATAACGCCTCCCATATGGATTAGCATCTGCTCCTTATTTATGGGGAGAATTCCTTCACTCGCTAATTTCCCAGATTCCTGCATCTAATCATACCAAAATAGCTTATTATTACGACGACATTATTATAGCATCTACAGATATAGAAGATCATAACCCACTTTTAAATCAATTACTACATATACTAGAAGATAATGGACTTCGCATAAGCTATGAAAAAGTTCAAACTGCTCAACCACAAATTAAATTTCTAGGGTATATTTTAACCCACAATCGTCTGTCGGTTGATCCGGAAAAGAAAACTACCATACAAAATTGGCGTTTACCAAAAGAAAAACAAGCAATTCTAAAATTCACAGGTTTTGTCAACTTCTTATGCAATTTCATTCCAAATGCATCTGAGCTATTGGAACTCTTCTATACTTCCATTAAACACGATAAAAAACATCAACCACAATCTTCCCATATTGCTCCCAAATTACAACAAAAATTTGATGCCATGAATCAATGGATCACACGTTCTCTTCCTCTAAAATTCCTCAACCCAAAGGCTCCCACTATTATTTACACAGATGCTAGCAAATTTGTAGCAGCATCCATTGTTTTGCAACTAGAGATCCAACGTGATCGAACAACTCTTTTCCCTATAGCTTTCTTTTCTATACGATTTACTAGCACTCAACAGCGATATCCTACAGTGGACCGCAAGCTCTGGGCTGTCTTACATACATTAGAAAATGTACGTCTATTGCTATCATAAAATATAACAGTTTATACAGATAATCAAGTCATCATTGGTATTGGACGATCAGAACGAAAAACCCACCAACGTCTAACAAAATACCTTGATTTCCTCAACACTTATCGTCTTACTTGGAAATATGACAAAGGTTCTAACAATATTATTACTGGCTACTTAAGCCGATATGGTCTCGATGACCAAGCTACTTTGAATATATCTAATAGCGAAAAACATGACACTACAATCACAGCCACACATACCTCCCATTAATGCACCAATTGTTGACTTAAATGCTTCAGAACCAGAAACCACGAATCTCTTAAACAGACTTACCAAAACACCGTCGATCACACCCCCACCATTTACTGCTACAACTGTATTTATTTGACCGGTAGTTCTAGAGTTGTGAATAATATTAGTTTATGTTGTAACTTTAACCTGGATACTCTAGAACAACGTTACAAAATTTGGGAACGTACTTATAAAACTATGATAACCCTTTAGTTCTTTATATATGCTCTTGCCTGCGCCAGTGTCGCAAATCCAATGATTATTATATACTCCACTTATTCGTATTATATTATATTATGAAAATCATTATAACATATATTGCGAATATATTGTTATTTGTAACAGAATGGTAAGAGCTTAAAGCTTTAATGAGGGTAGATATACGTTAAATAGGCATGTTGACCTATCACTGAGGTCAGTGAGTGGTAACTCGCTCATCCTCTTGTAACAGAGTAGTCTATATAACATAAATAGTTTTATATATCGGAACTGAAGAGTTGTTCCTTTTATATATGAGAGAAATCGATACATTCGTCTTGTACGAAAAACAGCAATAGTGACAGTAACTTTATCCTCGAGTGTCCAGGTTAAAGTCACAACAAGATTCATCATAAAGCTTAAAAAAGTACTATTCATTCATTATAAATCAAATTTTTAGATATTTGTAAATCACCGCCAATTCAAAATCACATGACTGCCTAATTGTATTGATTGGCCTCTTAATAATGCTTTTAATTATTATTTAATTGTATCTTTAATTCGTTTTACGTTAGCATGAAGGCTGTTAGGCGTTTATTCTATAGGATCTTAAGGGTTGAGATCTGTAAGCTAAAGTAAATATACTTGTTAGTAATAATGTAATTGTATATCTTTTTTTGTACAAAGTAAGATACTAGATATGTAGAGAATCATGTTGTGGTTTTTCTACCGAATCATTCATAGTAATAGATTCTTTATTTATTTCCAAGGACATTCTTAATAAGTTGATATTGATCCGGTGTATTAAAGTATATAATATACACATGGGAATATAGTACATATGATAAGTATCAATTAAGATCTCATCATTTCTTATATACAGTGTTGGAAAAGTTTTAACGTCAGAAATAACACTTTCGTGTAAAGTAACATCTCTTTATCCTATATGAATAATGTCGTAATACGTATATATCACGCGTTACCTCATAATTCTGACAAGATAATATACAATAATATACAATGATCTCTTTAAATACCAATGTTAATAGTATGGAAGCAACAACCTTGTAATGACACACATGTCTTTACATGTCTTTACTGTCAAGGTTACTTCATACGAACCTTGAAGGTGAAAAAATATGTGTCACTACAAGAATGTTGTTACATGCTATTAACATTGATATTTAAAGACATTATTGTATATTATTGTATATTATTTAGTATCTTACTTTGTACATAAAAGATATATAGAACTTTATTATTATTAACTAGTATATTTACTTTAACTTACAGATCTCAACCCTTAAGATCCTATAGAATAAACGCTTACCAGCCTTCATTCTAACGTATACCAAATTCAATATACAATTATGTAGAGAATCAGAGGGTTGTGGATTCTTTACAGAATCATTAATAGTAGTTGATTGTTTAGTTGTTTGCAAGGACATTTTTAATTAGATGATATTGATCCGGTGTATTAAAGTATAAAATATACACATGGGAATATAGTACATATGATAAGTGTCAATTAAGATCTTATCAGTCTTTATATACAATGTTTAGATATTATTCACACGTCAGAAGTAAATACTTTCGTATTAGAAACATTTCTTTATCCCTTATTAATAATGATGTTTCATATAATTCTTCACCCTTATTAATATTGAATTAATGAGTATGACTTTACGTCATCTCATAATTTCTGACAGAAAATATAAAAATAGATAAGGCTTATATTATAAATAATTAAATTAGTCACACTCTATAGAGAGTTGTCATTTGGATATAAGAAGACAAGTTCTAATCTAATATGAAGGGTGAACACGAAAGGATAGAAGGCTAGACTACAACTTTTTCCTGTAACCTTTAAAGGCCAGTTATGGTAAAAATAAGTGTCGGAATGTTTTACTATTTATATAGTATTATATCCTAGTAATTAATCAACAGAAGGTTGAATTTCTTCTTCTGAAGCTAGTTCTACCAACTGTTTATTTATTTCTTCTGATACAATAAGTAAAAGATGAGATGAAGAGAGTTGATAATGAGTAACTGCAGATTACGATTCCCTCAACCTATTTATATACTTTTAAGTTATATAACTTGTTTGATTAATTCGAATTCCATTTAGTAATCTCATTGTACCAAATCGAGATAGCGTTGCTGAGATATCTCTGATAATCTCAACTTATTTTGAAATTTAAATTATTACACTGCAGTTGGTCTGTTGTGAGAGATAATTGATAAATGTTTTTATTCCAAATGTAAAATATTGTAAACTATGCCATTTACTGTCGAGCGCATACTGCATAAAATATTATCCCCGTAAGTGAATAATATCTAATGCATAAAGGTATGATTATGTCACCGTATTGGGAGTTAGTAGATTATATTTTAATGTTGAACAACGGTTACTTCATTACTTGATTATATTTTAATTAGTCATAGGATCTAAAGTTTTTGATTCGTCTTGTGATCTGAAATATTGATACTTACATATCAAATCTTGTCTTATCTCTTACATTTGGAGAAATATTCATTTAGTGGTATGCAATGGGAAAGTTGAATATAATAATCACAAAAAAAGTTCTATTTGTTCATGAATTTTGTTCTATAAGTAACTGGCATATAATTATATTTATTTAGCTCGAATTAATCGCCTATTTCTTGACAACAACACCTTATTAATTAATAATTTTTTTTACTATTTTATCTCCTATTATCATATTCTTTTCGTGATAAACTAAAGGTTTTTACAAAATTTGTTATGAAATCAATGGTATAAATCGAATTATATAAATCTGTATTAGTTCATAATAATATCAAATTTCGAAGTTCATATCATTGTCCTTTTCTCCATAATTAAACCCGGTAGTAATAACCATATATGTATATCAACATTACTGAACCAAATTGATAATTTTCTTCTGTTCTTAATAATTTCATAGGGAAGAAGTTTACTTAATTCGATCATTTGCCCTGTCGTTAAATTCTATTAAATCTATTTATCATAGTTCAAATATACATTGTTATAGAATGAGAAAAATCATAGAACAAGTTGAAGTAAAATCTTCCTAAATAGCAGAATGAGTTTGAAGTGATAGATTAAAGATATGCAAGGAATTTTAGTTTAGACCATATATAAAGAGGAAATACATGTTCCTTCATTGACCAATTCTGTTACCATATCATGTATTTTAAATGATTCAAAAATATTCAGTAGCTTTTCCATGTTTTCAGTTGAAAATACCTTAACCATGCGAGTAAGGACTATAATTCTACCGAATACATCAGGGTTGGAAGCCCATCCTAAAGGAGAATCAGTAATTGCAAGTTCTTCAAAAATTCCAACACAGTATTCCAATAATTCATTTGTCTTACTAAATATTCCTAAATTATTGGTATCCATTGAATTAAGCATACCAATAAATAATAATTTTTGCTCAATATCATTTCTATATTGGTTATCTTTTTCAACATCAAAAAGTGTTTCAGTAGCTGAATCCTTAAGTACTATGGTTAGCTGCATTACAAAATCTACCAACTCATCTAACAATAAATCGGCGGTCACACTTGACTGGACGCTTTTTCCAAATTTTACTGCAAAATCCTTTGATGTGACATATGGACATTTATTTTCTTTATATCCTTCCAGTTTAAATAAGGAATGATTTAGATACTTAGACGCCTCAGTCCTTATATCAATATCATCATCAGACAGCATTTTAAAAATTTGAATTCCTGAAGCTGGATTTTTGGTCTTCTCAAAAAATTTTATACTACAACGTAATGCAGCCAATCTATAATTTTCAGAGTAAGTATCTCCACAGTACTTTTTAACTTTATTCCAAATATTTGTGTCAATTAATAGATGCCCGCCTATTACTTCAATAGCTGCAAGTTGGAGATCTTCACTGTTTGGAGTTTCTATCAGATTAATCAAACTTTTTATAGGTAGTTCGTCTTTAGTTCCTTGTAGTGCCAAAATAACTTTTGCAGCTAATTCTGGCATTAAATTTCCCTCATGGTACATTTCTAACAAAATACCAGAAAGAATTGAGTACTCGTTTTTTGATAAATCATAGGAGTTTAAGATGTGAGTAACTGCAACTAATTGAACTTCAAAATATGGGCTCAATAAACCAAGTTGACAGACTTCAAGTTTTACTTCTTCTTTTTCATAATTAAGTAACAACTGTAAAGCTTTCCCTAAGCATAACTGCTTACTTCCATCAATTGATATAGAAGAGTTGAATGAAACAAACATATTTCCTATACTGGAAATCAAATATTGATATTGTACATCATTAAAAATATCCGAATAGCCAAGTAAAATTTCAATTATTTCAAGATATGCTTTTATTGTAACAAAACAATTATTCTTTAAAATAATCTCAGAACAGCAAGAAACTATGCTTTCTATCAGATGTTGATTAATTTGCACCTTAAAATTAGATTTATTTATCGAGTTCAAAATGTTTCTTACTGCTAATAGGCTACCATGACATTTATTTTGATCGACAAGAGAGATACTTTCTAATAAAATAGAACATTGTTCTATTTGATTGTCAGATAACAAGCCCACCGTCCTTGCAGCTATATCACGAATTTTCCAATTGGAGTAACTTAGACATTTATAGATTTCGACCTTGAATTCATCAAGACCATTATATCCAGGAGTTGGTTTCAATCGTTGCAATAAACTTATAACTAGAAAAACAGATTCCAAGTTGTTTGAGTTTTCTACTTTTCCATCAACCGAATTTGTTGAATTCAACGAATTTCTTAATGTTGATAATAATTCTTCTCTTATATGTTCATGTCTTGTGAAAAATAATCTCGCACTTATGCTCTTTCCTGCTTTACCAAACAATCTGTTTTGAAGTGAAGTGAATAACATGATTGAACAATTTCTAATAGCCCATATATCGGAAGTAAAGTTTGACAGGGAAAGAGATAAAGCCTTCGAAATATAAGGAGAGCACGCATCAGCCAATTTTGATTCAATAAATATAGCCTTTATACAATTTAATGCATTTATTTGGGGAAGATCATATTTATCCTGATGCTCACTTATTTCCTCTGTTGCAATTCTCATAAGGTTTTGAACCGCATAATCCAAATCAACTCTAGTCTTACCTATTTCTGAACCTAAAATAGTAGTGATTAGAAATGGTAAACCTCCCGATCTTCTAGTAATATGCTGAGTCTTTGTTTCGATAGAAAGAATAATTTGTTTCAGCCAATTATTTAATTGATCTGGTATCTCTTTTCTACACTTAGAACAACACGATTCGAAAGTAGGCAATACTGCCTGGAATGCACCGCTATGACGTATATTAATTAATTGAGAAATCAAAAGATTACCTATCGATGTATACTGACCTCTGTTCAGTGTAAATTTCTTCAATAAACTATCAAGCATAGCAGAACTCTCCTTGATCGATCTAAATGCATAACTTATAATGAGTTGGTCAGATACACCTGACAATTCAAACTTTTTCGGTAGGATACCATCGGATGCATCATGAGTAACAATTTCTTTGACTGTATTCCAAATTTTTAGAACTTTCGAAATAACCAAATCTGAAATGGATTCAGTGGAACTAATCTGATTTGATTGTTCCCAGTTATTTAATATAAGTGCGATGGCAGTACAATATCCACTGATTGGAAAATTGACATTCGAGATATATTCATCATCATTATTAGGGATCTTGTTTTCTAATTCCAATAATAGTCTATTTATAAACGAAATTTTGTCGTTTGAAATGCAATATAGGAATTCATACAAAGATGCACCCATATCACTTGATTGATAACGCTTTAACATCGAATTAGCTTTATGATACAATGCTTCTATATCGATCAATTTTAGCAATTCATCAGAACGATTAGAGTCAAAGGCTATCATTAAATTTTCTCTTGCAGACTGACGAATATCATTGTAATTACTGCATAGATTATCAATTAATAATCTCAGCATTGATTTCTGGGTGAATATACTTATTGAAAAGGGATACTCTCTTTTTTCACGATTGTCTGTATATTTAGCTGGTACTGAATCATCCAAGCCTGACTCAATTATGGATTTTAGTATTTTAAAAGATGCATTCATTCTTTGATATTGCGAACCTGGACAAAGTTGAAATTGAATAAATTTGATTACCCATTCAAAAAATTCATATATTTTATTAATTTCGGTCAATTTTTGTGATTGCTCTTCAGGAAACTTATTTGCCTTTTTAAGTTTTCCAAGATCTCTGTTAAGCGCATAAGAAGAATCTCTTAACCTGATGATAAAATGTTTGAAAGCACTACAGAAATAGTTTCTGGTTTCTATTTCATTGTCTACCATAAAAGTCCCAATATTTGAAATGATTATGTCAAAAATATATGGTTTAACTGGTTTTGATTTCTTAGAGGAAAACGTTAATAATTCAAATGCACTTAATTTATAGTCATCTATCTGTAATAAATCTTGTAATACTTGTAGCTTAATCAATTTTTCATTATGAAAAGGCTCTTCTTCAATGGATAATTCTTGACCAATTTTCAAAATGGATAATAACTGATGAGGTTTTCCATCTGGGAGTAGTTTAATGAAGGCGTAAAACATTTCCTTTTGAGAATTCTTTAGTAAAGGAATTAAAATGTATAGTTCAATTGATTTAGAAAATTTTGCATCATCTAAATAATATAAAACAGGTTTTACCCAGATACTCATCCATGCGTCTAAATTAGCTAAATCTGAATTGTAATGAAATTCAAAAATATTCAATAATAATTTTGAAATACCTTTACCTATCTGTGTAGATAATGAATCTGAATACATCAGTGATAGAGAGGAAATGATTAAATCTTGATCTGAATCTAACAAGTTGTTCATGTCGACGTAAGAGGATAAAATTTCTAACATATAATATTTCACTTTTAAAGTGGAAGGGATATTCCTAACTTTATCTATCCATTCGGTTTTAATCAAAGTGTCCAAATGATTTTTATCGAATAACAGATATAATAAGGCTAACATTTTCGTGAACATATCTTTTAAAGCATTGACCAGAGCAGCGTTTCCATCTGTCCAAAAATCAATCACATATTGAAATACAATTGAACCTTTGTCTACAGTTAAAAGTGAATTCTGAACAATTGACTTGTAATCTTCCTTAACATGATGTTTACCTTTGATTACTTGTAAGGATCTTTGTATCCAAATTGCAAAGGAATCAACCAAAAGCAATCTAACTTGATCATTCATATCGGCATCATTATTGTTTATATATTGGAAAAGAGAATTGAAAACGTGTTCAAATTCATCCAATTTTTCAAGTATATCATTATTTTGCAATTTCAATGGATTAGTCTTTAACAAGAATTCTTTTGAACTTAGAATTTCATCTCGAATCAAATTTGATGCTTCCATATCTAGACGAAATTGCTAACCTTGTCGCAATGGTTTTCTTAAATGTTTTTTTTGTTGATCTAATTTAATAAACCTGATTCCACAGCAAATGTAGACCCTGTCCACTGGTTTTGGTCTTTTCAATCAATTAAAAAACCAAAATTCGATGAGCCATCTCATCTCTTCTCTTTCAATATCCTATTTCCATCTTGCAATTAATTTTTATTTAAATTTCTTTTTCTTTTTTCTATATCCACTTTGCTTTGACAAAGCCAGACGAATATGGTAATAATGGGTACATAGTAACCGTCTGGTAGCGACCGGTAACAAAAATAGTAGTAACAACAATTTCTTATTAATTAAGTATCCTAATATTAATAGTAACTCACAATGATATGGTTTATCCTAAATCAACAACTAAATTAAAAGCAATTATCAAATTCTATTAATAATAGCATTTATTGCATTCATGAGAAGACCCCAAATCTTTACTGTGCCTTTCATTACCACCAATATCCTATAACACAACATTGTCATTTTTGTTAACCTTCTCCTGTATTGTAACCTGATCTCAAATTAAGTAATAGCTTAGGCATCAACGTCATTAAAACCGTAAATTCTTTAATGTATCCATCAACATAACACCAATCAACGTACATTAGGAACAGCCCAAAACTTGGACTAACTACTAAAAACTATTATCTTGGTGTGATAGTGGTCCCTTATTTTCTCTTCTGTTCTGTTCTCTTTAAATGGCTTTAAGTTTCAATATCAATCTATATTTTAATACATAGAAAAAAAAATAAGCCAAATTTTGAAAAATTATTACCATTTTAATACAATGACTACCAGATACAGATTGGGTTCAAAGTAGTATATGTATTGGTCAATAATACTCTAATTGGTTAAGTTTGGTTTAGTTTTGTTTTAGAACTGTCAAGTTTTGATTTGAACTCGTTAATTTTGTATTTAATCGATACCTGATTGATAAATTTGTAAATTTGTATTTCAATAATAGTTGACTGGTAAAATATAAACAGGTATTTTAAAACTGGTTAATCACAATGGCTAGAACTACTGCATCTAATAGTGAGAGTGAGGCAAAGACTAGTAAGTCTACTAATACTGGTTCTTCTTATGGTGGGCAATCGAATTCAGGTGCTAGAAATACTGCTAAGCAAAGGCTAACTGCTGCACAAAGTCAATATATTAAGAATTTGGTTAAAACACATATAACGAATAATCATCCAGGTTTGAAATCCAGACCTCATCCATTGGACTTTGAAATGTATTCTGATGACATATTACGTCGTTATAAGGATCATTTTAAATTAGGCACAGAAGATAATCTAACACTTGATGGATATATGCTAGGTTCACAGTTGGGCTCAAGAACATATTCTGGTGAATTGAATAAAGTAGGGAAACCTGAAGCAAGGGTGCTCAAGAAGGATCTTGCGGATGAAGTGAAAAAACACTTTTTGTCATATGGGATTAAAGAGACCGTTTGCATTCCTCATTTCATATATAAAGTAAAGACCCAAAAGAAAAAATTCAAAATGGAATTTAATGATTAATTCATGGATTATGTTTGAAGGTTAAAGCATACTTCTTAATACGGTAGCGGTAAATAAGGTTAAACTAATATAAAATTTAAAATTTAAAAATCATGAAGTTACATAAAACTTAAACACAAATTCATACAGAAAATATTGGGCATTAATTGACACTTTCTTCATTATTTTGTATTTCTAGATAAATAAAATGTCAATTCATATTTTTTCATATTATATATATATATTATAATTATACGAGTTGTAAAGTTGAGTGCTGTGCGAAATACGTAACCAATTTCACTGGAGGAACATTCTTCCACACTATTCTAGAATTATCAAACATTATAGTATCCAATAGTTCTTCTTCTCTTAAACTAGGTGTCTTATTTTCAATATTACCCACTATAGTCAAGAAGTCAAATTCCGTGTAGGTATACCTGTTCGGACTACAGGCTTTCAGTTTGTAAAATACATGTATCTTGGGCAATTTATCAATGCTAGTTTTTGAATTATCCTTTCTGATTCTATTATATCCAATAGCTACTAATTTAAAATCAACACAGCATCTTTCGTTTGGGGAGTCATAATCTTGTGTAATAAATTTTTCATATATCTCATTCATTTTGTCTGGATTATTTAAAATGTCTTTATCTTTGTTGGTAATTATATTAATTATTGTGTCTTTAGATAAATGCATACCTCTTTGAATACAGGGAATATAAGCTGGATAATCAGGTATATTATCAACCCACATTTTTGGCTTTTTTTGAAAGAAACTAATAGTAAATGCTATCAGCCTTCTCTGTGATGCAATATTTAGAAAAAAACCTGTCTGTATTGGGCCCCATTTTAATTCTAATGGTAACGAATTGTTCAAATTGTATTCGTTGATTACTTTCGAGACTATATTTGCTTCAACTTGTGGTTTTAGATATCTAACCACAGGCGGTACTGGGATGACGAACCACTTAAATGATTCCTTTAATTTCAGTTTATTTGTTTCACTTAAATTTTCAAAAAACTCTCTAAATTTCTTTAATTGAGATATTCTGTCATCATAAATTGTCACTTCTTCTAAAGACTCGGAATAATATTTCATAAGGTCGGTAATTAAAGCAATTTTATATTCAGCAGTCGTGGAGTACTCTAATTCTGTCTTTTTCAGACAAACTGCATTGAATTTTAACGTGGGTATATCTGATGAAACAATTTTTGTAATTAATGACATGAATTGTTTTTCTTTTCTCCCAGTCAGGATAATTGAGATTGTGTCACTATCATTGCATGACAATTCAGCTAATGGTAAGATATTTTTATTCCAGTAAGTTCGTTTCACCAGTGAATTGCTTTTATATTGTCTACTTTCGATAAACATCTCTTCCAGTGACCTTTGATCGGACCACCAATTACCACTGGGTAATTTCTGATTGTTCAATAATAATGAAACTAATTCTTTGGAGTGTAACGATCTATTCAAATGAGGAGATTTATAAAGTGTATTATCAAAATCATAAATATGTATTTTTTTAATTGTAGATACAGGAACATCTGGCAATATCAATAGCTCATCACAGCTGTTCCATTTCTTTAACACATGGTGGTCGAACATTTATGGAAATGTTAAAAGGAAGGCAAATGGAAAATATATTACAAAATATACTTATAGACAATACCACAATCGTCCAATAATGTTAAGTAGTTGTACAAGACAAAAGCTATTTCTATCTTTGATACATAAACCAATAATCAATAGTGTAATTTTTTACCACTGATTAATAAAATTATTACGATATTAGAATTAGTACTGCTTATATCTTCAGTGTTATCAGTGAAACAGAGTTCTACTTAAAAAAAATTCATCAAATATACTGGTATAAAATTTCAAAATGCATGCTGTCATTGAGTAAACATTATATCATCTCATCTCACCTCATCTCATCTCATCTCATCGATCAATCTGTTCTTATCATTATCATTTCAGCAACTTCTTAGATATCTTTACTATGAAAGAATAAAATTTTGATGATGAGATGTTGACATTTGTAAAATGTCCGGTTAATCCGCGGTTTAGTCGGACACATGTCACGGGATAACAATAGGTATTGTTACCCGACCTTTAAATCGGATATTGAAAAATTTAAAGCTTTTCTCGAAATCTGCAATTGTTTATATTTTAGGCTATCAAGAGCATCTGATGAATGAAGATATAAAGATCCAATTCTCTAAAAAGGTAATACTAGAGGACCAGTGCACTCTGAATTCTGACTTTTCTGAACCCGATCTTGTGCGACTTTAAAATAAATCTCAGTTTCTGTTATCTTTATTCGTTTTGCTGAGGAAATTAGAGTTCAAAAATTAAAATAATAACAAATTGAGTTAAAGAAGAAGTTATATAAATATTGATTAACCGTTTGGTGATTCAGAAAACAATTCTCAAGATCAATTCGATTTCAAAGTGAAAATTATAGTCATTTTAGGTAATTTAGAATAAATACTTGTGGTTAGAACAGATTGGTAACAATGGTTCTTACTTTTAAGCAAATTTCTGATTATATTGAATTATTCAATGCCGATGATCATGGTGTGGATAAGACTTTCCAATTGATTGAGAAATATTTATTAGATAATAAAAATATTATAACTAATATATCCGCTCTTCATAAATTAGAAAAACTTGAGAAGGCAAAAGATGTGAAACTTTTACAATTAAGAAATGAAAGTTATACAATTACAAAAATTCATAATGAAAAAGCATTTATCATATCACAGTTAATAAAGTTGGATTATGACGAAACGTTAAGAATATTATCACAATTTAAGGATTCTGATTGCAATGATATAGTTAAATCGACCTCAGAAGTATTAAAGGAAAGAAATTCAATAATTGATACAATTTTGAAGATATTAACTGATTCAGAGCTACCAGTTTTAGGTAATAGATTCTCATTGTATTTTGCAACTAATAAGGATACTGCATGTAATGAGGTTATCAAATCATTGAAGTTCTCAATAGAAAATTTTGAATTAACTGAAGATTATTCAACACTTGCACTATCAGAAGATGAATATACAAAAATCTTACAGGAGAAATTATCTTATGATTTAATTTATATTACTAATTTATTAAGATTATTTACAATATTGTCATTAAATTCAATGCTGGAAACTTCTGTGGTTATCTCTTGGTTTGAATGGGTTATCAATTCTATTTCTTTTATTGAAAACATTTTACAAAATAAAAATAATGTACCAGCTCGTATCATTGAGCAAATAGAATCTTTAATAGTTATAAACTCAATGTTAGTATTAGGATTGGATAATACTGACTCTTCGATTAATATTAATGCTCCATACTTTAACGACCCTCAAACATTTAAAAGATTGAATCAAATATTCACCCAATATAGTTTTAATCCAGTAATAATTTATATGTGGACTTTTGTACTATACTCAAAATCATTTCTGTTGGAAGAAAATCAAGATTCAGAACAAAGCTTTGCCAATGTTGTCTTCAAGGACGTATCAATCAAGTCATTAATTGCACATTTTGCCTCAAAAGCTGAAAATAATGGTGCTCTCGAATCTATAAAGATTATATCGAGAAATTTATCTTCGGATAAATTCTTTGCTGCTATTATTTGTTCATTTTTGACACTTGCATTAAACTTCATTCCTATTACTATTGAAACTTCAGAAGTTTTTAAGTACGTTCTCTTAAGGTCACCAATAGATTACGTTGAAAAATTTTTAACAAGTGAAGCATCTGAAAATAAGATTACTATTTTGAAAGCAAAGCTACCATTGGTAGAAGAAGCCTTATTACCATTAATAAATCTAACAGCGGTTAATTCAGAATTTGCCCAATACATTTGGGATGAGTTAACAACATATACAGTAAAAACTAAGTTAGGTCAATTAGACTATGATTTAGTAGATGAAGGTGGTTATTCAGAAACAGATTTAATCGTTTTAAAGAAAGAAGCTTTAATTGCCCCTCCATTAGAATACGAAAAAAATGCTCTAATGCCAATTCCAGAAAATACTAAAGCAAAAATTTTACTTACCAACCATTCAGATGAACAAGATGTCATAGTATTCCTACTAAAATACAGTGGTTGGTCTCTATTAGGAAGATTATTACAATCAATGTATGAATTATACAGTGATAAAGGTAATGAAATAAATCTTGTCCATAAAAACGCTATTATTTCAGTTATAGAACTTATTTCAAACTTATTAAAATCTGAAATTTCCATTGATAAAAGTACGGAAATATTAAATTCACTACAGAGTAATATCGAGTCCAATGATATTGTAGCTCTGATTTGTAGAATTTTTGATTTGGCATTACAAAAGAGAAGCTATAAAATAATTTGTGCATGTTCAGGTTTTCTGAATTCCTTGTTTAAATATTATCCAGATTTGGTTTGGTCTTACTTATCTAGATCAAGTATCCTCGATAGATATGGGAAGACGGGATACGCTACTACGATTTTAGGTTCCATTGAATTAACAAGTGGTGAATATGATTTTACTATTTCTTTGGCAAAACTTGCAAATTTATTAGCTGAAGATTCAACTTCACTAGGTAATAATTATCCAATAAGGGCTCGTTTAGAAATATTAGATAAATTCACTTCCCACCTTTTAAGAGTTTTTGAAGGATACCACTTTTGGAAATATGCAGATATTTCTCAAAGATTCAAAATCGGATTGCATACAACTACATTCTTCAATGCGGTTGTATATGATGTATATTCCATTGATCCAACTTCTAAACCGTGTGACAAAATTACAAAATCAATGTTTGAGTCATCTAATCATGTCATAAATTCATTTTTATCCCCACATTCGCCAGATGTTCATGCTGCCAATGCCTTAGTGAAATTATTATTATCACCTAAAAATAAGGAGATGCAATTATTATCCAATAAAGTGTATGGCAATACTTATTCTAGGTTGATTATATCTTCATTCGAATTTGCAAAGACATTACTAAATACTAGAACAGCTTTGCAAACACAGCCAAGTACATTTGAAAAATTACTCTATGAATCATCCTCGAGTCTAGTGGAAATATACGAAAGTAACTATCGGTTGAAAAAGTACATTATAAACGTATTAGATACATTAATTGCTGCACCATGGCCTGAGGATTACCCATTTTTGTTGTCATACTTAGGTGAAGTTCATTCAAAGAATTTTTTATCATCGATTATTAGTGATTTAGAAAGTTCTTTAGTTAATTACAATATTACTTTCAACATCTGTAAATTTATTAGCAGTTTAGTGGAAAGCAATCAGGATGGGTTAACTATATTATTTTTAACTGGTGAATTCTTACCTAAGAAAAGTCCAAAAGGTACCTCAGACACTGCTTCTATATTAAATGTTTTAAAGAAAATTGCACTGGATATAGCAGTTATGCCAAAATTAGTTGCTTGTCAGCTTCTAGAGGCGATAGCCTATTCTTTGAATTCATGGAAAGGTGTACAAAACAAAGGTGGTGATAAAGAATTTATTGAAGCTTTGATGAAAATATTAAGCGAATTTAAACATCCAGTGGTAAATGCAAACATATCAAATACAGATATGCATAAGGTTTCCCATGGTTATAAGTTAATCTCAAGAATAGTAGAGATATTTGCTCTATTTATATATTCTGATAACGACAATAGTGCTAGTATAATCGAGTTTTTGAAAAAGAGAGATTTGATATCTATTGTAGTTCCATTTTTTAAAATAGATGGATATGATAACTTAATTAATACTTCCCTTCAAACTGAGTTTGAGGCTGTATGGCCAGGACTAAAATTAAAGAGTTTTCTATTATCCCCATATTTTAAGAACAATACCGTTTTAGAACACCCTGACTTTAATTTATATTTTATGGACAATTATTTCTCTTCTGATGAAAATTGGCAAATATTCAGAAACAAATTAGTACGTGCATCATTAAGCATGGAGTTTGTTACTTCAAAAGTTTCAGCTGCAAAGGCACTAGGTGCATTGATAACTTCTTTTGTTCCTAAAGCCGGTACATCTTTAAATGACACATATATTGGACTCGTCAAAGAACTATTAAAAGTTAATTTTGAAGAAACAATTAATTCACCTTTGCTTGCACAAATATCATGTGAACGATTGGAATTATGCTTTTACTTATTATTTTCCTTGGAAAAGGCGTCTGTTAGTATTGATGAAAAGACTTTATCGGATATATTAAACCAACTTATGTTGCTATTTAAGTCTAACGATGTTTCCTTTTTGGATAACATCTCTAGATCTTCTAACAGTAACGTATATAGACCAATATTACGTTCTATTCTAATTATTTTAGGAATGGTGAAAACTAAGACTCATTTCATCGAGATGATATCTGATCAGTTTTTGGAATTTTTTGAATGGTCATTTTGTAAAGGAGGCCATTTAATTTTTGCAGACATATTGTCTGATATAACTATATGTTCAGCAAAGGGAGAAAATGTATCAATTTATAGTTTCAGCGAGAAATTGCAAGATTTATGCTTATTATTATCGATTTTTTCTAAATTGAAGTCATTGGGTCCATCTGATGATTTCAACAAAATCATGGCATCTTCGTTAAATGACGTTGGTACCCTAAAAGTAATTCTAAATTTGTATTCAAGTTCACATCTCTTTAAAATTGATGATGAACCAGTATTGGGATCCATTACTTTAGCATTTATTTCTGAACTTTGTTCAATTGAAGATATTGCCCAAACATTCATTTCAAATGGTTTAATATCAGTGTTATTAGAAAGTCCGTTGTCTGTCGCAATTCAACAGGGTGATTTGAAACTCGAAAGTCATTCAAGGCTACATAGCATATGGAGTCATGGAATATTAACAATTCTGTTGATTTTATTGAGTAAGTTTGGCACGAAGATTTTAGCTGAATCCATTCTTTTTGTTTCATACTTTTCAAGACAAATTAAATCCACAATTTTAAGTTGGTCTGATAGCAAGCTATTGATTTCGACAGCTTTGATAAGGGAAACCTCGCAGTTAATATTATTACAACAAATGCTAAAGATTTTAGGATATGAAGATTTTATCTCTAACAGTAGCACAATACAAAAGTTTCAAAATGAATCAATTGAAGTTGAATTAGTACTTGGATTGGATACTGTAGACGATAGGAGACAACTAAGTTTAGCATTTAAACACCTACTCACTCATCCAAAATATTTGAATTCGAGAGTTGTACCAAGCACTGTCGAGGAACAGCGTATCTTAGAAGATGAAGAATTACGCAACGGATTTGTATCTACGATCACTAAAAGCATTCAAGACCTACAAGAGTCTTTATTTAAAGAGATTTAGGATATAAGATTTAATGAATATCTAAATACGAACTTATAGAATTATGTATAACTACATATGTATATACTATTTAAAGATATTAATTTCATATTTATATTCCCATTATATTGATGCTAAGAATAAGCACCAAGAGTTAAAGTTATATAGAATAAATGCTAAATTGTTACAATGATATGAACTGATTTCTTTCAAAATAGTTGTATAATAAACTATAATCTAGTCAAGCTAGTCTTTGAGTAGTTTTATGTTCGTGGTATTTTTACCAGTGCGTCGTTAATGCTGTAATCTTCATTATTTTCAATTTTATGTGACTTATTATTGTTGTTAACTTTAAAAAATGTCCTTTTATTGGTATCCAATTCCTTATTCTTCTTGTTTAAGTATTTCAATTTACCCTTTTCATTAGCCTTTAATCGTTTATCCCTTAGCAATTGTTCGATTTGAATAAAATCCTCCCTGGAAGTATTAAAAATTAATGAAATATCGGTTTTTGCCTCTGTTGAAGGTTTATATTTTTTCAAATTATGTTTTGATATTTTGAATTGACTTTTGCTGAAAGAATGTGGTATATCGTTAAACAAACGCAGTGATTTCATATATACTTCATCCATTTTTTCTCCCATTTCACAGCCTCTAGATATTATATCATGAAAGTTGAATGAGACATGCTTGTTTAATTTTACATCTTCTTGAGAATCTTCCTGAGACACTCTAATCTGTCCGTTTGATACATACTGGTCTATTTCTATATTCTTTTGTTTAGCCACCATGTTGTGCAACCCTTCGAATAAATGATCTAATTTTGATTCTATTTTCTCACAAACCCAAGTGGGTACCTCTAATTCATTGACATCAAGACAACTTCCAGACTTCCTTGACGACTCTATAAGATATTTTTGCCAACTCGAACTGAATTCTCTTTTCATCATATTGGAAGCATGGTTCATTGCCCTTTTTGATACTTCACCTTTCTTCAACTCTGACACCTTCTCTTCAACATCACCATCCTCATATAATACATTTGTCTGTGGATCTATAATTGTATTCGGATTTGGCCAACTACTCCAATTCTCCTTAACTTGAGTTCTATAAAATTGATCTATTTCAAACATATGCTTTTTCTCGTTAGCCTTGTACAACAGAACATGCAAAAGATACGACGAATACAAATGCAACCCTAAATCAGACCTATGGGACTGCTCTAATGAATCTAACAGTCTGTTAGCAGTATCAATTATCGATTTATCATTATCATTCTCTGACATCTTGCTTAATACCAATTTCTATAGCATCTTCTTATCCGTCCTACCTAACGTTTAATCCTCTTGTCTCTACCGAAGCAAAATCAATTTGACTAAAAAGTTAAAGACCTGCAATCACCTGAATCCAACTGTAATCACTCTTGAGCAACGCTAATGAACCTTTAGATTCAGCAGCTGAATCACAATAATACTGCATTTTGCTTCTGATATCTCTTTAAACTTGATGGTTTCTTGATTGTTGAAATTTTGATACTGAAAATTTATTTAGTGAATAATGAAAAAAATGAAAAATATAAAGAAACCAGACAGTGTAAAGAATAAATAATGAATACGTAATGACGAGGAAGTAGTAAGAATTATTGATTGAAGTGGGATATAAGTAGGTTTACATTGAATTGTGAAGTCTGTTTAGTGATAGTAATTATTTATCTGCCTGGTTTTTGTTTTGGGAAAAAAGAGAGTCAGTAGAAATTGCTTATAATATAAACGAAACTTTCAAGATGCCAAAGTTAGAAGAGATTGATGATTATAATGATATTGATAATTTGGAGATGGATTTAGCCGAGCTAGATCCTACTTTGAAGACTCCAATTGCTCCAAAGATTGTTCCAACAGTAGTGAGAAGCCAAGATGAAGAAGAAGAAAGGTTCAAGCAGCAACATCAGCAACAACAGGAACTATCCAGAGATGTTGAGAAGATTAATTTTATTAACCCTCAGACTGGTAAGATTGAAGGCACCACGACTATGAGTAGAAAAGAAATGGAAGAGATTAAAGGGTTCCAGGTTCTGTATCCCTGTTATTTTGATAAGAATAGATCACATAAAGAAGGTAGAAGAGTTCCAAAGGCTCTTGCAGTTGAAAATCCTTTGGCAAAGACTTTAGCTGATGCAGTTCGTGATTTAGGGTTACTATGTATATTTGAAGGTGAGAAGTGTCATCCTCAAGATTTTGGTAATCCTGGTAGAGTTCGTGTTCTATTAAAGGAAAATGGCGAACTAGTCTCTTCTGCTAATCAATTCAAAGGTGGTAAAAGACAATTGATGAAAAAAATATCTGAATTCTTACAAAAAAATCCTACTACTATTGAAAAATTAAGAGAAATTCCATATGGCTCAGATTTTGATAACATTGAATTCAAGAGAATTCCAAAAGTCAAAGGGTTCAAGATGAATGATATCGTACCGTTACACAGTCCATATTTAATGGGACATCCAATGTGTAAATCGATCTATGAAGCACCACCAGCGCCAGTAGCTGGTAATGATAAACCAATGAAATTACCAAAGAACAAATACAAAGTCATTAGAAGGTGATATAGATATATGTAAGCAATGAACCATTTTGAATTGAATTCCATATAACTAGATGAAAAAGGGTTTGTTCAATGTATAATAATAATAACAGTAGTAGTAAGGCATATGAATCTGTAGAGATGACGATTTATCTGTAATGAATAAAATAGAATAAAATATATATAAACAAAAAGTAATTGGATGTCTAAAACATAAAATGTTATTTCCCTTGATAAAAATAATACGTAACAATAAATTTATAAAATGATATTTAAAGATTCAGCAGCTTATTTGTATCTCATAATAGAAGCTGGAGAATCTGGACCCAAGTAGGTACCAAAGACCTTATCCCAGAAGTAGTTTGAAACACCGAAACCCAATTGATAGTTCTTGTAATGATGTTCCAAGTGATGTTTCTTAACTTTACGCATGAACTTTGGTAACTTAACATGGTGGATGAAGTAGTGAGTTAAATCGTAACAGATGTAACCTAACAAACCACCAGCAAAACCAGCATAAGCCCAGTATAATGGCAACAAACCAAAGACCAATTTGTAGATTGGTGTACAAAGGACTAAGAATAAAGCTGGTGGAACGACCAATCTATATTGATCCATTGGCAAATAATGATGAACACCGTGTAATAAGAAATGTAAAGTGTAGAAGATATTGTGTTGTGGGACCCAGTCATCTAAATGGAATAAGAATCTGTGTAGACAGTATTCAATCAAAGTCCAGACGAAGATACCCAAACAGAATAAGAAACCAGCAAAGATGTTGTTCATGTTGTTTAAAGCTACACTTAAATGGTAGACAACGACAGGGCCCCAAATGATTGGAATCAACCACCATGGAGTCAAAGAAATTGGTTCCAAGAAGTTACCAAATAGTGGAGCAGAACCTTTACCGTAATGTCTTGGTCTGTGAACTTGATCAATGTAGAAATCTCTAGTGAAGTTACCGAATAACACTTGCCATAACATTGGTTTGTTTAAATCAAGGAAATGATGGTCTTGGAAATCCTTACCTAAATCAGTAGCAACAGTAAATTTTTCTTCAGCTGGTAATTCTTTAACGAAGACAGTTGAATCATAAGTACCATCTTGTAAATTAACCTCAACCTTGTGATCCTTGTTGGTTAATAATCTAACTTCTTCTTCTTCAGTGGCCAAATAACCGACTAAGTATTCATCAGAGATGAATTTAAATTCCCTAGTCTTAGTTAATTTGGTAATATCCTTACCTGCATGTTCCAAAATTGAAGAATCGGCATCAGCATTATCCTTTAGATAACTTGAAACATCATAGATTAATCTTTCCTTTACACTAACCCAACAGTCAGCTTCAGTGTTGTGTTCTTCAAATCTGCTCTTGGCAAACAATTCTAAAGTTTTGGAATCCTTAGCAGACATTACAAAAAATATGTATAAGTTTGCTAGTTAATCGATAGACTACTATTCAATAGAACTGACCTACTAAACCCAGAATAAGAATATTACTTTGAATATTAGCCAGAAAACAAAACAAAACAAGAGAGATATTACAATACTTCAAGAACAGTAAACATACTTTGAACTCTAACAGCATTATCTTTATATATCAATGAAATGAAATAACATCTCTTGGATTAAAATGTTCCGGTACTATATGAATATACTGTAATAAATTATTAACAATAATTAATAATTAATGCCATTGCATGCATCGGTTAAAACCTGCTAATGAACAGTTATGCTACAGGACTGTTTCCAGCGACAAAGAGAGAAGTGAAGTAGGCAAGAACAAGAACAAGAACAGCATCCTAAAAAGCAATGAAATTGGCATAAGCACACAAGACATAAAAGACATTTCTTAATCTAAAACTAAAAAGATGTGGACCAAACCTCCCTTCCTTCCAGATAAGCTGAAATTACTGTAATAGTTTTTAACCTGATTGATATTTGGGTAAATAATCGTAAAAGCAAATAACTACTACTTGATTGCTATAATATGATTCGAATAAAAAGCACAAATTGTGCTCTTAAATCAATAGCAATCCAGTTTTTCAAAATATAATCTAGAATTCATTACGCACTCTCGAGCAATATCTCCTTTAGCTTTGGCGTTGGTGTTGGTGTTGTTGGTGTTGTTGTTATTGTAATTACAATTGCTAAGTTCTTAATAATAAATATCTACTTGACTTGGTATCCACAGGTTCTTGTAACTCGAAATTCTTTTGAATTGTGGTCTTTCGAAAATATCTTTTTATTTTTCTTGGTCAGACCTCGACGCAGAACGCGTCAATAAAAAGAAACGAAACGAGGCATATTGGTGTGTGTCTGTACAGAAACCACAATAAAAAGGAAAAAAAAAGCAACGTGAAAAATTTTTCACGTTGCTTTTTAGAAAGGAACAGCATCTCAAATCAACCCAAACAAGCTCAAGCTCAAACTGAAGCTCAATCCAAGCTGGTTTTCAAGTCTAAGTCAACAAGCTCTCTGTGGATTCGTGTTTCGTTTTGTTGTTGTTTAGCAAAATAACAAGATAGTCAGTTCCGTTCCTCTTCTTGTATAACGGAATACTGAGAATAAAGTGGAAGACATTCATAGAGACTCACTCCACGCTACCGGTTGGCTCTTCAGTTTGAAGTGACATTTTAGCAACTCTCAAGGTAACTTACTTCTGAATTTGGATATTACTTCATTTTGGGTAGTAGACGGGATTTCTTGCTAATTGTTTGTGGGATGAGAATCAGAGTGATTTAATAGCTTTATTGCTCTTACTGTTGTTCTTGTTCCCCTTTAAAAATATCTTACGAAATGCAACACATGTTAAACGAACAAATCTTTTTCATTTGATTAAACGACGTAGAATGTTTCTTGTCTGTAATATTATTTCTATATCTGTAATTTAACTATTTTATCCTTTCGTCGTTGCTCTCTACACAGCATCCCTACTTTCCATCGTATATTTATTTCTTCACTTGATTCTAATCAAGTATTTTTTGTCATGTCATAACTTTTAATCAACAATTGAGTTAGTGGAACTTGCTTGTTTGACTACCTGTTCCCGCATCTTTGCTCGTTTTATTTTTTTTCTTGCTGTCACTCGTTTTCTTCAAATCTCTCTCTAGGTTGAGATCCGAGATTTCTCTCATACTTTGACGTCTTCGAATGTTAATTTAATCGAACAACAAGAATGAGATCATCACTCGGGGGAGGGGGAGATAATTACTTTGTAAACTGGATTAATGAAATGGGGGGAGAGATCCACTAATTGTGTCACTACGATAAAATTATTCTAAATACTTCAGTTATCTCACAGTTCCTGTCGTTTAATATGAAACTTTCCTTTTGGGTATCCACAATTCAGTTTGTTTTAAGTGTCCGTGGTATATAGATGTCATTAATATATTTTTATATAGAATAGACTATTACATATTGACTTCAATATAGGGTCTTGGGCATATATCTGTCTCTGCTTGCCATGGCTTCACCCAATACTTAAAAATGAAATCATCGCCTCAGTTTGATTCTTAAAATAAATATTATGCCTGTACTAGTATTATATCGTTTTATAACATTTGTTATTGCTATGGTCCATTGGCTCCAACTAAAATATTTTCATTTACACTATCTGTCATCATGGCAATGTTTGTTTGATTCATAGTTGAAGTCGGTAATTGTTCATGTTGTTCCATGTATAACGTGTGGTTCACTAAATGCAAATATGCATACATAAAATTACTCAGTAACACTTGGTCTCGTAATGCTCTTTTTGGTTCACTCAATTTTAAATGACTTAACCTATATATTGCCCTCTCAACGTTGACAGGCAATCTGTGATCGAACATAATAACGGTAGATATCGTCAATAGTGGTAAGGGAAATCCAAATGCACTGTCTGTAAACTGTATTGGTCCATTGGGTATATCTGATTTATGTACATCAGCAAATACAAGTTTACGAGGTGGAAGAACAGATTGGATTATATTTCCTTGCTCAACTTTATTTGATGGCTTCTGCTCTTCTTTTCTCCTTCTATTTAATTTGTCATCTCTTGAAATTGCATTGTTATTCTTACGCTTATTATGACGACGTTGCCCTGAAGCCCTTGGTTTATTCGCATATGGATCTTTACTACGAGTTTTAGTTTGTCCCATTTCCTTATTCCCAGAAACAACCCTAAAAGATTTTCCACTGTCAGCATTATTGTTACTATTAATATCATCATTATTATTATTATTATTATTATTATTATTATTATTACATTCAGAATTATTAGCACTATCGTGTTTAGTACTCTTAATACTTACCGCCGGTTGCAAAGATAGACCTTGGTTTTCTTGTTCCGATATAGTCTCTTCAATTACATGTTCTAGCACATTTTCATCAGTTTCTTTATCATCTGGATGACTTTCATTTTCATTTATATATCGATCAAGGTTTGAATCAATTGTATTCATGTTTCTTTCGCTGTCGGCTAATAAATTAGTATTGTTAGTATCTGGTTCATCTTCATCTATTCTGAAGGTTGCCGATATTGGTGAAATACTACTTTTGCTTCTTGACTCAGAATCATTCGTCGATTTGTTGGATATTATCGACGCTTTACGTAGCTTTCTCAAACTGCTAGATGATGATTTACTTTTCAATTCATGTTTTTGCCCACCGGCTTCTCTATGTACCTTGCTTGTTGATTTCCTTGAACCTTTACGTTTAAATAAATCTCCGAATGTTTTCTCAAACTTTTGTTTTATGTTATTTGATGATTGATTAGATTCCCCTGAATCATTCTTTTCTTCACCTGTTGATTGAGATTCAAATGGTTTAAAAATTTGAATATGACGATTTTTTGAAGTACGGCGACGATTATTACTGGAATCTCTTGATCCAATCTTTTTGGCATCATCTGCCTCTTGTACATTACCATTGACAACAAAACTTTGCATACCTTCAAAAGATTGTTTTGAAGGTTCATTTTCGTGTTCTGTATGATTTTTTTCATGACTTTCACCATGCCTTTTAGAAAACCACGGCCATGCTGCTTTTCTGGAATGGTGCTTTTCCGGTTCATTTTCTTTGGCTAATAATTCACTTGGTTTTGAAGTTTCGATATGCTCTTTATTTATACTAGTACTAGATTTGTTGTTTAGGCTGTTTTCTGTCCCATCCAAGTTATCAAATTTGTCACTGTCAGGGACTTCATAAGAATCGATTTCATAGGAAAAATCATTGTTTTGATCTTCGATTTCATCACTGGGTTCTGTATCTAGCTTTTGAACAGATGATGTATACGAGTAACTATTTGTTATAGAACTGTCAGTAAAGCTTGTGTCATCATGTTTTTTAAATTCCATGTCCCAGTCTGAACTTGGTTGACGGTAATGATCATAAATATCTTGAAAATCACTTGCAGCTGGGGAAGTTTTTAAGGACTCATCGTCTTCGTTAGATTCTTCGGCTTTTAAATTAACTTCTGGTAGTTTTCCAAAAGGATTTTTAATTTCATTTTCATTTGCCTTCGAAGAAGAAACAGAAGTCTCCTGTTTATCATCAAAGTTCTGTTTCTTCGGACTTAATGAATCTGAGCTTGAAGTTCTTGATCTATATGTTGTGAATTTACTTCGTCTCAACGAAGATCTTGTCGGTATCATTAGTCCATTCCTTAAAACCATGTTTGACACAAATTCATCGTTAAGAGATTCCTCGTCTGATGGATTGTCCAGCATTATATCTCCTGCACCATCACTCTCAGTCTCATCTTGGTAAGGACCAGTAATGCTTAAGGATCTTGCTAATGAAACCGCGTCAGAATCTGAAAGACCTACACTGTTTGATATTTTGGTCAATTCAGCCGTGATATCCTTTAAGGAAATAGAATATCGTTTGTTGTCAAACGATTTTGATGTTTTTATTGAATCCATTGACGTATTGGCGCTATTCTCATTGGTATCTTTATTGTTTTTGCTTAAATTGTTTTCATCAGTATTGTCTTCTTCATCATCGGAGTTATTGAATTCCGTATAGGACTTTCTTAGTTGAGATGGTCTTCGTACCAATGATCTATTTCTTCTCTTGTATGCAACACTTAATCTCTCTCTATCCTCATATATGTTTTCCTTGTTTTCCTGAGGTAAGACTTTTGAATCTTTATCAACATCCTCATTTGACTCCAAAGATAAGTTATTCAAAGAGTTTTGTATCATTTGGATATAGTTATCTGGCATCACATTTGGATGTTTGTCAGCCGGGACCCAGAGTAGATTTTTCTTTGTAGTGGAAGCTTTTGAGTTGTATGCCATCGAATCAGGGATTGTATTCAGGGATCTTGATCCGCTTAACTTTCTCCTAGTATATTTGTCACTCCTGTTGCCTGAAGGATTTGATGATCTTATAACTGAAGATGGTAGAAATTCTGTTGATTTAATCCCTAAAGGGTCATCTGAAAAATCATCATTTGCATCCAAAGGTTGCAAATCTGATGTGATGCTGCGTCTTTTGCTGTAAGTATCTGTGCTTTGTTTGTTGATGTTAGAGACTCTATATTCTAATTCAGGGTCCATCAACATATCCATAGATCCAATAGAAAACCTCTTCAAATCCTTGATGTGTTTTAGTTCTCTATCTAGGGATTTGGCAGCAATTAGAACTGCTGATTTCCTTTTGTCATCCATTGATGTAGCATTACTTGAAAGTAAGCGATCATTAGATTGCTGTTCACGAAGATTTGTATCTTCTGTCCTAGATCTCTCAGTGGACATGGTTTAAATTTGTCAAAAATCGATAGGAGTAATTTTCTTAACGATGTGCCATTTGAATAATCAAACAGATTATTGCGATTCACGATTAAACGAGTTGGGTATGGAGCCTCCTTGTCAATAACGAGTTGATGTGTATGCTAATGAGTAACAATTTCAAACGTTTTTTACTAATCAACAACGAACGTGAAAGAGAAATATAAAGAAGTGGCTGAATGGTGAAGTTGTAGTATGCTGGAACTATGATAAAACAGATGGAATTGATTTGAATGGCTCTTGTTGCCACAAACGTACCACTTACTGCTCTTGTAGACCTCTAACCAAGTCTAGATCAATCATAAACTCTGACTATTAATAGGTTCAATTTAATATAATATAATATAATATAATATAAGTATGGGATGGGTATATTTCATAGATCGGAAAGGGAAAAGGAAGAGTCTAACGCGTTTCTACTATGTGTCTCGTATACGGTGATGGATGTTTTTTCTATTGGGATACTATGTAGCACTACAAGGAACTAAACAATATACAGACATGCATATATATACATACAGCGGGAGGGGAGGGGTACTCCCCAATTTCCACCTATTTTGTATTACAAGTTCAGATGTATGATTGTTCTCTTAACTTTCCAAACTCATTCATCCCCCCAACTGGCCCCAGCTAATATATTCTTGGCATTGAATCCACATCCAAAACCCTGTCTGTAACTTAGACACTAGGTAGTACCCCCATCACCACCACACAATCGTTTCTTTCCAAACAGCACCTGTGAAAGCATGCTAAACCAAGTGACAGACTCGCATTGTTGTTCGGGCCCACTCAACGACGACACAACCTGGTCGATCTGCTCAGAGATAGACACTTGATCGTCCGTCTTCACAGTGGACATATTACGCAACGTGTCCTTGAACAGTTGCACCTTGGCCTCATCGACAGGCATCGACGACACCAAATCTGTTATTCCAATAGCTAAGCACCAACAAATATAAAAAGTAGCAAACCTCATAACAAGAAGACCAGAAGATCTAACACACCATCCTGAACCAGACTCCACTCCCACTCCCTCCCCCCAGCCACTGACACTTCTCCATTTACTGACACCTTCTCTTTATATCCCAAAGCCAAAGCCAAAGCCAAAAGCAAATAAATCAGCTCCATTATGGCGTTCGTTTGACATCTCGGCCAGTGTACAATACAAATCCCACAATGAAACAAGCAAACGAAAAGTTGTGCAAAGAAAAAAAAATTAATTAGTTAATCAATTAATGGAAAAGTGAAAAGTGAGAGGTATATAAACTGGGATGAGGAACCGCAATCAATACTTGTAATTGTTTATTGTTTGTTGTTTAATTTCATACTAGTTCTTTCGTTGGGGTTCAGCATCAAGGGACAAAAAACAACTGTTAGGTTTCTTTTGTGTATTCGATTCGTTGTTGTTGTTTTTCGTTATGTTTAGGTTACCTATTGTTTCTAACTCTTTAAGGGTTTCTCTTAAGAATGGTAATGGAGCTATTAGATGTTTAAGTTATACGAATCGTTTGAGCAATGAAAAAATATCACAGACTAAACAAGATACAAGTTCAAGTTCAAGTTCAAGTTCAAGTTCAAGTTCAAGTTCAATTCCGAATCCAAATTTTACTCATTTTGGTTCCAAGACCGTTGCAAAAGATGATAAAGAGAAATTGGTTGCTGGTGTTTTCTCTTCTGTGGCTACCAAATACGATTTGATGAATGATTTGATGTCATTGGGTATCCATAGATTGTGGAAAGATCATTTTATTAATAAACTAGATGCTGGTAAAAGACCAAATTCTAGTGAACCTTTGAATTTTATCGATGTCGCTGGTGGTTCTGGTGATATCGCATTTGGTTTACTTGACCATGCTGAAACTAAATTCCACGATACCGAGTCTACAATGCATATCGTAGATATTAATCCAGATATGTTGAAAGAAGGTGAAAAGAGAGCAATGAACCAGAACAAGTACTTCAATGACCCAAGAGTTCAATTCTTGGTACAGAATGGTGAAACTTTGGATAAAATTGAATCAAACTCAAAAGATATCTATACCGTCTCCTTTGGTATTAGAAATTTTACTGATATTCAAGCTGGTTTAAACACTGCTTACAGAGTGTTGAAACCAGGTGGTATCTTTTACTGTTTGGAATTTTCAAAAATTCAAAACGAAGTGGTAGACCTAGGTTATCAACAATGGGCTAAATTTTTGCCTGTTTTAGGTTCAATTGTAGCTAACGATTATAATTCTTATCAATATTTAGTAGAATCTATTGAAAGATTCCCTGATCAAGAAACCTTCAAGTCAATGATAGAAAAAGCAGGTTTCCAATCCGTTGGTTATGAAAGTCTAACTTTTGGTGTATGCGCCATCCATTGGGGTATTAAGGTTTGATTTGCTTTGATTTGATTTAATCTAGTCTAATCTACTTTATTCTATTCTAACCTAACCTAAACCGGTGTTTGTGTGTGTGTGTTTTTTCTTAAAAAATCTCCCTTACATTATTCGCTATTAAAATTATGTTTGTAACTAAACTCCTAATGATATTCCCCACTCCCCCCCTTCCTCGTATGACGTCCTCGTAATTATTACTATCTATAATGCTGTTGTTTTTTTAGATTTGATACGATCTATATACAGTTTATATTATATACCTATTTGTACATAAATTCCTAGAAAATTAACTATTTCAAACTTTGTTTGTTACTTTAAATAGCTTCTCTACAAAAACCAATCTCCCAAGAAATATCTTGAATCGAAATCAAAAAATTAACTTCGTTATTTATCCACTTGCTCTCTAATTATTCATTTACTCCATAAAGTTTTTCACTGTTACAGGTATATCAATTTTTGCGACACCTACATGGTGATCAAATTTAATGCTTACTCGAACACAATAAAACCTACAGCACAAACAACTCTCAAAACTAGGCACTAACGTCTCCCTAATTTCAGGATTGTACTCTAGATTAACAGATACCTCTCTTTTATAGCTTGATGGAGTCTTTTTAATCCATCTATGAATAATCTGATCAGTAAATTTAGACGATATAGAAGTTTTGGATCCAGAATTAGAATTAGAACCACTGAAAGTAGTTGACAACCTAGTAGCACTGGAACTCCTACTAGCGTTAGCTCCTCCGTTAGTCATAGATGGAGATATAATATCGTTATTGGATCTTAAAGTCTGAATTTGCTTCTTGAACGTTTCATTCAAATGAGTTGTGTTAACTTCGATGTTTGCCAAACTTTCTACATCATTGTAAATTTGTGAAGATACAAAATCAGTGAATTTAAGTTCACGTCTGTTGCTGCTACGATTGGAATTGTATAGGTCATTCAATTCAACGATCTTTTCATTGAATTTCTTATTGTATTCTTTAATCTTAGCCAAGAAATCAGCAAACCTTCTCTTCATATTCTTGATTTTTTCATCATTCATTAATAATGACGAATCTAACTTGATTGGGATAGAATTGTCGGATTTTGCAGTAACACAGATCAACTCAGTTGTAACTGACTGAATCTCAGGAGGATCATGCGGCGCACTATTATTAGACAATAGACAAGATAACTGGATATCTAGCTTTTTCAATGAAGTTTTCTCATCCTCAGGTAGTGTACTCTTTAATTTTAGCCAATTTTCTTTATCATGCTGATTCTTCGATGCGAACCTATTAGTCTTCCTTAATAGCGATGGTGACCAATAAGTTAAACCTATTTTAGGAACCTTGCAGGTTAATACAATGATACCCAGTTTCTCAAGTTTACCATTTGGAGAGATATCAGGTCTGCTGGAGTGCATTGCTGACGAAGAAGAAGAAGGTGGTGATGGAGATGATGAAGGGGTTCCGAGAAGACCAGCGAAAAGACCAGATGTTAGGTTTGATGTGGATAATGATTTTGACTTCATTTTATAATTCAATTCTGCCTCAACGTAGTCATCCTCAAATTCCATACTCTTGGAGTCCTTAAATAGGCTCAGACGCTTATTCTGTCCATTGTCGCCATCTATATATAATTGTCGTACTTTTCTTTCCAAAATCTGCTCCGAGCTTAGACTTGAGTCATTAGAATATCTAGCTGTGGCAGAGGTTGTATGGATATCATCATCAGTAATAGGTTCATTATTTTTTAATCTATCAAAAATTAATTCTAAGGCTTTCAATCTATCCTCTACTAATAGTGTGATATCTTTCAGTTGTTGCAGTGGTTTGGTATCATTATATACTGTTGATGAGAAACCAAAAGGTATAACTCTGATATTATAAACCTGTTCTTTCATAATATTCAACTTTTGAGATTTCATGTCTTTACCGACAATCCTTGCGTCGATTGTATAATTGATGGATAAATTCTCGTCTATAAGATCATATGTTAAGATTGGTGAACCTTTAATACCTAAATGACCACAACCTAAGACACTATTAACTTTAATTCCAGAGTATCTTCCATTGTTTCTATATTTATCTAAACCCAAACTTGGAGGTAACAAACAATGAGCGAATTGTTCCTGTTTACATGTTATATCTAATAACTGACTTGGTAATTTAAAAGTAAAAAATTTTTTATATTTTTTGCCTGGCTCCAGTACTCTGTTGTTATTTAATCCAATGATAGAGTGATCATAATCGACATCACCGGCTACTAAGTTTACACCAGTAGCTAGACACATGTTAGTATAAGACCAGCTTGCACTCAAATCGACCATTCTTAAAAATCGTTTAACGGTTCTCTTTCCCTTCTGTCTATCTATAACAGAAGTATATGCCTCCAATGTGACATAAAACATTTCAAATTTCAATGGCTGAGATGATCTATTCTCTATAATACAATAACCATGAATGACATCACCAGAAGTATATTCCTTTAGAATAGATTCTTCTTCTGGCTTCTCATGAGGTTGTGGGGCATGTTTTGTTATACGTATATCGACCTCTACAGGGGTTGTAAGTTTTGGTAAAGTATATAGTTTATCGATAAAAATATTATCGGAACCATTTAAGTCATCTTCAATTGGGATATTATTATCGATTGCTGCGGCGGAAGTAGTTGATTGTAAATTTAAATGCTGAGTTGATAACGGATGTAAACTATTCTCTATCAGTGAATTATGAGCATGTAAATTTGTGGATGAAGAGGAACCTTGTATGGAATTGGTATTGCTAACAGTCAAATCTGAAGAACTATGGCTAAAAGGGTTAATGCTCATTAAATCTGGACGTTCATGGATAGGTAGAATAGAAGAATGCTGAGTTTGAACTTCCTGATAACTTGGAGGGAAGTCGTGACGATCTGGATCGACATTACCTTGTGGTATATGTCTATGCAAAGTATTGTACATTTCAAAAGAGGGTAATAAATCTACCAAAATGCTGCTACTGCTTGAATTTGAATTTTTAGTGAACTGGCCAGGAAATGGCACATTTGGAACTATATCAATATTAGTGTTATTATTCAACGCAGTTAAATTGTTAATGTTAATCTCATCTTCTTTAGCCATTTTTGGAGTCATTGATCTTTTTTTCCTAAGGAGACTTGAAGCAGAAGCACTTCTAATCCAAGAAGATTGAGAAGATCCTGGTCTTTGACGACCTCTAACCATAGATTCTGTACTAGTAGGTTTCAAAGGAGGACGGGAACTAGAGCTCGATCTCGAGGGAGAAAGAGAAGAATCAATAACCATGATACTTTTATTTTTTGTTTGTTTGTTCGTTTTTTAAACTCTACTCGGTTCAATTCAATTCAATTCAATTCAACTCAACTCAATTCAGTTCAGTTCAATTCCAACTTAACTTTAATCTTCCAAATGTCAATAGTATGAGGCTATGACTGGAGTAAAAGTGAAAAGGAACAGCAAAATAACGAATGGTATAAGATCTAAACCAATAGTGACAAAATATTTTCTTTCTTTTCAATCAAAAGACAAAGATTAGTTCGATCTGTAGTAAACGTACGGCTTTCAATTTACTGATTGATATATATATTCTTCTTTAAACTTGGTCGAGACTCTTTCAATTTTAATACTAAATAGAACAATAAAACAAAAACTGTTCCAAAGTCACTATTCCGATCCAATCCCAAACCGTATCTTCTAAACAACAGCTGTTTGGACAGATAACCCACTTGTTTTTTTAACCAATGTCTTGGCTGAATCAACTTCATCAACCTTTTATAATTCTAATATACTTTCGAATCCCAGTACTTCGAAAGTTAACCATTAAGCATTTTCGAAAGTTGTTTTAGTAATAACTATAGAGAAGAGAGAGAAAGAGGCAGAAAGAAGAAAAAATGAAAAATTTCTTATCCATTTTTCAGGTCGACCCTAACGTATTTCGGGACAACAAGGGTTTCCGTCCATACTTAACAGAGTTTTTCCGAGCAAACCCTAGCGTATGTTGAGGGCTAAATACCGGTTTAGCACACTATTTTCCTCTTTTCTCTTTTCTCTCTCTCTCTTTTACTCTCTTTTACTCATCTATCATAATAGAAATCCTAACCAGACAGAGAGATAAGCCCAATTATAGAGAAAGTGAGAGAGCTGTTTGCTACTCACCATTGGCACAAGTATATTCTTGCGACAGAGGCCCAGACTGTTGATGGTAGGGACGATAACTATGACAACGATGGTCTATTTTAAACTATCTCTATATATCTATCTATCTATCTATCTACCTTATGTATGCATCTTGTTCGAGTTCGTATATTGCTAAGGGTTCGTACATTTCATAGGTAGATGATTATGCATGGTATGAAATGAAATTGAATTGAATGGAATGGAATGATGGAGGGGGAAGGGGAGGAGGGGTTGAAAATGCTATAATAAAAGTTGGAAAAAACTAAGGTAAAAAAAAAAAATCTGATTAGATTCCCTATTTGTTATATCATGTAACTTTGTTTTGCTATTGATTGGATCTCTTGAATGCTTGTCAAATCTTCTGCAGTTAATGAATTTGGGATTTTATTCCATAAGTTTTGAAATTCTGATTCATCCAACATGTTGGTTTTGTTTATGAACCACATATGTTCCTTGGCCCGTTTGTGTCTTTCTCTGTCACTTTCCATCCGATGTAGTGTTATTTGAGTACTTGTAGTTTGTGGCAATTGAAATATTAGCTTGAGTTTATCTGGGTTTTCATAATTTTGGAAAAAGAGCTGTTGTCTACATTTTCTATCGATTAATAATTTAAAACAATTTTGAAATGATTCTTTATAATCTATATTGGAGGTATTGTTTAAATTATCCATTGGTATGTTTAACCATTTCGTCTCATCCTCGATTAATTCCGAGTTTGATAAAGGCAATTTTTCCTTATCTAATTCTTGTATTTGGTTTTCATCGATGATACCGCCACATATTTTGTTCAAAGATTTAAATATATCAATGCATTTCGGTAAATTTACTAATGACTTCCATTCATTAGGTGGTAATGCTAGTTGAAAAATCTTGTCAATTGATGGAAGTAAATTTTTGAATATTACTTTCTTGGAAATTTCATTGTTGCCTTCTTTTTGACTTATTGGCCATAACGCTATTAGAATCATTTGATAATACATAACAATGTTCAATCTATCCAATGGATCCATTTTTTCTCCCGATGTAAACATACATTGATGGAAATCTTCATAATGTTGTTCATATCCTTTCAAATAAAACTGTACTGGATCTGTTAAATTGGATTTGCTGCTTGTATTCAGCGATGGTGTCGGAGATGTCTCTCTAGTGATGTTTAAAGTCTTTTGTAAGTTTTTCAAAACTTGTATAAACTGCAACCTTGCCTCAAAGGAATCCATTATGCTAACCTTTTTCACCTAATGTATACCTGCTAACAAAAAATAAAAAAATAAAAAGAACCTATCAATAAGTACTCTTCTCGCTATAACCGAGCAATCAAACAGACAGATAACGTGGCAATACCTATGTTGCTGTGCAATGGCTGTCTTCTACTTCAGATGCCTTTTATTGCTCTTTATTTATAATGCTTGGGCTATACCATCTGTTTTAAATATTCATTATCAAAATATTTCAGCATCTTTTTTTCATTGAAAAATTTGTAGCGATAGCCTCGTAATGAAGGTTATGGAAGGAAATAGGCTGGACAGTGACTTGATCTATATAGTAAAGATCGAGAAATGAGGATTTTTTGGAGATATTATAATTGTTTATTCTAACTATAAATATTCTATTATATATTACAAAATTTAGTTTAATTTTTTTGGGAGGGTTGTTGAAATTGAGAAGTGAAATTATGTGAAGAGTTCTTTCCCAAAAGAATAAAATAGAAAAATCAAACCAACAAATAAAGTGTTGAAAAGTTTTTAATGATAAAAATACTAATAACAATGACAATAATGATTTATCTATCTAATGGAACATGGGGAGTTTAGTCTAGTTTGTTTTGTATTGTTTTGTGTTATTCTCTTCATTACATGGAAAGGATGGTACCTTGATGATTATTTTTTTTTGGATATTTAATGGCGTTTATGTGATGTTGAATTATTTGAGTTTCTATTTGTTCCATATGGTGATTGGTTGTTCATTATATTACTTGTATCATTGATGGCATTATTAATATGTGGTAAGCCTATATTATGGGGTGCCATTGTAGTGTGATCGTTAATTAAATGTGCAGTGTTAATTAGATTAGGGTTCCCTGTAAGGAAATCTGTATTTCTTTGATCTAATTTATCATTTGATAATAATCGAGAATGATGTAGAAGTGGTCTCTGGGGTGTTATCACATCTAATCTAGGTAAAGGTAATGGCATGCCATTAACGTTATTAGATAGAGTGATGTCGTTTAGTGTTGCAAAAGTAGGACTCGTAGTTAATTCTCTTAGAGCGTCCAAAGCCTCTAAATCTCGAGTCGATATACTATTATTATTGTTATTATTATTACTGTTGTTGTTGTTATTGTTGTTATTACGTCTATTATTATTCGATTGCTTTCTTTGCATGATGTTCTCATTAAAACTATCTTGCGTTATCTGCATTGTTCCTAATAGATTGACACCATTGACAATGTTGTTCATCATCGAAACAGGGATGGTGTTTGCATTAACATCATCTAGATGAACCTTTGCATTTGCCTTTGATTTTGAATTTTTACCTCTAGAATTTGTCGATGATTTTGTTCTTGTACCTGTGTTAATAGTAGAGTTGATACCAATACCAGCAGAATTATTTGATTTGTTGATATTTGATGTTAATGTAGTTGCTGTTGCTGCAGTAGCATTCTTGGGCCTTCTACCACTACCAGGTTTCCTACCTTCTCTTAAAGTTTTACCTTTACCTGGTTTTCTACCACTACCAGGTTTCCTCCCTTGAGCCAATGTTTTTGCCATAGTTATACTCACTACAAGCTCTCTTCTCTTGATTATGGATATCCCGATACAATTTTATAAATACCTGAAATCAAAGTGTTGCCTACTCTAGTATCGATTTAATCTAAGTTGAATGCTAAGATGTGTTATTTCTTTTTTTTTTTTATTTTATTTTATTTTATTTTATATTCTTCTATTCTTAAATAAAAAAAAAAAATTATTTGATCTCTCTAACAAACAGGACTAAGCACACAATGAAAAGGACCTATCTTACACTCAGAATTCAATTCCAAATGAAACAAACGAAACTTAGTGGATTTCTAGTACTTGAATATTAAATATCAATACTTTAATAACTTCCAAATAAGTATGAAACCTTTTACCATCTTTGTAGTGAAAACATACAGAACAGACAGCCATTACTTAATTTTTTTTTTTTTAAACTATTTCAACTGCAATTTTTATTTTTTTTCTTTTGGCAACTGCGACCAGACCAGCCCAAAGACCAGACCAACGATGAAAAAAACAGAAATTTTGGTATTTACGAACGTAGCCCAACAAGAGATGAGATGAGATGAGATGGTTGATCTAAGGTTGTTGTTGTTGTTAATTTCAAGATAGTTGGGTATTAGGGAGGGGAGAGATTTATATATAGTTGTGAAATGCTTTCTGTTTTTGTTGCGCTTGCAATCGTAGTTCGTGTGATCTGGGATAGTAATTGGGGGGGGTGATCTATATATAACAAGGTGTTTAATGCTAATAGATGTTTAAACCATGTTACTTGAACATATATATGTGTCAGTGTCTGTGTGTATGATTTTTAGATACGGATCAACGTAATTTCATAGTTTTCCCGTGTGGAAGTCTTAGTTATGACAGCTTAAAGGTGTGTGTCTGGGGAGGAGGGGACCCTAGAATCGATGAGATTTTATCTTGTTTCAATCAAAGGTGGGAATAGTGTGTGATGTATAGGAAATGTTATTCAAATATGTTGTCTTGGATCATAATTGGTGATTGTATGTAATTTAATTTTTCACAGGCCGACATTCATCCTTTGGGGTGACAAAAGAGTAGAGTGTATATGATTATACTCATCCACTTGCTTCACAAACCAAGAGAAACGTTTGACTGTTCTTGTTGGGAATCCCGAGGTATATCCAATTTCTGCTTCTTCAGATCACAAGTGCAAGTGCAAATGTAAATGTAAATGTAGCTGTAGCTGTAACTGTAACTGTAATAGATTGGTGTTGCAGTGTCTACAAATTATTATACTGACGGTGCCAGATCTCTAAAAATTTATTTATATATATGTGTGTGTGTGTGGGACAGGGTCAATCCGTGGCAAGTTCTGTCATATAGCATTTGGTTCATGCGACAGTGACCATTACACTGCTGTCTCAAACCTGTTACCCTCCCTAGTCACCTGCTTTTCTCCCACATCATCATATCACTTTGTACTACCTGTAACAACGCGAACCAGAACTAAAATAAGAACAAGAACAAGAACAAGAACAAGACCACACATGCACACATGCACACAACTGCAACAATAATGCAGACCCACATACACATCCACAACTCAACTCACCCACTCCCTCTTTCTGAATCCAAATACAACCTTCCCTCCCTCCCTTCTTGCTCTTATCCCAACTTCTTGCAGTTATCGATTCGAAAAGATTCCAAAAGCCAAGAAACTCAGCGTGGTGAAAACACACACACACAGGAATCCGAATCCGATGGAAAATAAAATATTTCTATATGTTCGATATATTCGATATTTTGATTTTGAGACTACAAACTACAGAACCCGACCGAGGTTAGAAATATTGAAACAAGTAGAGATGATGTGTTTATAAAAGCAAAAGTTTGATTTCATTTCATTTGATTTTTGTGTGGGTTCTTGTACTATTTAGGGTTCATGTCTTTTGGATGAGTTACGTACAGTTTTGAATCAGGTTCTCAGTTGCAATTGAGAAGTGATAGTGGTTGAAAAGGGGAGTCGGTTTTGTTACTTTCTGTTTGGGAGACGATTTTTTCTTACTGGAAATCAACTTTATTTGAACGACTGATCCAATCTGAAACTTAACAATTTGTCTGGCGTAGTGTTGTGGCATTAGTATTCTCTTTTTATTTGATTTTTTTATTTGATATTTTTTTTTAAAAAAAAAAAATATTCAAAAGTACACTTTCAATTGCAATTTCATTATGGATTTCTTACTGAATAATAAAAGGCAATTGAAAAAAAAAGACGAGCTACCCATTTCTGATTCAAGATGGGCTCCAAAATCAAAATACCGTCATAAATTTAACCCTGCAAATAGCGAAAATTTTGTTAAAATTAACGCCATCATCACTTTGATTTTATTCCTAGTTTTTATCTGTCAAAATAGCTTTTCTTCATCTTCTTCAAATGTCGTTGATTCACATACAAATGAAGCTAAAATATTAGAAGATAATGAATATTATGACTATGATTTTAAGAATTTCGATGAACCATTGGTTAAAAAATTCGATGATGGGGCAAAACATTATTTGATTAGTAAATATGGCAGTGAGGTTTTAACTCCAGAAGATAAAAGTCGTTATGAACAAGAATTACAAGAATTGCTTTCAACTACAGTTCAAAATTACGATCTAAGTAAATATAGTGGTACAGAGAACGGTATCCAAAATCGTGAACACGTTTTATTATGTGTACCGTTAAGAGACGCAGAAGACGTTCTGCCTTTGATGTTTAAAAATATTATGAATTTAACTTATCCACATGAATTGATAGATTTAGCTTTCTTAGTTAGTGACTGTACTGAAGGTGATCATACCCTAGAATCCCTAATCGCTTATTCCCGTCATTTACAAGATGGTACTTTAGCTGGTTTGTTTCAAGAAATGGATAAAGATGATAGTAAAAAAGATTCAGAAAAATTATACTTGAAATATATGAATAAAGACTATTTGAAAATGGTGGAAGACGCTTATTCCCCACCATTCCATAATGATTACGAAAAACCATTCCGTTCTGTTCAAATCTTTCAAAAAGATTTCGGCCAAGAAGTTGGACAAGGTTTCACCGAAAGACATTCCGTTAAAGTTCAAGGTATCAGAAGAAAATTAATGGGTAGAGCCAGAAATTGGTTAATGACAAACGCTTTGAAACCATATCACGCATGGGTCTACTGGAGAGATGCCGATGTAGAATTATGTCCAGGTACAGTTATAGAAGATTTGATGTCGAAAAACTTCGATGTAATGGTACCAAACGTTTGGAGACCATTGCCAGAATTTTTAAACTCAGAGCAACCATATGACTTGAACTCCTGGATGGAGTCAAATGAAGCTTTGAAATTAGCTAAAAATTTAGATGAAGATGACGTTATTGTTGAAGGTTACGCAGAATATCCAACTTGGAGGGTTCATTTGGCATATATCAGAGAAAAAAATGGTAATCCAAATCAAGTAGTAGATTTAGATGGTGTTGGAGGTGTTTCCATCCTGGTAAAGGCAAAATTATTCAGAAGTGGTATACATTTCCCAGCCTTCACTTTTGAAAATCATGCTGAAACCGAAGCATTCGGTAAGATGGCTAAAAAAATGGGGTTCAGAGTTGGTGGTCTACCGCACTACACTTTATGGCATATCTATGAACCAAGTGACGACGATTTATTAGAAATTGCAAGTAAGGAAAGAGAAAATAATAGAAGCTAAAACAATAATAGCATAATCCATTATGGTTTGACATAAAAGATTTTGGAAATCAAAATTCTGAATGTCTCGATTATACCGTGTTTTGAATTTATGAACTCATTATAAAATATCATTTAGGAACGTATCTATTAGTATATTTGTATTATCTTTTATTTCGAAGTCCCTTAATTATCAATATGAAATAGAGTGTACAAACAAAAATAGAAATCCCTTGTAGGCAAAAAAAAAAAATTAATAATAAGAAATAGAAACTTAATATATAATATATAATTATATTAAAAATTTTCAATGTATACTTAGACATTTAATGATTCCGGTAATTTTTAATGCTAAATGATAAGACATTAGATAGTCCTGGAATCTTTGAATGGTGGGGACCAGTTTAAATATATTTAAATGAATAATGAATCGTATTTTCGTAATATTGTTTATTAAAGAGTTTATTATTCCGTATCTATAAAATATTGTAATGCTTATCTATAAAATTATTTGACAATTATTGTTCACAGTTTTCACAATCTTTTTCCTTACGATCTTTATATGAATCGAATATTGTTTCGACCATATATAAACCTGCAATTAAAACAGCAACACCAGAACATGCGATACCAAAATATAGAGCTCCTCTGTATCCACGTAAAAGATCTGTTCCATTTTTATTGCAATGTTGTTCGACTGTGCCAGCAATACCTAAGAATAATGAATTTGAGTAGTTAATAACTGTATTTACCAATGAACCTGCCATACCTTGATGTTGGTTTGGTAAGTTATCACTTAGAATAATTGATGATGCAGGGAAGGACAAATCCATACCAAGTGGTAAAATGATCATTGTGCCTAATATATTTCTGAAATATGTTTGATGAACAGGTGTCACACTAAAGATAATGCAACCTAAATTGAATCCAACCATTGAAAATGTTAATAAAACAGCAGGACGTATTTTTTTCATTAGGAAACCACAAGATATGGCGGTTATTGTACCTGAGATAACGAAAATAAAATAAGAGCCACCAGCCCACAATGGAGAATAATTTCTTAAGTTTAATACAAATGAGAAATAGTAAAAGGTCCAAATACCAAAAGAACCCCAACCGAATGTCATTGCAGTTAATATCATAATCAGCTGTCTGTTACGAATAATTTCACTTGGTAATAATGGATTTTCTGCATATCTCAATTCATAAATACCAAATGCTATTAAGGCAATGACAGAAATGACTAACAGAACTATGAGGTAAGCAGAATTCCAACCGTCAGCAGGAGCTTGGTTCCAAACAAAATTGAATAAAATTAAACCTAAAACACCAGTAAATGAACCTATCCAATCCATGGATAATCTATTAACATTTGTTGGTATATTATTTGGGATGGAGTAATAAGATATGAATGTGTTAATAAATGCGGCTAAAGTATATGCGTAAAAAGCCCATGGCCAAGATCCTTCGCTTTCAGTAGCAACTAGACCTGAAAATAAACCACCTAAGGTAGCACCAATTGGTGACATTGCTCCTACTATACTTATCACCATGTTTTTTTTCAATGTGCCAGGTTTATAAATCATACCAATTAAACCTAATACGTTTGGTAGCACTAATGATATACCTAAACCTTGGAATGCTCTTGCTATTATGAAAAAAATCCCACTGTGGGAGTAACCGGACAGGCCAGTAATTAACGACCATATTACTAAAATGACGTAACCCAATATTAACATTTTTTTCAAACCGTAGATGTCACCCAATCTTCCACTTACAAGAATAAAAGAACCTGACACCAATGGAAAAGATGCCACCAGCCATACTTTAAGAGAATCTGAAGAATGTAATTGTCTTGTTAACACATTCATAATTGATAAAGTTTGCGTCGTACCTGCTAAGTTTAATAATTGACTCAGCATACAAGAGAATATAAAAGCATATTCTTGTGTAGTTGAGTTAAAATAATCAGGGTTACGTAAACTGGAATTTTTTAATTCCATCGAAGGTGATTCATCATTGGCATCTGAACAATCTGATCTTATAGTTTCTTCAGCAATATATGAAGATACTTCGATATTTTTTTTTTTCAAATCAGTATCCATTGTGAAAAGTTGGATTGTCTATGTATGATTGTTGGATTGTCTATGTATGATTGTTGTATGCGCTGATACATTTATTGAAAAATATTGGATTTAATTAATCTAAGAATCTGTTTTTTTAATTTAAGCTATCCAAGAAATTGATGATTTATATAACTTTGGTTATTTTAATAAATAAAGAGCTTAAACGATGAATAACGATGATTACAAGGACTTTAAAATAGTTAGCAACGTTAAACTTAAAAAGCAGTGTTAGTAACTATTACAAATATGAGGAATCAAACGAAAGGAAAGGAGGGATAAGAAACCACTTGACAACAATATAGTATGAGAAATAGTAACAATAAAAATAATAATAATATCAGATATTAAAGATTGATTGTTGACAAAATAAAAAAAGTTGCACCAACTTTGGAAGCCTTGTCTAGCCAAGAGAAGTTTAAGCGAAGTGATATGGGATCAAAAGAGTATTGTCTTGTTCGAGTGCCACAACTATTTTCAATTAAACAAAGAACGAACGAATATATTGATATTGGGAAGGGCAACAGTTCGATTTGTAAAAAGTAAGAAAATGACTAGCAATTACGTGTGTGTGCTAGCAACCAGTTTAAGTATCCAGGGAGAAAAGTAAGCAAGAATTAATACAGCTATGAGCTATGTGATTAGAGGTGATGATACTAAAAAAGAAAGGAAATTCGAAAGGCTGCGATGGCGATCGAGAGGGATAGTGAAGTTGAGAATAAAAGAACAATAGAAAGGAAATAAGGAAACAAGGAAGAAATAGGGTGGACATAGGTGGAAATATGGTGGAAAACAGTACGCGTAAGCACGTAAACAGAATATTTTTTCTATTTTCATTATTAAGATACGTTATTTAATTAATAATATTTACGTGTTTACGTGTTTACGTGTTTACGCGTCAGTTTTTCAAAATAATTTCTTTCTTTTTATGCGTTTAGGTGTTTTCCTTTCTTTTTCGGAAAAACTTAGTAAATTTGTCCTGATTTTTCGGAAATTGGGATAAATAGGACATTTTATTTTACTTTAATTTTCATTTTATATTCTTTTGAAAAAATAAAAAAATATTAACCGGAAAGGGAGGGTAATCAAATCAATATGTACGATATATCACGTGTATTGGTGTCACATGACACGGTATTGCAAAAACAGCAATTTATCAAAAAGAAATGGTTTAAAGTAAAGCATCTCCATCTCCGTGAACCTGTATGTGCGTTGGCAACATAGCAAACTGCGCTCACGCACTAGCGTTCTACAGCAGCAACCTGCTCTACTGCACCCGAGATTCGGTATTGCCTTCCCTGGTCTTGTTTCTAAATTTCTCATTACCCACCTCACCTACCAAGACCAAGACCAAGACCAAGACCAAAACCAAATTATCATAACAATTTTGCCATATATATTTCCATTACTTTCTAATGAGTCGCCTTCTGGCATGACCAACATACACACATACAGTTTTTCCCATGTAGAGTGAAATTACATTACGTTACCGGTTGGCTACTGTTAATCCGATCTTCGCACATCTCTGGAAACAAGACTACAATACTAGCAGAACTCTATGTAATATTCTGATGATACACAACCATGCCAAAATGCGTCGCTACCATTTGGGACAGGTTTACAAACTACCAAAATCTCAATCCTTTTAAACAAGCCCATAATGGTGTCATAATCATCCATACATACGTATGGTTAGAATTTATATAACATATACCACTAACTGGACCTCATCGATCGGACCGGACCTACCTGAATCGTACAACTGATCAGACCCAACTAGTAAACGGCTACACAGCAAAGCACATTACTGTACTCTGCTGTACTGTACTTTACGGTACTCTACATATCCTTGGGTCATGAGCAATGCGATACAGTACGATACGATACTGATGTTCCATTCCCACCTCTTGCGATGCTCGCTATAATCATCGTTTCATTCATTGGACTAAATCTATCCGTATACATCATATCATCATCATCATCGATTTATGTAGTGTGTGGTGAGCTTGAACCACTACACATTTTGATTTATTCTCTCTCTCTCTGTCTCTGTCTATTCTGGCTTATCCAATATACGCTCAATGCAATCATATACACATTACTATTGTACCATACCTTCAATTAATTAATTACCTCATTCTTACTACTTCCAAGTGCTATCCTCTCCCCTCCTCTGCCTGCCATCTCTCAGCCCATCTCAATCAATCACCTCTCTCTCTCTGCCATCCCCCCCTCCCCTGCTCTTCTCATCACCACCATCTATCTATCTACATTTTTCACCACAAGCCAAACCAACAAGCTCAACACAACAGACTACAACTATAACTACAACTACTGCAAGAGTTCCCTTTACAATGAAAAATTTAACTCTTGTCACTTGTCTAAACCCATTGATTGAGATTGGACAAACCAATTGTTTCTCATTGGATTCGATCAACCTTAGTAGATTGAGAAATTTTTTATATTTTTTTTCATTATAAAACTATATAATGTTCCTCTAACCATACCATCTAAACAAAACTATAAACTAAATCTTATCACAACATGTTTCATTCCATCATGAAACTTCACTATATATCCTCATAAAACTATAAAACTATCTTATTTATTTGCTCTGACGTTCTTTTATTTTAATTGACTACGTTCGTTATTGCCTACTTTCGTCATTAATATAAATATCCTTTACCTTTTTGCATCATTTGGAAAACTGTCACCACCTTGCTACTGATAATTTGAAAAAAAAAAAATTCGTCAAGGCTAACCCAGAAATTTAAAAATAAAAAAAACTCAAGCAAGAGAAACCACCACGCAAGGAATTGAGGAATCAACTTAGGTGAAAATTAGAGATTTTAATTTAATATTTAATATTTGATATTTCAATATTCTGTTTTTCTGTATTCAATATTATAAACAGTACGATTAATCACAATTGCTTATATTTTACTGTGTATTTAAAGTTTTTGTTTTAACTCCCTTCTCAGCCATAGCTTACAATAGATATCTGATCTTTAATTTGGTCCCCCCCCCTTTAGAATAATTAAGCATCAATGATTTCAAGACATTATAACGGTAACACTGTTTCAATTGCAAGAAATATTACCAAAAGATATTTTAATAAGTCAGTTCAAAATTTAGCAGTTGCTACTACAAACTCACCAAAAACTTCGAGTTCTGCAAATACTACTTCTGTCGACTCAAATGGTGCCGGTACTGCTTCTTTTAAAACTGTTAAAATTATAGACAATCAACATGATGATAAAAAGCAAAACATCGTGATTTTAGGTTCTGGTTGGGGTGCTATTTCTTTCTTGAAAGGTATAGATACCAAAAAATATAATGTTTCCATTATTTCCCCAAGAAACTATTTCTTGTTCACTCCTTTATTACCATCAACCCCAGTTGGTACTGTTGATGAAAAGTCGATTATTGAACCAGTTGTAAATTTCGCTTTAAAGAAAAAGGGTTCTGTTACCTATTATGAAGCTGAGGCTACTTCGATTAATCCAGATCGTAGCACTGTCACAGTAGAATCTTTATCATCTATTGCAAGAGTTGCTCAGACTGATCAAAATGTAGGTATTAAAAGAAAAGAACCTGCTGAAATTAAATACGATTATTTGATCACTGCTGTAGGTGCTGAACCAAACACTTTTGGTATCCCAGGTGTCGAAAAATATGGTAATTTCTTAAAGGAAATTCCACATTCTTACCAAATTAGACAAAGATTTGCTTCAAACATTGAAAAGGCAAACTTATTACCAAAAGGTGATCCTGAAAGAAAGAGACTTTTGTCAATTGTAGTCGTTGGTGGTGGTCCAACTGGTGTGGAAACTGCTGGTGAGTTACAAGATTACGTTTCTCAAGATTTGAAAAAATTCTTGCCTTCCGTAGCTGAAGAAGTTCAAATTCATTTAGTTGAAGCTTTACCTGTCGTATTAAATATGTTCGAGAAGAAATTATCTTCTTATGCTCAATCCGTATTGGAAAAAACTTCAATTAAATTACATTTAAAGACTGCCGTCGGTTTAGTCGAAGAAGATCACTTAATTGCAAAGACCAAGTTGGATGATGGTTCAGTAAAGGAAACTAAAATTCCATATGGTACTTTGATTTGGGCAACTGGTAACAAGGCTAGACCATTGATTACTAACTTGTTTAAGAAAATTCCAGAACAAAATTCTTCAACTAGAGCTTTAAATGTAAACCAATTCTTACAAGTCAAGGGTTCCAACAATATTTTCGCTATCGGTGATAATGCTTTTGCCGGTTTACCTCCAACAGCACAAGTAGCTCATCAAGAAGCTGAATATTTGGCTAAAGTCTTCGACAAGATGGATAATTTGCCAAACTTCCATGATAAATTAATAGCAGCTAAAGAAAAACCTGATGTTTTATTGGAAGAAAATGGTTTCAAGCCATTCAAATATGTTCATTTAGGTGCATTGGCTTACTTGGGTGCTGAAAGAGCTATTGCAAACATTACCTATGGTAAGCGTTCGTTCTATACTGGTGGTGGTTTGATTACATTTTATGTTTGGAGAATGTTATATGTTTCCATGATCTTATCAGCTAGATCAAGATTTAAGGTTATTACTGATTGGTTGAAATTGGCTTTCTTCAAGAGAGATTTCTTCAAGGGTTTGTAATGAATATGATTAATGAATTAATGAATATGATTAATGAATTAATGAACATATCAAATTTATTTTCTTTAAAAAAAAGAAGAATTGTTTTACTTTAACCGAAGTCTGTGTGTGTATTTCCTTTATTTTTATTTGTGACCTTATTAGACATTTCATTTACAATTATTACTCTTATTCATATCACTAGTAAATGGAAGTGATGATTGATTGATATTATTTTTTATTATTATTTTCTAACAGATACAAAAATGTGAACAATTGCTGGAGCATATTGTTCATTATGTTTTAAATTGAAATTTATTTATTATTTACATATTCAAAAGTCTATATGCAGTATATATATAGAGCATATTAAATTATTTATTTTTATTAAATCAATTAATAAAAGTTTCTTTGATATTCGATATAAGATGATATTATGATTATGAAAATGAAGTTTATAATGATGAAAAGTTTTGCTATGATTATGAATATTATGGTTAAGGCATTGTCGTGGTTTTAAAATTAAAAGTAATTTTTTGCCTTCCTTATATTTTCTAATACTAGTTGTTGTGGAGCATCGGAATTTTTCAAAACTATGAAACAAACCATATTTGAAGATAACTCACTAACGTATATATTATCATTTAAGACCACAGTTTTAAATCCACATTTCATTTTAGTACAACTCTGTTTAAAATTTTTCATTATATTTGATATTTTTTCAAATCTTTTTGGATCCAATAACGAAACTTCGTTTGATAACTCAGATAGACTTGAATTGTTGGCATTATTATTCGTAGTAGTAGTATAGTTATTAATCTTTCCATTTATGTTTTGATCGTTACTTGAACATATCACTAGGAAAGTCGATCGTTCAAACAAAATAATTTCAATTGCATCCATTGAAGATTTTAATTTTTTCAAGTTTGATTGATGTATTGACATATTTGGTATCAAAGAACAAACGATCTGAGACCAAGCTCTGTATAAGCTTTCATCCCAAATAGAAGTTGGAAAACCTATTAAATGTGGGAATCCGTATTCTGCAGAAGCTTGTTGTAATTTTTTCATCATAATTTCAAATAATTCATTTCTTTTATCCAGTTGGACCAAATCCATTTTATGCAACAATACGAATATTTTAGCATCAGGAGAATATTTTTTCAATTGTTTCAATGCTCTAGTAAATATATCTATATCTTTAATGACTTCTTGTGATTCCACATCAAATACATGGATCAAAACCTGAACCATTTGGAAAATATGATCTTTCTGTTTTGTAAAATAATTTTCCATGAAAACGTCCTGACCACCACAGTCCCACAAATTCAACGTCATATTGCCCAGAAATCTCAAATGAGAATGTTCGACATCAATTGTAGCACCCAGCCTCCTTGTATCAAAAGCTGAATAATTACTAAAGATAATCGATCTCATTGACGATTTCCCTGATCCTGAGCGACCCATTAATAATAACTTTTTTCTATTATTTGATGAAGACATTTTCGATGATTATCAAAACAAAATAGTGTCACCTAATTCTAATCAATCCTAAAATCAGCCCCTAAAAAATGTAATATACAGAGAATAAGAATAAGTACAATAACCGTCTATTGTTCTAACTTCTTCTCGTTTTATATTCCTGTCAAGCAAACCTAAATTAAACTTCTTCTGTCACTTTTTTAATGTCAAATATCAAAAGGTACCTCAACTCAACTCTAATTGTGATCACCAACAAACAATCAAAATAAAATCCCCCTCAATCTATTGGAAACCAGATCAGATTGCTCTTCCTTGAGTTGCTCTAATTTAAACCATCACTTTTTAACTTGTCTTGTTATATTTGTTGTTGCTTAAACGATGGGATTCGAAATTGAAATTAAAGCAAAATAATTTTTTTTTCCTTCGTTTCTTCCTTTGGCAAAAGGAGACAATTTTTTTTGGAAAAGATATTTAAATGATAAAGGAAGCATCAAAGAAGTTATAAAAGTTTGTTTTACTTTCTCAATTGTGGATTTGATGATAGGTGAATAAGCTTTAGGAGAGTGTGTGTGTGCCTTTGGTGGTGATATTAATTGCGATCATTATAATAACGATACCCCGTTTACGGTGCTGGATTTGAGTACAAATTGAGGGCATCCTGAGAGATATTTGTTGTTGATTTAAAATTTGATTTTGATTTAGGTATAACAAAAAATTAGATTATTTGGTAGAGATGGGTTCTTTGACTCAATTGTTGCAACATCCATTGGAATTGAAATCTGCTTTGGTTTTAAAGTACTATAGAGAGCCTTTGTTTCCAGGTGAAGAATCTAAAATAGCTAATTCCAAGGATTTAAAGAGATGTTACGAATTGTTGAAATTGACATCTAGATCTTTTGCTGCAGTTATTCAAGAATTGAATCCTGAATTGCGTGATGCCATTATGATTTTCTACTTGGTGTTGAGAGCATTGGATACAATTGAAGATGACATGACAATTAATCCAAGTGTAAAAGTTAAATTATTGAACGAGTTTGATGAAAAATTAGATTTGGACGATTGGTCCTTTGATGGTAATGGTCCAAATGAGAAAGATAGAGATGTTTTAGTTGATTTCCCTTATATTTTACGTGAATACCATAATTTGAAGCCAGAATATCAAAAAGTTATTAAGGAAATCACTAGAAAAATGGGTCAAGGTATGGTTAACTACGTTCTTGATGAAAGTTTTAATTTGAATGGTGTAGAGACAATTAAGGATTATGACTTGTATTGTCATTATGTCGCAGGTTTGGTTGGTGATGGTTTAACACAATTGATCGTTCTAGCTGGATTTGGTGATGAAAACTTGTATGAAGCTAGTGGTGATAGAGAATTATACGAAAGTATGGGTCTTTTCTTGCAAAAGACTAATATCATTAGAGATTATGCTGAAGACTTGGAAGACGGTAGATCATTCTGGCCAAAGGAAATTTGGTCACTGTATGTTGAAAAGTTACCAGATTTACAAAAGGACAAATCTAATGGATTAAGATGTATTAACCATTTAGTTTTGAATGCTTTGACCCATGTCAATGATGTGTTGACATATTTGGCCTCAATCAATGAACAAAGTACGTTTCAATTCTGTTCAATTCCACAAGTGATGGCGATTGCAACCTTATCCTTATTGTTTAACAATGAAAAAGTTTTGGTTGAGAACGTTAAAATTAGAAAAGGGGAGACATGTTACTTGATTTTGAAATCTAGAACATTAAAGGGGTGTGTTGAAATTTTCCAATACTATTTACGTGAGATCAAGAGCAAGTTGATGGTTGAAGATCCTAACTATTTGCCATTGAACATTCAAATTGCCAAGATTGAACAATTTATGGAAGAGATGTATCAAGATAAATTACCAGCAGGCGTTAGACCAAACGAAACTGAGATATATCTAAAGACACAAGAGAGAACAAAATCCGATGAAAAGATGGCTATTACATTTAAAATGGAGGAGAACAATTTCTTGATGGTAGTATCATACTTTGGTATAGCAGTTTTAGCAATTGCATACTATACATTATTTTTCAATAAATAATGGTAATAGTAAAAAAGGGACTTACTAGGTTAGTATAGTATAATCTGAAGAAATAGATAATGATGATGATGACGACGACGACAACGATTATGATGACACTAATACTAATACTAATACTCACGGTAACAGTAACAGTAACAGTAATAGAAGAGAAAGAAAGAGAGAGAAGAAGATGAAACAGAACACATGTGACTTCCTCTAGTGTATGTGTCGGGTTTTTTTTGACTTCTCTCATTTGTCCTTTTAAGTTATTATTATCATTACTACTGCAATTAGTATTATTACTACTACAAAATAACAATTACAATTACAATAACAATAACTAAAACAAACAAAAAACAAAAATGTACGTACTTTTTTTTATCACACATTTATATAGACATAACTAAATAACTTATTTTACCAACCAACCAACAACTCTATTTTATTATAATTTGTTTTATTTTATCTTGTTCTATTTCAAGTTGGTCTAGGTTAGCATTGGCATTAGCATTAGCACAGTCCATCTTGGCTTGGCTTGGCTTGCCTGATAGAATAAGTTACGTTCAGTCAAGCACAGCGTTCCGTTCAGCACATTGGGGTAGGAGTGGACCCAGGTGTAGAAGGAAGTATCAAGTATTTAAATATTGCGAAAAGTCAGAGGGTAGGGGGTTGAACCACGTGGAGACGATCAAGAGTCAAACGAACAAGCCAACGAGCGGTGTCTTTCTTGTGTTGCTGTAATGTAGATAGATAACTGCAACATGCATGCATGCATACGTACATACATATAGATACATAGCACGTGGACACACAACCCACCAAGCCGACATAAGAATATGAATATGAATATGAATATGATATCTTGGACACTTTAAACACGACTGCTAATGCTAATGCAACAGCCATTGCAAACGTGTGTTGTTGCATCAAGAGAAGTGTCAGTCACTGTCCTGTGTGTGCTATAAGCTTCCTCATGCAGTCTTAGAACCAGAGTTCGTCTCTTTGTCTCTTTGTCTCTCTGTCCCTTCTCCCGATGTCGATGGGATGGATGTTGTTCTTTGGCTGCATTCAACTTTTCCAACTGGCCTGGCCTGGCCTGGCCTGGTTTGGTCACCTTCGCCATCGCCAGCTAAAGATTGCATTGTTGCGTTTTCCCGTGTGGAGTGACAGATAGTACATATATATCAATATGATATGGACTCTAATCACTCACTCTCAGGGCCCTCACACTAAACCACTTAACTATCATCCACGTTTCCTTTCATCTGTCTGTCTCGAGACTTCTCGTCCCATCCCACTTCATGTAACTGGGTATTGTCTGGTCTAGCGCTCAATCTTCACATTTCAATATATTATTTGAGGTAATCTCGTTATCTATTCCTCTTTGGTTCACTACACATAACACTACCATACCATGCCATGCCATGCTATGCCATTCTATGACTATTCTATACTCCCTTCTGAATCTGAATCTAAATTTACATCTGGAACTGAAACTGAAACTGAAAGCAAAACCAAAAGCAAAAATAACTTGGTTACTCTTATCCCATCTTGTCCTTTCTTGTCAGTCCTGGCCTCTATTGTAATCCATGAACGATAGATTGTTCAGAATATGTGTAATAACTTCACTACACATACATTTGATTTGTTCAACTTATCTGCACGAACAGCAAAAAGCAATCCAAATCCCAATACCTCATTCTCATTTTAGTACTCGTGGGTCCTTTGTTAATTAAATCATATCATTTTTAATTAGAAAAATTAATTGACACTCATTAATGAGATATCCAAAAACAGTCTTCCTATTGCAATTAACCTCTAATGTAATGAGAGAAATAAAAAAAAAAGAATCTATATTTTTTCATTACATTTAATTACATCAATTGGAAATAAAATATTGATTAAAATCTATTATCGCCGTATTCCAGATACATATATAAACAATCCATTAATTAATTATATCTCTCTTGATCAAATTTCAATTACACATCTTATTTTCAAACTTTCTTATATATTTCATAATTACTCTATTTCCTCATAAATACCCAACATTGCATCACTCAATTACTGACTTCACTTCAGTAACACATACAATACATACAAAAACATCTCTGTCGCTGACTCCAGTACTGTTGTTTTGTATATTTATATATATATATTTGTTTCATCGTTTCACTTTTCAACTGCCCCCATTCACTCGCACTAATAGTATTTTCATTGACGACACTCACTTTCGGCGTCACTAATTATATTCTCAGATTGCAAAGTATTTTAATACAAATTAATAAATAAAGAGTGCTCTTAATACCATGTCTTATTCAAAGAGTATTTCGAGTTTGAACACAGAAGAACGTGAAAACTACCAACATAACCTGACGGTGGGTGGTAACACTGCTTTCCATAACTTCGTTAATGATTTCGCTCATATCGAAGATCCATTGGAAAGAAGAAGATTAGCTTTGCAAAAAATTGATGAAGCTAGCTTCGGTTGGTACCATGTAAAAGCTATTTTAGTTGCTGGTGTAGGTTTCATGACTGATGCTTATGATATCTTCGCTATCAATTTGGGTATCACTATGTTATCTTACGTCTACTGGCAAGGTAATATGCCTTCTTCTACTCAAACTTTATTAAAAGTTTCAACCTCAGTGGGTACTGTCATTGGTCAAGTAGGTTTTGGTATCATTGCTGATATCGTTGGTCGTAAAAAAATTTATGGTTTGGAATTAATTATTGTCATTACGGCTACTATTTTACAATGTACCACTGGTCATTCCCCAGCTGTTAATTTCCCAGCTATTTTGACTTTTTACCGTATCGTTATGGGTATCGGTATCGGTGGTGATTATCCTCTATCTTCAATTATCACTGCTGAATTTGCTACTACTAAATGGAGAGGTGCTATTATGGGTGCTGTTTTTGCTAACCAAGGTTGGGGTCAAGTCGCTGGTGGTATTATTTCAATCATTTTAATCGCTGCTTATAAATCTGAATTGATTGATGCCAATACTGGTGCTGAATGTGGCCCTGCTTGTATGAAAGCTTGTGATCAGATGTGGAGAATCCTAGTTGGTTTCGGTGCTGTCCCAGGTTTAATTGCTTTGTATTTCAGATTGACTATTCCAGAATCTCCACGTTATTCTTTGGATGTTAACTTACAAAAAGATATTGAAATGTACCACAATTTAGATTCAAGAAACTCTGGTAGTGATGAAACTGATGAAAAGGAGGGAGCTAGAATCACTGAACTAGAACAACAATCTACCCAATTAGAAGCAATGCCAAAGGCTTCTTTCAAAGATTTCTGTAATCATTTCTCAAAATGGAGACACTTTAAGATTCTATTGGGTACTGCAGGTACTTGGTTCATGTTAGATGTCGCTTTCTATGGTTTATCTTTAAACAATGCAGTTATTTTACAAGCTATTGGTTATGCAGGTTCTAATAACGTTTACCACAAATTATATAATTCTGCTGTTGGTAACTTGATTTTAATCTGTGCTGGTGCATTACCAGGTTATTGGGTAGCGGTTTTCACATTGGATACAGTGGGTAGAAAACCAATTCAAATCTTCGGTTTCTTTGTTTTGACTGTATTGTTCTGTGCCATTGGTTTTGCATATTACAGATTAACACCAAGTTCGTTATTGGGTTTGTACATTGTTTGTCAATTTTTCCAAAATTTTGGTCCAAATACAACCACATTCATTATTCCTGGTGAAATTTATCCAACAAGATATAGATCAACAGCTCATGGTATTTCAGCCGCTTGTGGTAAAGTCGGTGCCATTATCGCTCAAACTGTTTTAGGTACTTTGATTAATCACAACTGTGCAAGAGATGGTAGAGAACCAAACTGTTGGTTAAATCATGTTATGGAGATTTTTGCTTTGTTCATGTTACTTGGTCTAATCTTGAGTTTCTTAATTCCAGAGACTAAGAGAATGACATTAGAAGAAATTAGTGAAAAGTATCATGGAGAAAGTAATTATTCTAAGTATGAGAGTACTAAATGATTACTGTAGGGACAAGATATTACAAATATAATTAATTAGAAACAGAAGTCTTTCGTTTTGCTCATGTTTTTTTCCCTTCTCACCATTTGAACCCTTTTCATTTGATGGTCACATAATAATAATGATAATAACGACAATAATAGTTATTATTATATCCTTCTATTCTGAAGAAGGAGCCCTCCTTAATAATCCTATGTCATTTTTAAAAGTGCAATAATTATATATACCTCGATGGTAGGACAGCAAATTTAAATTTAAAGTTAAAAGATAAGATAAAGATAAATCAAGTCATTCTCAATTTAAATATTTATTAACTTATATATATATATATGTAAAAAGTATGAAGTATTGTATATTAATAAAAAACCCATTCGCTTTGAGTTAAATCAATCAGGATTGTACATTTCTCTGCTGTTCCATATATTATAATCAACTGATGTGACGTTCCATTCTGTATATTGGTTGGCTGGTTGGTTGGTGAACCATTCTTATTCTTGATCTTATTCTTATTTAAAATGACAGTTACCCTCACACACGTGAAGATATTCTCATACTTGCAGTTAGCCGTTTGCACCGTGTGCCAACGGCCCGGGAAAAAAAACAGAGAGAGATCTTTAACAATCAAATTGATATTGTTTACATCAAGACAAAGATAAAAAGTATCAAGACATCATCTATAAAAGAAATGGAAGGTTTGATTTTATAGATTCATTGATGGGGGGTAGTAGATTTTTAGTTTTAGTTATAGTTTATTTTTTCTCTTGTTATGTAACAGTTGATATTGTCAAGAACTAGATCAAGTGTTAAATCTGAGTGTAGATCTGATACCTTTAAAGTTGTGTAAAAAGTGTTTCAGGTTATTTGTGGATTTTTATTCGTGTTTTTATCTTCATTTGCAATTAAATCCTGATTAGATCGACGTGATTATGAGAGAAGTTATTAGTATTAATGTTGGTCAAGCTGGTTGTCAGATTGGTAATGCCTGTTGGGAACTATATTCTTTAGAACATGGTATTAGGCCTGATGGTTATCTCGAGGAAGGTTTGACTAAGCCAAAAGGTGGTGAAGAAGGGTTTTCTACTTTCTTCTACGAAACTGGTACTGGTAAATATGTTCCTCGTGCAGTATATGTGGATTTGGAACCAAATGTTATCGATGAAGTACGTACCGGTGCTTATAAAGATCTCTTCCATCCTGAACAATTGATTAGTGGTAAAGAAGATGCTGCAAATAACTATGCCCGTGGTCATTATACTGTGGGTAGAGAATTATTAGATGATATTTTAGATAGAATTAGAAAAATATCAGATCAATGTGATGGTTTACAAGGTTTCTTGTTCACTCACTCTTTGGGTGGTGGTACAGGTTCTGGTTTAGGATCATTATTATTAGAACAACTGTCTATCGATTACGGTAAGAAATCAAAATTAGAATTTGCCGTTTATCCAGCTCCTCAAGTCTCTACCTCGGTTGTAGAACCATACAATACCGTTTTAACTACTCATACGACTTTAGAACATGCTGATTGTACCTTTATGGTGGATAATGAAGCTATTTACGACATGTGTAAGAAAAATTTGGATATTGCAAGACCAAGTTTCTCAAACCTAAACAATCTAATAGCTCAAGTTGTCTCTTCCGTAACGGCATCTTTAAGGTTCGATGGTTCTTTGAACGTTGATTTAAACGAATTTCAAACTAATTTAGTTCCTTATCCAAGAATACATTTCCCATTAGTTTCATATGCACCAATTTTATCTAAAAATAAGAGTTCTCATGAATCAAACTCTGTTGCAGAAATAACGAATGCATGTTTTGAGCCAACTAATCAAATGGTAAAATGTGATCCAAGAACTGGTAAATATATGGCAAATTGTTTATTATATAGAGGTGATGTTGTTACAAGAGATGTTCAAACGGCGGTTGCGCAAGTTAAAAACAAGAAAACTGTGCAAATGGTTGATTGGTGTCCTACCGGTTTTAAAATTGGTATTTGTTACGAACCTCCAACTGCTACACCAAGCTCTCAATTAACTCAAGTTAATAGAGCGGTTTGTATGTTGTCGAATACCACAGCAATCGCAGATGCTTGGAAAAGAATTGATAAGAAGTTCGACCTAATGTATGCTAAACGTGCATTTGTTCATTGGTATGTTGGTGAAGGTATGGAAGAAGGTGAATTTACTGAGGCAAGGGAAGATTTGGCTGCATTAGAAAGAGATTACATTGAAGTAGGTACAGATTCTTATGGTGATGAAGAATTTTGAAAAATAAGAAGAAATACCTATATTTATATATTTGTATTTGTACTTTTGGGGGAGGGGGGATCATAAAGTTTTGTGTAATTGGCTTCTTTGTTGTATTATCTTTTGTTTGTATAGTATCGTTATATTATTAGTATTAGTTTACTGTTATTATTATCTTTCCCAATGCATATGGTGAAAGAGAAAAAAAAGAAGATATCCTTTAAGATTATATTTATTCGCTATTTAAATAGGTTTTTTCTTTACCTGTTGATACCATCGTTGCGTTGTGTCACTTTGATACTGTATTATCTCTAGATATATCGTACAATCGCGATATTAGTATATAAGTGTTTATATATCTTTTAGTACTAATTGGTATACTTTCATGTAATATTTTGGTTTTATAATATTAGGTAACAATTATCAATTATATGGAAGAATAAATTTAAAATTTAAAATTCATGCTTTATTTTAACCAACCATGTTGTTACTGTTATTTCACACTGTAGTATAAATTTCATTTTTGATCAAACTTGTCAAAATTCAACCAGTTACAATTATCACAAAAAGATCCCATTTGCTTAATTTACACTATTCATCCCGTCACTTTCAGAAAATACAGTAATTCCAATAATGAAATTACACTAAATATCAAGATATTTCAATTTCAAGTTATATTTTTTGTTTATGTTCAACAGTTTAACTTTTCACTTTTGATCCTCTGTCAGTGATTGAATGAAAGGCTCATTGAATTATTTTATTCCAAAACAAAACGTAAAATTTAAGTTATAGAATGCGAAAGTAAAAATATCGGGTTGAGGTTTTATCTAAAAAGTTATTTGTTATATAAGATCGATGAAAGGTATTTTCAATTTAAGGATTTGTCATTAGCTTAGTCAAGAGTGACTATGATCCAGACTTTTATTTATAATCATAGTTTGTTTTGCAAGGTTATGATCAGATTCTTTTATCTAACAAGATATATACTTGGAGATGGATATATATTAATCCAAACCACGTTTGATAAAATGACGCTGAGATTGATTGATTGATTGATTAGCTGGTGGTATAGATTTAGATGACGGTATTCTCCAATTTTTACAAAGTTGGGAGGCCAATCAAAGCAAGATGGAGCGGGTAGTGGCGATGATCTTTGTAATTGTAATAGTGGTTGTAATTGGAGTTTCTTTTTTATCTTGAAAATAGATGACTATCTTGAGAGAATCTCCAATTTGAAAAGATAATTCTATATTGCTATACCGTTCTAGGTAACAGAAGAGTGATGATAGCATACTTAACACCACGATAGGAATTAAATATCACATTGCCCTAGAAAAGGGTATAATTAAGTAATAGTGACTAAGCTAGACCAAAGTAGAGGCAAAAGGGTCTATGAGTTCATTCCCTTCCCCTCCCCTCCTTCAGGTTTTGCTAAGTCCAAAACAGATCGTAATAATAAAAGAATTAGCTAGATCTTTACTAATACAGAATACAATAGAGAGCACAGTACAATGGATTTGAAAAAGAGTCGATCATTTTATCGTCATTAAAACAAACCAAACGGAATCTCGCCTAGCACATCTCATCAACAACAACAGATTATTCTAAGATTATGGAAATGAAACAAACCAACAAACAAGCAGAGAAGGAATTACCGAACTGTGCGTGCAATCCAATCCAAGATCAATCAATGCTCTGATCTGATCTGATTAATATTGACCTTTTATCACTCAAGCCCAAAAGCAAAAAAAAATAGCCAATTAATTGAATATCAACCATTCACACACACCTACATTATTACACTATAGACAGCTTTGCCTCATAATAGCTATGACGAGCAGATACATACTTGCCAGAAGACCTTGATACGAAACAAACAAACAAACGAAAGAACAAACGAAGGAACAAACGAAGGAACAAACGAACACAAGAAGTAACGTAAATAATTAGAATATCACAAGAACTAAACATCAACCAGTGCTCAAGTACAAGTACAACGGCAACAACATAAAGAGAGAGAGCATTGGAATGATTTATCGCTACACATACCAAGAACATAATACCATCGCAACAATTAAGTGGTAAAACAGGTAATCTCATGAAATTTATCGCATTAAAGTATCAAATTTCTAACTGAAAAAAGACAAAAACTAGAGGTATTATTATTATTATTATTATTACTGATACTACTACTACTGCTGCTAGTATACTACTACTTCTACTAGTAACTTGCATACATTTTTCTGCCATCCTCCTGTCTAAAACAACTAACATTATTACAAGAGAAGATCTGATTTTAACTGTTTTTTGACACAGATGAACAAATTGATAGATAGATAGACACACTAGAGAGAGAGACAGACACTGATGAATAGAAAGAGGAAATTTTGAATTAAAAAAAAAAAAAAAAAAAAATTTTTCCTAAAATTTTCTTTCGTTAACGAAACCTTCCTCTATCGATTAATCCCAGAAACTCATTTCAACTTAGAATTAGAAAATTTAATTGACAATGGATTGGATTGGAAACAGAACTGTTCATTAAAATTGGTTTAAAATTCTATATATAAAAACCGTTGGAAATCTTCTATTTTTCTTGATGAATCTCCTTTTATTGACTATCTTAAAATCTTATATCTTAGATTTCAATTCTGATTCTAATTGTTCTTGTTGGACTGCTAATTAATAGAGTGAAAAAGATAGACAGCTATTTTTAAAAAAAAAGGCACTCATCGACTACCTTTGACTCAATTTTAAACGATCCTAGGAAACTAAATAATTATTATAAGAAAACAGAGATGACTGAAGCTAAGAGACAAAAGACTGCCGATCAACCAGCTAGACCACAAAACATTGGTATTAAGGGTATCGAAATTTATATTCCTGGCCAATTTGTTAACCAAGCTGAATTGGAAAAATTTGATGGTGTCTCTACTGGTAAGTACACAATTGGTTTAGGTCAAACCAATATGGCTTTCGTCAATGATAGAGAAGATATTTATTCCATGTGTTTGACTGCTTGTTCAAACTTGTTGAAGAATTATCAAATTGATCCAAATTCCATCGGTAGATTGGAAGTTGGTACCGAAACTTTGATTGATAAATCTAAATCTGTCAAGTCTGTCTTGACTCAATTGTTCCCAGGTAATGGTGATATGGAAGGTATTGATACTGTCAATGCTTGTTACGGTGGTACCAACGCTTTATTCAACTCTTTAAATTGGATTGAATCAAGTGCTTGGGATGGAAGAGATGCTATCGTCGTCTGTGGTGATATCGCTATCTATGATAAAGGTGCCGCTAGACCAACTGGTGGTGCTGGTACCGTTGCATTGTGGATTGGTCCAGATGCTCCATTGGTCTTTGACAGTGTTAGAGGTTCTTACATGGAACATGCTTATGATTTCTACAAACCAGATTTCACTTCTGAATATCCTTACGTTGACGGTCACTTCTCTTTGAAATGTTACGTTAGAGCTTTAGATCAAGTCTACAATACTTACTTAGCCAAGGGTATCAAGAGAGGTTTAATTGGTGATGAAAGCAAGCCATTGACTGAATTCTTCGACTACAACGTTTTCCACGTTCCAACTTGTAAATTAGTCACTAAATCTTACGGTAGAATGTTCTTCAACGATTGTAAGAGAAATAACTCACTATATCCATCCACTGAATCTGAAGAAGATATCAACAACTGGAAGAACATGGAATACGAAGAATCTCTAGTTGACAGAGGTGTTGAAAAGAAATTCGTCGGTTTATCTAAGTCTCTATACGATGCAAAAGTTGCTAAATCTTTAATCGTCCCAACTAATACTGGTAACTTATACACCGGTTCCGTATACTCTTCATTATCTTCATTAATTTATTACGTCGGTAGTGAAAACTTGCAAAACAAAAGAATTGGTTTATTCTCTTATGGTTCTGGTTTAGCTGCCTCATTGTTCTCATGTAAAGTCGTTGGTGATTTGAGCAAGATCGCCCAAGTACTAGATTTAGACAACAAATTGAACGTCAACAGAAAACAACAAACACCACAAGAATACGAACAAGCTATCCACTTAAGAGAACACGCTCATTTGCAAAAGAATTTCAAACCAACTGGTTCAATTGATTTGATTGCTGAAGGTTCCTATTATTTGACTGAAGTTGATGACAGATTCAGAAGATCATATGCTATTAAAGAATAAATGCCATAATCCAAAAATAATAGTAATAATAACAACAGCAATAATAAAAATATTAAATTATTTTCATTTATAAAAATTTCTCCCATTGTGCCTGCAATTTATCTCATCTCATTCATTTTAAAATTAAACATATATCCGACATATAAAAAAAACTAACTAAGATTTTAAGATATAAATTTCTCTAGATTAAATTAATTTTAAGTTTCTCCCATTTTCTCATACTATGTAAAATATAGACATATATATATACATAAATATGTATGTATGCCTTGACGTACATGTGTTAGTTTTTTTTACATCACTAATCGATATCAAAAGATACAAAAATCAACTAATGAAAAAGAATCAACCAAGTAAACTTGAAATAAAATCGCTCTTCAGTTGATCTAGAACTAGGTCATATATTTTGTAATCAATTGTCGTGAACCAAGTATTTAATTTACAATTATGATTATAGAGGTAATACTAATATCGTGGCTACTCAATCAACAAAACAGCAACAGCATCTATTAATAGTTATGGTGGATAAAGACGAATTCTTGTCATTAAAACAAATTTCCTAATAAATTAAAGTTTGGATTACCGGCCAGCTAGGAATGGAATGTTTGTATAATGAAATAAAACGTAGTCTAGTTTGGGTTTTCGGAATTGTATAGATTTAAGAGTAAGAGGTTACTGTACTGCTTAGTTAAACTTTGACACATTTGGCGGAGGGGTGGACTAGCCATTGTTAGACCTTTAAGTAGAATTTTGTATGAGTGACAGCGATAATTGAGCGGTAGTGCAGTTTGTCAAAAAGAAAAAATGAACAAACCAACCAACCAGAAAAGAGTATGTGTCACATGTCATCATTAGAAAGCTCTTTTCGATGACTTTGAATTTGTATTTGAAAGCTTTTCAGTACCCAGAATATAATTAATCAGTCCAAAAAATTGGGTTTGTATGTGTCCAGCCAATTCCTCAAATCCAGCTTATGCTAATATTTATTTTTGTTCTTTTTCCCAAGAAATGCGGTGATTTATATTACGTATACAGTGATCCTGGTAAACCATACATTTTTGATATAGTAGAGGAAGATGGTGAGGGGAGAAGGACAAAGTTGGTGTGAGTCTAGCATACACGATAATTGGTCTCTGATTACTAAGAGAATGAAACGATGACATCGGCCGAGTCAATTAAAATAGAATTTAGATCATTTTATTTATGATTTTGTATGTCTCTCCAGTAGTAAATACACACCGAAAAGAAAAGCCAACAACAACAACAACAAAATATAATGTGAATTCTATGACAAGAAATATATGCATAGTGATGCAAACTCGTATCGGTACCTCAGTATGTAATTGTTAATAACAATATGAACTAGATTAACTAACTGCCTAATTACGTGGTATAACATAACATAACAAAAATAAACATGAACATTATTTCAATGAAACTGCGTGGTGAGTTTAGATTTGCCATAGTAATCAAACCCAAAACAGATGGATGGATATATTATTCATCGTAAAGAGAAATGAAGAGAGTTAACGTAAGAGAGTTAACGTAAGAGAAAAATCCTCAAAACTTCTAACAACATATGATTGGTCAATAGGGGGTCAGTCCAATTCTTATAACTTGAATAGTTTGTATATACTAACCGTAAATGGAAATTACGTAGTAAACAGGGTATCATACACAACGAACTTGTAGTATTTAATTCCCAACTGTAAATGTTTTTTTTTTTTTTCTTTGATGTGACAACAGACGATGGCTCCTTTTCATTTGGGTTTATTTTTATCTTTTCCTAATGAAATCTTTCCCATGTTATTTCGCAGGACAAATTCTGGTTCCAGTCCAGTCATTTCCCCATCCTCCTCCACATCTACCTGAGAACCTAAAAAAAAATAATTATTAGTTTGAATTTTGTTTCTGATACAGCCAATATGGTATGGTTTTCCACCAAAGCGGAACCGAAGTGCGGATATATTTAGCTTTTCTTTCACTGTTTCTTCCGTGAGGATAAACACGCGAACAAGCTCAGTTGCAAATTTCTTGTTTGGGGGAGGGGCTCGTCGGAAGAAAGTCCAGGACGAGTAAAAAGAGCAAGATCACCCGAGCAACCTGTGAGTAGCCAAGAGAAGAAGCGTACAGAAGGTGACTGACTGGATGTATCCCAATTTGGACTATGGCTAATTAGTGATTGAAGAGTTAGAGTAAGCTCAAGAGCAAAGGCAACAACAAATATAAATAAATAGATTGCCAGCGGTTCTTGGGTCGTTTTTTTTTCTCACTGAAAACGTAAAGGCATATAGCTGCGCAAGAGAAAGAATCTTATCGTTGTGCAATTACTATTTTTTTTATTTTTTACTTTTCTTGTACATTTTTTCTGTTTCTGGGGGTGGGTTGTTTGTAGGGGCGAGTGTCGGGAAGACTGAGGTCTGTCGCATGATGAGACAAACTTGGGGTATCGACAAAATCTGGAGAGAGAAATCGTCGCGGGGAAGGATGTCTGATATGAAAAAAAAAAGTGTATAGTGTAGGTAGGAAAAGGCATAATATGAATATGGGGTGTATGGACGCATTTTTTGAAAGTAATAGTCGTAACGAGGAGATTAGCTATTCTCCGGCGGAAATATTATACAATACAATGCAATACAATACAATACAATTCAATACTAAAAAAGTGTACTTAAAATAAGAGAGTAAAAGTAAAAAAAAAACCATACCAGTTAGATTAGACCATTCATTGTATCCATTCATTCTTAAGAAAACATCATAGCGTTATTTTCTTTTTAGGTTCAAGATAGCTATCTATTCACTTTGCCCTGATAGCTTGCTTTGGTTCCTCTTTCTCTTAAGAGCAATCAAGTCGATCCGATCGATCGATGCACACAATTCATAAAACTTGTCTTTTTCATTTTATTGCTCTTGTTATTGCTCTTGGTAATCATCTGATCAATTCACAGAGTACCAATCATAACGGCTAAATTTAAATTCAAAGATAAACCAAACTGAAAGTGGATATACAATAAAGTGTATTGTGCAGAGCAGAGCAGAACAGAGCAGAGCAGAACAGAACAGAGGGAGATTCGGACTCATCCAAAAAGGAAACTTCAGGTTATCTCCGGGCGATTTGGCCAATAGCAAGTTGCTCACCAGTGGAGACACCTCAATATCTCCAACAATTGTTTGCTCCATGATGATGCTGGAGACACCAGATCAACCCATATTTATAGGTATTGGTACTCCAATTTCTTAGTCTTGCAATAAAGAAAACGTATGACCAGTATTAGAGATTCTTGGGTTATCCTGTAATGATAGAACCAGATAATAAAAGGCATTAGGAATTATTAAGTTTTTGATTGTTGACTTACCTATACCATCTGAAAATATAAATAGCATCCGAATACTACCAGAATCATCGCTGTCTTTCTTTCGGTTCTGTTGCTCTTGTGGCACTGTTGCTCAGTTCGTCTTTCTCTCTCATTCTGGTTCCGTCCATTATTAATTTACGGTTCTTGTCTTGTCTTGTCCTGGTCTGGTCTGCCCTGTCCGATGGCACTACCTGGTTCCTGGTCCTCTCTTTAGGAAAGTTTAGGTAGTAGGTAGTAGGTAGTTTTATCTTTAGCAATTTTTTTCTTCTTTCCATCTTGTTACTTTGTGGGGCGCACACTGCTCTCTGCGCACTTATCTCCGATCTATTAGACATTTCATGCACTGCACGGTACGCCGCCTGTCTACATCTCTGTAGTATGTGGGTGTTTCTCCTTTTGTGGATTTGTCTGGGTCTATTTCCTTCTCCTCCACGAATTACCTCCGGCGACATCTCTCGTCATAATCAACTGTTGTCTGTCTGTCAGGTCGACAAGACAAAGTTTACTAATTTTCTACTTCCACTTCCGTGTTTATTTTTATTTTTATTTTTTTAATTTACCTCTCTAACTGTTCCAGCAGGGTCTGGTGTCCGCTAGGGGGGGTGGCCCAGTCAGGCCGGGGAGGAACAGGAAATTAAAAATAGCGTTAGGCAGGCCCAAAAATAATAATAGATGAAAAGATGGACGGGACGGTTTTGCAGTTATTTTGGTTAATTTGGTCAAGAAAAATAAAAGTTTCATTTTTTGCTCAGGATAGGTCACTGCAGCGGTTTGACTGTTCGACTGTTTGGGTTTGGGAAGAGAGTAATCCTTTTTTCTTTTTGTTGCTCATTGCTTAAAAAAAAATTTAAATTTTTAAATTTTTCATTTCGGACAGAAACTGGTTTGGTTGTTTGTTTGTTTGTTTGTTAGTCCTTTTCTCTCTAGAAGTATATTCCTTTTGGGCTGGAGAAATAAAAGGTATGCACTGTAGTGTCTCTCTGAGTGTCTCTCTCTGTGTGCTCTTTTTTCATTTTCAGTTTTTTTTATCTTTTTTCATGTTTAAAGTATTATCAAAGAAACTACAGGGCCGGAATCATCAATTTTTTATTTTTATTTTTCATTTCAGATTTCAGAGAAGGAAGGAAAAAAAAAATTTAATATTTGAAATTGTTCATTCATACACAAGATTCACTAACATTTTTTTTTTTCACTCTGACTTATTTGATACATCTATAATTCATACCCACATTTTGGATATTTTGGATATTCTCTCAATAGATCCTTATTCCCATATACATATATATACACCTTTGGGTTAATTGGATCGATGACATTCATTCACTCATTCCACATTTCGTATGTTCATCATCGCAATCTGATTTCCTTTGAGTTTAAGTTTTCAACTTTGACATTTTTATACATACTATCTATTGATTAGTATATTCCCTAACATCCATCCAACTGTTGAATGTTTAAAATATAAAGTGTTGTTAACGCTCTATAATTAAATTATTATTATTGTTTTTTTTTTGTTTTTTTCATTTTGAAGTTTCCTTTGGGTTTTATTTCAGATTATAAATTTAAAATTCATTACATAGGAACCCAGCTAGAGTTCATTGCCTTATTTTTTGTTTTCTCGCCCACCTCTGAAAAGTAGATCAATAATAGTCATCATTCAATTCCATCGTTGGTGTAAAACAAAAATATCTGCAACTACATATTAAAATTTAGATATTTTAATTCAATACACAGACAGTGATCTCAACAGAACTTTGGTTTTTTCCTGCTCTCTCTCTATATATATCAGAAGAAAGTTCATTGAAAAGACAATAAAAAAAACAATATTTACCGTCATTCAAGCTTATCGTTACTATAACTATTCTATTATCAGGAAATTTTTGATGTTGATTTAAATACACACTCCAAAAATAACAATCATCTATTTTCTTTTAATTGCTACATTCATAACGTCGGATAGACTAATCTCGTCATTTTCATTCCCATTCCCATTCCCATTTTTTGAATTCATATTCAATTCATTACATCAAATCATTAAAAATATAACAAAAATATCATCGGATCTTCAGAAAAGATAAAATACTTTTAACGTATCCATTTTGTTACGATTAACGACCCTTTATTATTTATTCCTTGCATTACTATTATTCCCTTTTTTTACCTTTTAATTTCCCTTTACTTCTTCACTTTTTCACAAATACACTTTTTTTAAAATAATGATGTTTAAATCTATTAAAAATAATAGATTTGCCTCAATTAAAAAATTTCACAATTGTTCAATAAGATTTAACAGAAAAAACTTTATTGTAACTAATTCAAACGATTTTACCTTTTTTTTCAACGATAACGTAAAATATAAAAGAAGAAGAAACCATAGATTCGATAATGATAACGATTTTGATTACGACTTTTACAATTTAATTATTAGAAAATTCTATTTTAAAAATAATAATATCAATCCCTTTAATAATAACAATAATTTCGTACCTATTTTATTGACATCAGATAATGACCATTTTAACAACAAAAATTTGAAATTTTATTGTAATAAAAAAAATTATATCCATAGTAATCTACGTAACAACTCAAGTGGTATTGACAGATTTCATAACAATTTAATTAAAATAAAAAGAAGAAGAAAATTATTGTTATCTTCAAATTTAAAAAATAACACTATTCGTTACTATCAAAATAATAATATTCATTTAACGAAAAGTAAGTTCTTTATTAATAAAAGAAATTTTCATTCTAATTCTATCATTAAAAATAATGAGGATAAAACTATAATTAATGACCAAATTAACGACTTGACTAATAATACCAATAATAATAATGACAGTACAATTAATAATATTAATAATGATTTCCCTTGGGAAAAAGACAATGAAGAATCTCTTAATAAAGACACTTACTTAAAAGCTCATATGGACTCTATCGACAAAGCCTTTATCAAAAAGGATTATAACATTATCAATGCCTTATACCAATCTTTGAAAAGAAATGATTGCGTCCCTTCAATTGAAACCTATTACAAAATTCTATATTCAATCGCTCATCGTGATCTAGATTCAGATGATATCAATTATAAAATGTTCCAAATTTTATCTTGTTATGAAGATATTATTATTAAAAATAAATTAAAGCCAACAGATGAAATTTATAGCGTTCTTTTAGAAAATTTATTTAAAGGTTCAATCATTTCTTATGAAAATAACAACTATAAAAATGGCTTGGACTTTTTCAAAATCGCTTTAAATATTTTTTTACAAGTTTACGAAAATCATAATTTATCAAATGATAAGGTTATCAAGAATTTCCTAATTTCTATCAATTATTATCCTGGTAATATTAGCTTTCTTCAAATTAATCAAGTCTTCAATAAATTTAATTATAAAATCGAAGACAATTATAAAATATACTTCCAGACTTTGTTGAATTATTCCATCTTAATTAATGATGAGGCTTCTTTTGATCTTCTTCATAAAGAATTTACAATTTTTAGTGAAAATAACTGCATAGATAACTCTTTTGACTATTCAATATGGCAGTTAATCATATCTGGTTTAATTGAGATCAAACAGGATTTTACTTTATCAACAAGTATTTTGAACTTAAAATTAGAAGAATCAAAATCTAGGGACAGCACGAGAGTAGATCTATCTCATTTAGTTTCAAACTACTTGATATCAATCTCTAAGTCAAATCCATCTAAATCTCATACTCTATGGCTAGCCTTTAAGAAATTGAATTGGTTGCCAGAATTTGATTATAACTTTTATTTGAAGATGATTCTAAATTCAAAAAATAATTGGAATTTAACAAAAATGTATTATAATTACATTTATCCAATGAAATTGAGTTCTTCTAAAATTAAAATTGAAGGCACATCCTCAAACAATTTATTGAAATTACCTCAATCCAATGATATTCAGTCCACCGTTGATCTAAATACAATTCATGATTATTTGATACTGAAATCGATTCAATCAAACGATAGTGAAATGGTTTTCAAGCTAATTCAGGAATCATTAGTTAAAAATTTGAAGTTTAGTTATCTGAATACCTACAATGAGGCTCTAAATTTTTTGAAAGAAAGGAAATATCCTATTGATTCTACGATAAATTTTATCGAATTACACTCGACACTAATTTGCGATTCTTCAAAGAACCAACTGAATGAGCTAAACTTCAATTCATTTGTCAACGCATCATTATCAATGTTTATTGATAACCATAAGTTTTTGGTGAAGTTTGTAGAAAGTGCTACTTTCTCAAACTATTGCCAATCAGCAAATCTGTTAGACTTAACAACGATAACTCTTCTAAGTACTATTCTCAAAAGCGTCATGGGTAAATCATCTGATTCTATAGATAGTTATCCAACCTTTCTTAAATTGTATTCCATTTTTGTTATGAAGTTTGCAGAGCTTACTTTACATGATAACTCATACGAGATTAGTCAAATGGAGCTTTTGAATACTTTTAAATCCAGAATTATTGAAAACCATTGCCAACTAGTTCAACATTATTATGATTTAAACCTTAACCCAAGATACTTACCTTCTGAAGTTTTGCAATCATTATCATTATCGAATTTTTCAAAGGAGATAATCGACTTTTATAACGGTATTAATTATGATACAGAGTCCCTAAACTCGAAGGTATTGTGTTATGGTACAATAATAAGAAATTCACCAGATAAAGGAGTCATTGAGTTCAAGAAATTACTAAACAAAGGTTCTTCGTTTGATTACGATACTTATTATACTATCCTGTCAGATAAGGATTTGGTCAAAAAAGTACCAGTTAATCAAGTTATAAAGAATGCCATCCAAGCGTGCCCAACTGACAGCAAATGTATGGAAAAGTTAATTAATACCATCTTGTTTAATGCCAATGACAACGTTTTAGAATCGATCTTTTTGGATGAAACAATGATTAGAAGTCATTTTGTACCTTACGTGAACGAAATAAATTTATCCAATCTTATTCAATATTCATCGAGGGAAGGAGGTGATTTCAATAGTTTTTTGAAGATGATAAGTTTTCCTGAAAGGTTTTCCAATATTAAGAATCAAACAGTATACAAATCATCGATTTCTAAAATCTACAATATATTGTTTGAAAAGGGTCAATTCGGTCAAATTTCTGAGTATAATAATATATTACCAGTTTTGCAACTTGATTTGTTATTGAAGTCATTTATTTATAACAATGACGGTGAAAAATTTGTCTCATACTTTACCAGTTATGAGGAACAGCTTAGTTCTAAATCAAAAGTTGAATTAAAGCTCGAGCATTCATTATTTGAAGGAAGGAAGGACAAATCTATTAAATTAGTCCAAGACGCCATCAAAAGGAAACAATTGAGCGTAAGTGACATCGCTGATCTTCGAAGCTTGCTTGGCTTCGTTCAATGTATGAATGACAATATTAAGATGACAGAAGATGCTATAGAATCTGAGAAGCCAAAAAACATTCTGCAACTTTCAAATTTGTTGTGCAGTAAGTCTGATAGTTACTCAAACATGGTTTCTATTTATCAGGAATACAGCCATTTAACCGACAATGACCAGTTATTAAAGGCAATGTTGGGAAGATTTATATGGTACTCAAGGATATGCACTGCCACTCCTAATTTTGAACACAAAAATTTAGATAGAAGCATGAAAAACTTCTTGAGATTTAAATGCTATCTAAAAAAACCTTTAATTTATCAGTCTGATTTAGAAAAAATTATTCAAATATGGACCAAAGTTAATACAGCAATGGTAGATGCATTGCTTAATAACATGATAGAATCATTATATTTAAACCCAGAAACCGATATATTATATTTGAACAATAGCTTGAGTTATAAATTCAATAAGAGCTCTTTAAAGGATTTAGTACAATCACTTAAATTGCATTACGAAGAAAATTCATTACATAATGAATTAACGATAAAAATTGATAAATCTCTGCGATTTATTAATGAAAATTTACAACAAAAAAATATAGCATTTAATTTAATATAATTATATAGACTAATAGACTGTTATTTAATTTTCTGCTTAAATCATGATTATTCATCGTATATTTCCACGAAGGAGTGCTACTCTAACAAAGATATCCGTTATTCGACCAAGTCAGATCAACATTTTTTCAGGTAAATAAGAAATAGAGTATATGATAGAAGAATAACTTCCCTTTCATACCAATTATATTTATACAATTACATATACATCTATATCTATATATATGTATATATGAAAATAGATTACTATTAACATACTTACTTCGATAGAACTTGCTTTCCGAATATATCTATAAGTTTTACAGATCTGAAATCGATTTGAATTATACATTAAAATATTTCAAAATCATACTAATCCGCTCATATGAACTTTTCTTTCTTTAGTTAGAATTGGAAATTCTCATAGCATTTTAGTATTATCCATGTATTCTGAAAGAGCTGAGCTTAGCGGTGGAACATCAGATAACTTATGCAAAACTATTGGCTTTATAGTCTGGCAAAATCTAATACCAGAACCTTCTGTATCATTTGATAACAAACATAGAAATGTTGCGGATGCTTTTGAAATTTCAGATATATTGTTGGGAAACGAAATTTGTGGTAACTCACTCTGAGTAACCTCATGAATAATCTCATTTTCGTTATCAGAACCATTTTTTAGATCCAAATCATTCATTTTATCATCTTCACCACTAATTTTTTTAATTCTTTTCAAATGTTCTTCCTCTGCCTCGAATAGACTTAATGGTTTGTAACGTGGCTGTATGCCTTTAACAACGAAACGCTTTTTTCCTGTTGTTGGATCTGTTATTACCATTGCGGAAGCTATGCTGAATGCATTGGAAACATTTTTAATAAACTCAACAGCAGGCAATAGGCGTTTCCCATTTAGTTCACGTAACGGTTGAGCAAATTTTGATTCATAGCTTTTCCAAAGTGTGATTTGGGTAACTTCTGATTCTTTTACTGGTTCAAAACAACATCTTAACCACATTGTAGATCTATATGGTTCTTCTAGATGCAATAGTTCTGAAAATAGCTTTTCATCTAATTGCGGTGCTTCTTTAGGAGCAGGTGGCCTTAATCGTTTAATCAAATTAACATCGAATTGTTCAACATTACTATATTCAGGTAACTGAACATTGTCACATAACAATTTTGGCAATACTGTTGCTAATTGATTAAATCTTGAAATATCGCTTAATAATTTTGAGATTCTTTCATTTCCAGGTAAAATATATTGATACAATAAATCCAGAGATGCAGCAACTAATTCACTATCACAATCAATTAACAAAAATGATACAACTAATAATAGAGAACTTTCATCTATGTTATCTGCAGCACTTTCTTCGTCCGCCTTGGATCTTACTAGTAAACGTGAAAGGGATCTCAAAACTGAAATGACCATATATCTATCCTTTGAATAATTTAATAACTTGATTAAAGTTTTGAAGAATGGGTCATCTAATTTTGCTGGTGCCATATATGACGATATAGCTTCCATAATGTCCAAAGTATAATGAATCAATTCATTTACAATAGAAAAGTTATGTTCGAAAATTTGTTTGTTATCACCTGTACTACTATAAGTACAAAACTTTTCATATTCTTGTAAGACGAATAAAATGAAATCTTTAACTTCATTGTCTGTAACTAAAACCTGAACGGAATCAGTATCTTGAGAAAGGTTCCTCAAGATCAATAAACAAGTTAAGCCCAATTGCAATGTGTTAGAAACTTCACTGTTATCACCTTCATTTGAAAATTTAACCAATGGTTGATCAACATTTTCTATTAACGGTTTCAAATTGGTAATAAAAGGTTTAAATAGTGGTAATAAATCTGGCAAATCTTTCAAACTTATCATATATGGAGCTTTATTACTATAAGCCAGATACTTTTTCAAAGCCCATTTAATCTCTTCAGGTATATCACTTAATATAGCCATTTTCATTCTAGTTAAATCATCAGTGCCTCTTGTGGTTTCTCTTGGTAAATTTTGGAAAACATTTAAATTCGACAAAGAAAATTGTAAAGAACCTCTATTATTCATTAAAGAAGAACCAACTAATCCACTAGACTCATTTCTTGATACTTTAATAGGAGTAGCAACCATAGATGCAAACATATTTCCTGTAGTGTTAACACCATTTATAGCATTCTCGTCTTTCACATTACCAAAACTATCCATATTCATCACACCAGAACTCATCTTAAACAATGGAATAGACAATAAATAACCTAACTAATCTCAAAAATACCACTTTATCTCAAACTGAAGCCACTATTGCTCTTATTCTTATCTGTCTTCGTGATATTATGTTACTTTTAATCAAGCACCTCTTCTTGATATCTTATTTTTTTTATTTATATCAAATGAAAAATTTCAAGACTTTAAAAGGTCAATTGATGAAAAAGTGCAAGAAAGAATAGATATATCTGTAAATAATAGTGTAATAACACGATTAAAGAGTAGTAAATTATATCAAGAGATGGTAGAAAACTGATTTAACTTATTAAATTGATATATTTTAGCTTTCAAATTACGAAACTAGATTAAATTATGGCAATGCTGGTGGGACAAATATTTAAAAAATATTGACAGAAAAGTAAAAATGTACTGAAACTAATCTAATCGAAATTAAATTATTAAAATAGTTTCAAGGGTTGCATGATAGAATACGTTTAAGCAGATTTGAGGTGTGCTCTAGATGAAAGATAGTTCTTTCTTTTGTCCAACGCATTATTGCAGATTTTTTAAAGGGATTAGGGTCACATAATATGAGGTTTGTGTGGTGTGATACTCTAGGGGAACATTGTTTTAACTTGTCTATTCGAATTAAAGAATTAATTACGATTTAAGACAATTGACGACATGTTACACACATACACACATATATACATACATATATACATATATATATGGCTGTATGTGTGAGAGTGAATGTTATGTCGATTATAAACTAATTTAAGTTTGACAGTAATTTATTTGTCAATGCGTATATTGACTTTTGATTATTATATGCTACTTTTTGTATAGGGAAAAGGTATTTTATATTACAGTCAACCCAATTAATATAGTACCTATGAATTTCACGTATTTGTTTTCATTTTTGTCGGTTTTGTTCGTTGCTGTCGTTAGTCTAAATGACCAATCTTCATTTTCCGTCGAGAAATGGACACACAAGGATTTTGTAGACTATGTGAAGGACAATGCTGAAATCCTAAAGGACCTTACTACTTATACCTTTGAAGACTTGAAGGAAAGCCTTTCAAGTTCAGCATTTTTACCTCACCTAGCCAAGGAAGAACCTTTCTGGAAATTCTGGAAATCAAGTGGATCGTACTCAACATCTAAAAACCTATATGGAAAGCATGGCAAAGATGTCTCTGACTGGCTTTTTGATACATGGTCTGTAACTGACCTTCATAAATTATTGGACTCTACAGACATTGAAATCAGTCCTTATGCAACCAAGGAAGCGCTTTTGCAAAAAGTGAAGGATAACTTTGAAGAAATCTGTGATAAGTTGAAAGTTTCTGGGTATTATCCCTCTAGTGGGTTTTTTGATAACTGGTCTACAGATGATATTCGCCATTGGCTAGATCATTTTGGGATTGAATACTCTAAAAAGATAGCAGATGACAGAGAAAAGCTGTTACACACATTGAAACAGAATATATTCCACGCATCAGAATATTTGAAAGAGAAGAAAAGAGATTTTGTAGAAACTTTCTTCAGTTCAGGCGAACCCTTGTTTGATAAAAATGGAAATATTTTCCATGATATCATTAATCATCTACCAACGTATGACTTAGAAAATTGGCTTGATATTCATGGAATTGTAGTTGACAAAAAATTGGCAACAAACCATGAACATCTAGTAAAAATAGCAAGGAAACACATTGGTCAATTAAAGGCTGATATCGAATGGTACATCGAAGAGAAGAAAAAAGAATCTAGCCCAATTCTATTGAAACCAATGGAATATGTCACATCATTATTCAATCTAACTAATACCAAAGTCAGTAATGGATCAGCTCCTGGCTGGATCGAGTCAATATGTGGGAAACAACACCATGTTATTAACAAGGAGGAATTGTCACAATGGTCCAGAGATAGATTAAAGTCATTTTTAGAGGCTAGAAATATAAAATACCACAAGTTGTCGACTATGAGAGAATTACGTGAACAAGCATATAAATCAAGAAGTATTCCTGTTACGTTGACTGATGAGGACCAACACAAGTTTTTAAATATTCTATCATCGAACAAACTTTATAATTGGATCCACGAGAAGCACCCAACTGTTACAATTGCCGATAAGAACTCCAAATACAGCTGGAAAGATCAGGTTATGAATAAATGGTATCAAACTCTAGAATCTTGGTCAATTGATGAGCTTTCATCGTACTTGAAGAGTTTTGGAGTTCATACCAAACCAACATCTACTAAGGATGACTTAATCAATCTAGTTAAATTGAAAACAGAAGCATTATTTGGCCATAGGAAGGTAGATGAACCGTTTTATAAAAGATGGTACAACAAGTTGTTAACATGTTGCAGATAGACTGGCACTATCTATTCAATTAACCATATATATATATTAGTAATATTCTGAATTGTTTATGCTATTTAATGTTTTATTGAATCTAATTTAGAATGGGATCAGTTTAATTAATCTTTAAATATATACGATTATTTTACTATTATTTAATCCCGGTATGATTTAGGTTTTACTTTGAAATATCAAATTTTAAGTCACCTCAGACTCCAGTAGTTCATTATTTCTACATGTTAAAAATCTTTGTAATCCTTAATTTAGAATGATATTTAGTAATTTGCTTTATAATGATGTTTCAATACGAAGAAGTTAGTAATCTAGAAAACCAAACCTCATTCAATATAATTAGTCTATGATAATATGTTAATCAGGTTATCTTTGATTATTACCATATTTTTGGGAATCTTGCCAACTATATTTGCAGATTCAGTTCGGTCTGCATTCAATTACAACGTTGATAAGTGGAATAATGAGGACTTCTTAGAATACATTACAGACAATATAAATCTAATTAATGGAGTTGTTAATAATCTACATAGGAATTTTGAAGATAACATTAACTTGTTCGATGAAGATTACTTAAAGGATGAAAGAATTGTTGATTTATCAGACTGGCTGTTCGATACCTGGTCAAATTCAAACATACAAAATATCCTGGTTAAGAGTGGAATTATTGATAAAAGTGACAAGCTTAATGATAGTGAGAAGTTAATTAAACTAATTAAAAGTAATTTCGATCAGATTTGTAAAGCTTTGAAAGTTTCTAAATATTATCCCTCCTTAGACTATTTCCAAAATTGGACCCTAAAAGATATCAAGCTTTGGTTAAAACGGTATAATATAGAAATTGATAATTCTAAAATTAACAATAGACAGGATTTAGTAAACTTATTGAGGGAAAATATATTTGTCAAGACCTATGAAGTGAATGCTAAAAGACAAAAAATATTCCAGCAGTTACGTTCCATTAATGAAATCTTATTTGATTCAAATGGCAAATTGAAAAGAAATATCTTGAAGCAAATTCCTGAATCAGACCTACAAGAGTGGTTATGGAGTCATGGTATTCCTACTAATGACAGAAATAATTTATTTGAAAAGGTAAATGCAAATATCGAGTTGTTGAAAAAAGATTATCAAAATTATCTAGACATCAAAAGAGAAAATACAAATTTATACAATTTAATCCCACAATGGCTACAGAATGGTCTTCATAATGTAATGTCAGACCAATTATACAATATTAACAATTGGTCAAAGGAAAAATTGGGCTCATATTTAGAGAAAAATGGGATAAAGCACAGCGATTATGATACATTAAAAAAGTTACAAAATTTGGTTATGGAATCTATTAACAAGATACCATCTACTATAAATGGATGGGTACAATCTCATGGAGAAATTCTTCAGGAAAAATTATTCTTTTTACAAAGAGAGGCAAACTTGTCGAGAGAACAACTAGAGGATAAATTTGATGAGATTTTAAATTCCAAATCGACAAATGAGTTGTTAACATTCCTCAAGAAGATGGGTGTTGAAGTTAATCTAAATGCAACTAAGAGTCAATTGATTTCTGTCATAAAAGACCATATTGGAGAATACTGGAAAAACCTGAACTAATAGTTTGCCAATGTTATCAACTTATGGATAGGACTCTCAAAGATATTATTAATAGCATACTAAAAAAGGAGGAAATGAATTATATATTATCTTTCATTATTCTGCAATCCATTGGACAATATAATTTCTGGATCAGCCATCTATCTTTTTAGAGGCAAATTATTTGTGAGCGAGATATTTTGGAAATTAGTTGGAAAGAATATTTCTTTGATTCACTAGTGAATTCGATTAAATCTCTTAGGTTTTAATCAAATATTATCCAAACAAGTCAACTTAATGTATTCCACAAGTTTTTAATATCCTATTGGATCGACTGATACTTCTATTTTCAAATTGGATTAGATTTATAAAACATGTAATTTGGGAAATTAAGCCAGATGAATTTTTACTATTAATCGGGGATCAAATGCTGTTGTTCGTACAATGACGACAAGAATACGGCCCATAGTTTTTTAAAATAGTAATAATTAAGTATAAATTTGAAAATACTCTTTGCAATGAAGTATATAATTCTCATCAATAGTGAGAGATAAAATCAGTTCCAAATAGAGTACAACTGTGAGTTATATGTGTCAGAATTATGAGGTAACACGTGATATATACGTATTACGACATTATTCATATAGGATAAAGAAATGTTACTTTACACAAAAGTATTACTGACGCTGAAAACCTTTCCAACAATGTATATAAGAAATGATGAGATCTTAATCGACACTTGTCATGTTAATTATATTCCCATGTGTATATTATATACTTTAATACACCGGATCAATATCAACTTATTAAGAATGTTGAAATTGTTGATCATTTTTAATAGGTGACATATTTCTTAAATTATATTTCTCCGTGAGGATTTTATATATAATATAAAATAATAATATAAATATGTAAAGGTAATCTTGGAAATCAGATTATCCTAATCTTGAGATTAGTGTCCGTATTTATACGTTTAATCTTCGATCTCACAATCTTGTAATTACTAATCATTAATTCTAACAATTCCTTGCACTCTCACTCAAGTATTTTAGTTTATTGGTAATTTACCAATAATATTCTTTTTATTTTGTTTCTAGAATGTTCTACAATATTGCAAACAATCAATAACCTGATTGTTAGTAATTACCTGATTAGTTATTGTATACCATATTAATAGATTGATTTATGTTACATTATCATAGATATATCTATGACGTCATGAACATCTTATAAAGTAGTCACGTGTGAGTGGAAATAAGGAACATTCTGGAACCTTCTAGGTCAGAACAAAGAATGTCCTTGGAAATAAATAAAGAATCTATTACTATGAACGATTCGGTAGAAAAACCACAACATAATTCTCTACAAGAACGTATATAAAGAACTAGATAGTTATCATAGCTACATGAATAAGTTCCCAAACTAAGGGGGACAGACTTAATTATTATTACAATATACAACTTAATATATTGATCAGTATATCTACCTTTAGCTTATACTAATATATTAGAATATAGTACACATATTACTTCTTTAACTAATATAATACTTATTCACTATTATATAATAACCGGTCAAAACAATACAATCCGATTGAGAATGTCCCAGACAACATCATAGTATAGTACAAAACTTTCAACAATTAAAGATCCGCGATAGTTTAATGGTTAGAATGGGCGCTTGTCGCGTGCCAGATCGGGGTTCAATTCCCCGTCGCGGAGTTTCTTTTTTTGATTCATATTATTACAACTATATTAAAATGGAATCAATGAATCTATTTCAATATATTAACATAAATTAATAATAAGTGAAGTTTTGACAACAATATCACAGACTATGAACATGTAATACATATCAGTTCATGTATAAACCCTATCCTCTTATTTAATTTAATTTTTGAATTTAGAGTAATAGCAGGAATAGCAGCTATTTCTCCAATATTATATTTACTTAAGTCACTTTAGATATTTGAGGTAAGGGAAGGGAAATGTTGAAAAGTATTTATCAATGTGAGGAAGGAAACTATATACATTGCTATACCTGTACTTCAAAATACATATTTATTGTTGAATCAGCATTGAGTTCACCGTATGATATTTTTTTAAAATTTTCCAAGATCGATGAAGTTGCTGCCAATGTCAAAACGTTAAACTATCCAATATTATTTAACAGGAAGACATTAGCAGTAGATGATAGCACTCCTAGAGTTCAGTCAATAAAAATTGTTAATGTTCCAAAATTTGTAGAAGGGAAATTGATTATTGACAATTATTTGGTACTAACCTCTACTAATGGTATACAGATTTGTTCAGTCGATGATATTATTGATTATCAAAATTCCAATTCTAATACTAAGATTCATAAGTGGGATCACTCTAGGAGGAATGACTATATTACATCATCTTATTCTCAAGGATACAAGGAAGATTCTATATTAGTGACTTATGGTACAATATTAGGGGACCTTGTTCAATTCAAATATAATATTGTGGATGGGAAATTTAGCAAAATGATTCTTAGCAGCACACTTTTATCAGTAAAGGAAAATCTTATGGATTCCGTTACAAATATTAGTGGTATCCAACTAGGTTCTAACTTCCCAGGAGAAGAAGATGAAATACTATGGTCTTGTCAGTCTTCAAGTAAAATGATGACCATTACAAGCTTAGATGATAATATATTCATAATAAATGAAGGAAAAATGAAATCATTAAATTTAGATGAAATCGAGACTTACGGATTAGGTCCAGATGAAGTTCCTGCGTTAAATTGGGGCAGTTTCCTCGTTACTGAAGATGAAAATAAAAAGTTACAAGAATACATCTTATTAAATGTCACAAACGTCGGTAGTATACTTTACCAAAAAGACGAAACCAAAAGATGGAAGAAACTTGACGTATTTGATAGAGATTTCAGCCAGAATGAAACCTCAATATTCGATTGCATAATTTGTAAATCTGATATCAATTCTGATATAACAATTATTAGTGGCAGTGAAAATGGTATCCTGTATATTTGGGAATATGACCCAAAGAGAAGTACAGTAAACAAATACAAACAGATTAAATGTTCCAATTCATCAGTGGTGTATCAATTGTCTGTGACAAAAGAAGGTCGTTTATTTTTAGTTGATAATGATAGTACTTGCGTTAAATCCCTGAAACTGTCCCAAATTTCCTCATCTTAGGCAGCATGTATAGATTAAATGACGATTTTCAAAATGTATAATTTATATCAAATCAATAATCGAATTAGTCTTTCAACAAAGTTGAATCTATCTTATTGTTTAAATTATTCATCACTTCATGTCGTATAGTACTGTGTGTATATCAAATTCCTTCTGCACCTGCAAGGAATGTTCTTCGTGTGATAAGTTCGAACCGATCAAGGATAATGAAAAAAAAAAGGATAAAAGAAGATTAATTTATTTTTAATAGATTGATGAATATAGGATATATTTAAGAAAAGACAGTATTATTTGAATTATATAGGTACTATCAATTGGAGGTTTAAGTATAATTCGAATAGGCTTAACGTTTGTTTAGATTGAAACGATAAGCTATTCGAGAATTTATTTTTAGAACATTACAAGCAAAGAATTTTATAAGGACAATGGCACAAACAATTGAAATAATTAAGAAAAAAATTAAACATAGCAAGAAAGCTGATCCATTGGCTAAACAGAAATTATGGTGGACTATTGGACATACTGTTTCGTTTGTATTAGGTGTTCTATTTTCAATTACCTATTTTTACCATGTCCTATTTTTTTATAAGTATCGTCAATGGAAATGGTTATTTTTAAGATTGGATAGAACATACCAATTCATTCCTGGGAATACTTGGACCGCTACAATAATTAATTTTTTACCACACATCTTTTACAGGTTTTCATTAATTGGGTTTGTTCTTTCAGGTTCCATTTCCTTATATCAAAGTTGGGCAGGTGTTTCACCAAGTTGGTATGATTTATTTGGCAGTGGTAATTTCCTTGCTATATTCCTAGCTGCAGTATGGGCACTCGTTGGTAGAAAATCATTCTACAGACTATTTCCATTTATGTCATTAAGTTATATGCATTTGATGAATAGGGATTCTGAAATTGAAAATAATATTAAAGAAGAAGAAAAAGCCACTTTGAGAAATGCAAAAATATTGAGTATGATTTCTTATTCAGAATATCTTGTAGCAGTTGCTTTATTTTTTGACACCATTTTGTTGAAGGATGGTACTTCTGGATTTTTAGCAGTTATCTATTATGGGTTATTCTGGATCAGATTGAATTTTGTTATGTCAGCACAAGTTACAGCACTGCAAGTCTTGGAGAAAATTGAGAAATATACCCCAGAGAAACATAAACATAAGCTTCAGATTGTTGAAGATTTCCTTTATTCAAAAATGAAAAAGTGTCAAAATATGACTATGAATTAATGGAAGGATACGCATCAATGGGATGTCAATGGGTTTTTAATAAAATATATGCAAATAGTAGAAATATGAAATAATTCTTACGATTTGAATCAGAGACTATACATATTTTCTAAATGGGTTAAACATAGATATGAATTTTTATATTTTAAGATATATTATTATTTTATATTAAGAATACATCATATGACTAAATAACTTAATAAATGAACTTTATTTAAAAATTTCATTATGATGTAGATTCTTGCCTCTGACGTCTATTGTTTTCAACAATATACATGTGATCTTTTTTTTTATTTTAATCAAGATTACTCGTTATGTAAAGTGGTCCACCACCACGTCCCTACGAATCTGCAATTGCATAGTATAGGAACTTTTTAAAAAACCAAATGAACTTAATATATTATGTTTTTAATGATTATACACCTTTTTATATAAAATAAACTATATCCTGTAAATAGAGTTTATATTTATTCAGAGGCGACAGCTCTGGTGTAGATAGCTTGCTTGGAGTGCTTGGAAACAGCCTTGATTATACCTTGCTTTTCCAAATCTCTCAAAGCAACTCTAGCTAAAGAACCACCAATCTTTAATCTGTCAACCAAGACAGAGACAGAAACATATCTGAAAGTTGGGACTTCCTTCAAGATTCTGTCGTATTTTTCTTGGTCTAAGATAACAGCATGCTTAGCCTTATCCTTGTGAGCCTTCTTGGACCACTTCTTCTTGGATTTCTTACCACCGGCCATAGCGGCAGCAGCCTTGGCAGCCTTAGACAATTGTTGTTTTGGAGGCATTTTTAATTATGTTCTATAACAATGAGAATTAATGTGATTAATAAATGTTAGTAAAAAAAACTTTTAATAAAATTCTATAATACCTAATTTTGAATGTAACCACTATCTTGAAAAGTGCTTTTCCTTTTATTGATAAGGAACAACACCAAATCCAAAATAAGAGAATAATGATGGTTTTATATTGACCACTATTTATTGTCTACTGAGTATGAGACTTCTAGAAGAATGCAAATGCAAAACTTCATTTTGGGTTTTTAAAACTTGTTATGATACTTATATTTTGCTATAGAGTGCAAACTCCTTGGCTTGAACTAAGGTTATAAGTTTCTAATTATCTTCACTAACGTTTTGCTCCCATTCTTAGCATTTTTATTTCAATCATCTCCAAATACATTCATTTCAAATATTACACTAGATTCCACATATTAATATGTATTACATACCCTAAAACTGTTCTGGGGTTCTTAAACTTACAATATAAAGAAAGAAACTGCAAATGAACACTATATGCTATTAAAATAGTCTTTATTCTAAAATACTAATTAGCTGTACCAGTGGAATAAGATAGATAGTTCATTAGAATAATAAGAATTGATACAAAATTTGATGAAAAATTCACTACTTTACGAAAAGTAATTTGAACCTCATCCATCCATAGTTCTTTGATTGAGAGTAGAAAGAGATTGTAAGTAAAAGTGAGAATATTATTGCAAAGTGCATTAACACTGACAAACAGCATTCATTATTCAAACCAAGAAACAGAATTGATGCTTTGGCTTTGGTAGAGGTGAGCATTGCTTAGTTTAATTGTGATACTGAAGTTTTGCTGTAGGGAGCCATGAAAAGTTTTAACTGACAAATTGCAGTTTCGATCGATTGTTTGCGTCGCTTTACCATCCCAATTGCTTAGTTTTTCAAATCGAAAAAAAAAAGAGAAGCAAAAAAAGAATATTTTAAAATTTATTAAAAAATATAACAAACACGTGATATTTACAAGGATACTAGAAGTTTTTGGCAACAGTTGATTCTAAAGGTGTATGGGTGTATATTGGTTTTATGGTGTATGGTTGTTAGAGGCAAAGTAGTCACATAAAATTGTTCAAATAAATTAGATTTGTGTTTCTTTCGCCCTGATAAATGAAATTGGACCATAATGTTATAAATAATGACAGTAATTGTTACTATGTAGATATAGTTGTATTAATATGGTTTTTAATGAATTGTTGATGCTGTATATTTATATGTATAGATGAAATTATATTATCCGATCTTTATTGTTATTTACTTCTATATTAGGGTTTTTGAGATGAGTCTTGGATAAAGGAACAAGATTACCAACATAGTTAAGATCTCACCATCTAATTGAATTGTGTACAATACTAATACTTATAAAAATATTCAACTGCAAATTATGTTATTAATAAAATATTAGTCTAGCTTTTATTTTTCACTAAAGTTTATATGTATTTGTTAAGTAGAATATAGTCAAGAGATTTTACTAAGTAAAAGCACTACAATTGGAATCGTTGTTAAGCCACTAACATTTTCCTTGATAAATATAAAAATACCTGTACCAATAAATAAGAAAATCATAGATATAATATAAAGAAACTTTGATGACCACTTCTTTTTCCTAGTCTAACAAGTATATTAAAACTCCATCAAGTTTTTTAATTGAATTAGGTGTCACCAATTGAATAAAGTAAATAATCGATATAAAAATCAAATCTAACCAATAAACAATATTTTGCTAAAGTGGAGAACATCTTCAACTGAGATATTGAACCTTTCACAAACAAGAAACTTTCTACTATTGGTTTTATCTCTTATAGTTGTACATAATTCTAGGTTAAAATTGTTCTTTCTAACATGTGAATAGGAAAATGTATTTAAAATTGTCAGGTATGGCTGAGTTATCTAATACATGTTATCTATACTCTAATAAAGATTGACTAATAATATTTGATATTTAATGAACATAACATTTATATATTGCATCTCAATGAGAAGAAAATTTTCGTTATTTTAATTTAAGAAGTTGGTATGCGGTGTGGTCCAACTGAAATATCTTTTAAAATCATGATTTAGTCATATATTTCCTATTTACCCTTTAAATTTCATTTATCTCATTGATATAATCCTAGATCCTTTGTAATTGTTATAACTAATCTTTTGGGTGTTTGACCAAGTCACGCTAGATATCTTTAAAGATTTTATTCTGTTTTTATAATTTAACTTTATTCTAAGTTTCAAATATAATAGGCCCTACCATTTTATACTTTCATTTTTTCCCTAGTTTTTTTGCCTCTTTATTCTTGCCATACGTCATTAAAGATTATCGGTCATCTTTTCTTAGCTCCCTTTATACTTATAAGGTTTTCTAATTGATTGTTGGGAAATATATTAATGATAAACCTATGTGAAATGAATTTTTCTTAACCATTTCTTGGAAATGTATAGTGTATATTAAATGTTGCCCTCTTTCACTCCTATTAAACAAATAAAGATAAATATAATTTTTTATTCCTGTTAACGCTATATGTGACTTTATTTCTGTCTCTAGCCAAATTGAAGTTTTATAAAATATTGATAACCTATTATTAAATATTATTTGATAAGCAACCATTAAATCCAGTATATTCTATATTGAGATCATAATTACTACGCTTTGTGACATTAAGATATCATATATATTTGTAAAATGAAAAAGTACTGTCTGATTTGATATTGAAGTCATAATAAGTTCTTTAGAGGGTATTTTTATTTATTTATTTTGGGTTATTAGTTTAAATTTGAGATAACTAACATATTACTCAATTAAATTCAATTGGGGGTATTTAAACAATAATAGTACCTTTGATGGTTTTTGTTAGAAGACAAATTTTATTTTATACTCACTCAGCTTCAAATGGATACATTCAGTTTTTAGGCTTCTACATAGCATATTCAATATTCGTAATTATGGCGGCTCGCCAATTAGTAATGATCCAGTTGACATAAAGGTTTTATCAGAATATTTGGTATATAAATTGATGCGAAATATTTACATTTGTAATTTTAAAGAATTGTGTAATTTATTTAATATATTTTATTGTCTAAGAAGGACAAGGGTAAAATGTTTTCATATATCAATGATATGTAATTAATACTTGAAATACTAATGAAATCTCAATACAAGATGTTGAACTTGTAGTATTTTTCTTGTTGTATTTTGGATTACTTTAAATGTATATTATAAACCTCATCTTACTTCCAAATCTTTCAAACTGTTGGGTTCTTTCTTCAGAAGGGGCAATTAAGAGGATGGAAAATTGAGCATGGGAAGAAATGTGACTTTGGATTGCCCATTTTCTCAACCGATTTGTTCTTATTTCTATTATCTTTGCTATTTCATTATAATACCTGTTGATGTTTTTAAGGTACCCTCTAGTATGCTTTATTAATGTATCTCGAATGTCACACAACAACGTGTTATAGTTGGAATTTTAATTTTATTTCATGTGACCGTCTAGTGTGGTGTTGGAGCAATCTGCTTTTAAAAAGTCAAACAAATTAGAAAGCGCAAGTGGTTTAGTGGTAAAATCCAACGTTGCCATCGTTGGGCCCCCGGTTCGATTCCGGGCTTGCGCATTTTTTATTATTCTAATAAATAATCTACCATAAAGAGTGTAGTGTAGTTATTGGACCTTAAATCATAATTACGGGGGTTGAGTGATATCTTGGAACTTATTTCAAGATCTAAAATGATGTAACTGAGTGAGAGATACGACTACAATAGTTACTGTGGCAATTTAAAATTCCTTTCTATAAACGGACTGGATTTTTTAATTGAGTTATTAGATTGGTTTCTTTTCTCTTAAAATCTTTAGAGTTGCTCTAATCGGGATTAAATATTGAATCAGTAACAAAGGAATGATCGACTGGCAGTCGTCCGTGTTTATATTCGACACTAACGAATAACGTAAAATATGAAAAGGATTAAAATGTCACCTCCTCAATTAAAATATCCTATCAAAAATACTCATTTACAACAAGGTATGAAACTTAAACTTTTTGTTGCAAAATCAAAGATTTCCTAACCAAGATCAAATTGTTAATTGACTGGCAACCAGATCGAGGAAGGGACCGATCTATTGACTAGCCCGATATTAAAAATTAGTAATCGATCTGTGCACAATGCTCTTCCCAAAATGAAAAACCCACAAAAAAATGCAAGTGAAAATAAATCTATCTGACGTATTCAATAGCGCAGACAATGATTGGTTTAATCACCGATTGGTTTTAACCACTTGAAATTTATATATGAATTAACAATACAATACCTTGTCCTTTTTAATTTTGACATTATGGTGTGATGTTCGTAGTGCGACGACACAGGTTATTCGAACATGGATATACCTTTTGTATATTCCCTAAAGCACCATCCATCCACTCTGTGAAGTAGTTTATCCGACTAAGTCCGAATATCAAGTACATGAAGATAAAAACCAATATAAATTCAATCATCGAACGGAAAATCGGTTTGGTCAAATGATTGATAAATCTGCATAGTGTGTCAGTCCATTCCATTTTTCTCTTGATATGAACCAAGTCTAAGCATGTTGACTACAAAATTTATGATTTTCTTTTTTTTTTTCGAAACTAAATTTGAAATGCATAAAAAGAAACGATATGACGAACCTATTAGCGCTACTTTCTGAGGTATGGGGCGGATGGAGGGGCGGGAAGGTTTATGCATGTATATATCTATATCCTAGCCAGTTAAATCACTGCATTGGATATAGAGAACTAAGAAAGAGTAAAGGACAAAATAAGAACGCACAATTCCGACATAGCAACATACGGAGCGAAACTCTGTCGATTTAGCTTTGTTATGGTGACTTTCATTGTTTGCCCCCAATCTATGACTGTATGCACGTGAACAGGAATAGGATAGTTCAGCTCATATACATTTGAACCAAAAACTAAAAGAAAATAAAAATAGAAAAGCCATAAAACAAAAAACAAAAAAAATAATCAGTGAACATACCGTAGACCCACTTAAAAATAAATTCTAATATCAAATTTTCACCGTTGAACTTTTTCTCTCGAAATGGATGGTTTTATTTCTTTTTGTTTGATATCACCGAAGAACTCTCCCCACGGAGACAGGGAATTTTTCATGTGGGCGCGTTTCTTTTTGGTATGTACTTTTGTGCATACCACAACACATGAATTTCTTTTTATGCCTATAGTTTGTTTGTTTGTTTGTTTGTTTGTGTGTTTTTTCTTTTTTCTTTTTTCTTTTACTCAGTTTTTGTAAAGTACTAACTGCGATTCAGCACAACCATGCTCCATAACTATCCTACATGCATCCATATATCTCTTTACCTCAACTTAAGTTAAGTTAAGTTAAGTTAAGTTAAGTCAAGACAGAGCAACGAACACACAAATAGATATATATATCTATATTTCCTTAACCGCATATTTAATTGGTAGCAAGGTTGTTTCTTGCATGAAGCTACAGGAATCATCTCGTATCGTATCTTCTTCTGTATTCTCTCCACCATCCATATCCATTACTCAGCTTTGTAATACATGAGAAAGACCGAAGAGACAGAGACAGAGCAGAACAGAACAGTTTGATTAAAACAGAAATAAATAACAAAAGAACTGTTGCTAATTTGCACAAATGCTATCCTCTTTGGCATTCGTTGCCTCTGTCTCTCCTGGTTTAGTTAAAAATTAACTAAGATAGTTTATGACTACAATGACCACACAAGAGTACTTTTTTATCCCATCTTTTTGCCTTTCTGCAGTAGATTTTAGATCAGAAAATCTTAATGATATACTCTCTTCTCTAACATACTTTTCACTACGACTACTCTACTCATTAGTACTATACTGGATTTTAAAAGTAAGTTTTCATTTTGGCTTCAACATATGTGAACTTCTTCGAATATTAGACCATACAGCATTGATTGGATCAATTGTCTGAATATCATCAACAATTTTTAACTAATAAGACGTATTTGTTCGTAATTTGTAAATTTTATTCTATTTTTTCTTTTCTTTAGCTGCTGTTTGTACTCTTGTCTCTGTTTTTTTTTTTTTTTTTTTACCTTTTGGGTTAGTTTGGTTTGTCTTACTTATTCCAAAGTTATCGTTCTTCGAATTCGAAAAATATCCAAACAGCTTTAACGGTGTGGTCGGTTGGTCGTGGTGATGGTTTACAAATTATTATTATAATTTCAAATATGGCTAATGGTTATCTGCTTTATATGATCCTTTTTCTTTTTTTCTTGCTTTTTTACCTTGAAGTTAACTTTTCACTTGAAGTAACATCGAAATTTTAAAAAGAAATAATTCGAAATTTCTTTATATATCGTAAATATTTCGATAATATAACATACTACCTGTGGCTGACTATATTAATTTTAGTTAATGAATGTACTACTATTATAATTATTTATTACTATAATTTTATTCATTTCAGTAATTGAAGCATTTTATTGAAAGTAATTATTTACTGTTTACCAATCGTAACAGTTTAAATTTAAGAAAGTGTTGCTTAATAACTATATAACATTACCAGTTGTTAGGTTTTATCGATATTATATTGATAAATAAAAATAGATATATCCATATAACAATCTTTTGTTTTTAAAATCAACCATATTGTTTCAACGGATAAAAACTATTGTTATCGTTAACTTCAAATTAAAATAGATAACTATATTCTGCTATACATTCTTTATTTTTCTTTTCAAGTAATAATACCACTCGCAAGAAAATAATAATATATACATAAAATATATTTCAGTACCTAAAATTACTGTAATAGTATACTTCAAAAATATTAATAATAACTAATTCATATATATCATTTGATATTATCCATCCCCCTCCCCACAGTTATACATTCTATTAAAATAAAGTATGGTTTTAATCAACGGTGTTAAATATGCATGTGAAAGATGTATAAGAGGCCATAGAGTTACAACATGTACGCATACAGATCAACCATTAATGATGATTAAACCAAAAGGTAGACCATCTACTACATGCGATCTATGTAAAGAACTTCGAAAAAATAAAAAAGCTTTGATAAATTCACCAAATGCAATCTGTACCTGTGGTAGGCTAGAGAAGAAAAGACAACAGCAAAAGCTTAAAGAAGAAGCTAAAGCAAAGGCAAAGGCTTTAGCAAAGGAACAGAAAAGGGAAAAGAGTAGAAATGGCTTAATTTCAAGTAGTGAAAGAAAAAAGAAAATAAATTCATCAAATGCATCTTCTATTTCAAATCTATCAAACATGATAAAAGCAGAGGGAAGACTATCAGAATTATCACTTCTGAGTGGTAATGGAATGTTACCAACACAGCATAGTTTTACAAATATACATCCAAATTCAAGTGGTTATGCCTTCAGCGATGTTAGTAGTACGAATTCTCCTCCATCTTCAATTGATGGTAGAAGCAATTACGGAACAAATCCGATAGCAATGAGTAGAAACATATCGGAATCCTCAAACTTTTTACCAAATGCAAGTAGTTTCCTTGATTCAGGTCATAACATTGCATCTCCTACAAGTGGAAAAATTACAAAGGATTATCATAGAGTGGCTTCAATAGCCTCATTATCTTCTCTCCATTCCCAACAGTCCTTAGAACAAAGCTTTTCTCCACAGAGTCCAATACATAACTCATTGAATTTTGTAGGCGGTTCTTCATTGAACTCCAATACGATATCGACAAATCCATTATATGCATCCAATAACTCTGAATCACATATAAATCTTTCTGATTTAACGAGCAAACAGAATCTTCAGAGATCCAAAAATGAACTTTCTATATCACTTGATGAGTTTTTACCAGGTGATATGGATAACAGTAGTCCGAATTGGCTGAATGACACTTCATTGAACAACGCTAATATTCAGTCTTTAAACAATTCACTCAATCAGGTGAATCAAAGACAAAATCACAACAATAGTCTCATTCACAATAATTCATACAATTCCGCTAATAGTCAGTCTTTAGACTCAGGTTTATTGGATACATTCATGGATCCATCTTCTATTTCAGGTATATCAAAAGCAACATATTTGTTACAAGATAACAACAATAAAAATGGTACAGATTCTAAGAATGATATTTTAAATTACTTCAATGAAACATTGAATATTGGGAACAATAATATGTCAAAAGGTCAGGAAATATTACAAGGACGCGGAGATCTTAATGATCTAAGTCCTGATAGTAATATAGTCAAAAATGAACTTGACGACTTGAGAAGTCTGAACAGTGTCGAAGTAATTTCATTAGCACCTGGTTCATTAGATATTCCTGATCCTAGCTTTTCCTCGACTTTTTTTGATAATAGACAAGATACTCAAAACTCGCTACCGTTTAATGCAACTTCAAAAGAGTCAACTAACGTTAACAATAACCCAGTAATATCACTGAGTGAGAAACAGAGTATGCATCAGCCTACGTCACCAGATGCCTTATTCTCTAATCTCAATGAATCGATTAATTATCCATCGCAATCTAATTCTATTTCATACGGAAATTTGAAATCAAATAATAACTTCAATAATACCAATTCTCCTTATGATACAAATATTCAAACTGATCTAGATCAAATATTATTGCAAACCACAATCCCTACTGAAACAGATGATTTATTGAATATTTAATAAACTTATTCTTTTTCAAGACTATATAAATTATACAACTTTAAATATTTCTAGTATTTAGAGAATATTGATGACGAAACGTGAAGCTTCAGATTTTTTTAACCCTCTCTTGTTTAATTATATTGAACTAATGGGATATTATTTTGTATTGTTGTAAGGCTTCTTCATACGCATGGTAACGTTTGATTGAAATTGGAGATATCAAGTAAGAAGTTCTTGGATATTACACGTTTTGATGTTTTATGTCAACTACTTTTAAAATCTATTTACTTCTAATTGAATTATGTATGGACAATTGAACTATCAATATCTAATGGGATATGTATTGAAATGCAAAACTCACATCATCGTAATTGAATTCATTACGCAATAAATGGTCGTTAGTTTTTTCTAATGCTGCATGGTTAAGATGATTCCATGAGGTTGCGTCACCATATAACATAGTTTTTGAACGAATTATTTGCTTACCAAATTTGTTACAACGTTTACAATTAAATGTTTCATGAGTGTCACATTGAGTCTTTTCATTCAATAAGAATAACTTTTTTAAGTCATCTGCGGTAAATAGTCTATCAACGTCTTCTTTAGCATCAACAACACAGGAACTTAGACTCATCTTCATGGATTGCCTTTGATAAACCTTTTCCTCAATTGTACCGGTAGCAATGAATCTATAAATAAAACAATCTTTCTTCTGACCATCTCTCCATACACGTGCTAAGGCTTGTTGGTCTGCCGCCGGATTCCAGTCAGGATCTAATAAAATCAATCTATTTGCACCAATTAAATTAATACCACAACCACCAGCTTTTGAACTTAAAAGGAAAATAAATTCATGGCTATCAGGACTATTAAATCTGTCAACAAGCTTTTGTCTTTTGTTAATTGTCATCGAACCGTCAAGACGGACAGAACCATACTGCTTCCTCCTACATAATCTTTCTACCAAATCTAGAGTTTGAGTATAATTCGAAATTAGAACAATTTTATCGTCTGATTCAGTGTTAATCTTATGTAAAAATCTTTCTAAAATTGCAAACTTACCAGAAAACTGGGGCTGAACATCTTTCGACTTACCATTCTTTGATATGACGTATCCATCTGGAATCGATACTGAATCGCCCATCTCTGGAAGCTCAGATTCCAGATCTAATAAGTCAGGGTGGTTACATAACTTTTTTAGGACACCAATAGCTTTTAGTGGTTTCTCAAAACTATCGTCCTTTCTTAATTCAATGTAGGATTTGTAAAGATCTCTTTGAAATGGTTTCATATTGACAAAGATCACATGTTCATACTTACATGGCAAATACTTTGACAAGATATCGTTAGTACGTCTTATAATAAACTTAGATACAACTTCAGAAAGTTTTTGTAATTGCAAGGTACTCTTTTTCAAGGCCTCGTCAGTTGCATCAGCTTCACGACCAGCCAAAATTGGTATCTCGAAGTTTCTTCTAAATTCGGATCTTGATCCTAGTAAACCAGGGTTCGAGAAATTTAACAGCGCAAAATATTCAGAAAGATCATTTTGGATTGGTGTACCTGATAGAATAATTCTTCTTGGGCAGTTAATACTATCTAGTGCAGTAAATGTTAATGAATCCGCATTTTTTAATCTATGACCTTCATCAGCTAACATTAATCCTACATCACAGTTAACTAATTGGTCTACATTTCTACGCAAAGTTTCATATGAAATAATTAAAACGGGTTTAACGATATTTCTACCCTTTGCCTGAGCCCAACTTTTGATAGCATGTGCCACAGTTGCGTTACCACCATTGGTAATAGATGATTTTTTACCATCAATAGCTAATGGAGATAGAGTACCGGGACCTAACCACTTTATCAACTCATTTGCCCAATTATTAACTAAGGATGAGGGACAGACGATGATACATTTGTCAATTAAACTTTTACCTTGAGGTCCTTGTTTGAGTAACGTCCACATTAACGCGATACATTGTAATGTTTTACCCAAACCCATTTCATCTGCCATGATACAACCATAGGCACCTTTGTTGGTTATTTTTATTTCAATAGTTGAATCGGTTGTCGATTTGCTTTCTTTGGAATTAGATTTCTTTTTCTTGCCTTTGGTCTTAGGAATAGGATTTTCTTCTTCTTGAATTTTTTCTCCATTATTCTTCTCCTTCACTCCTTCTGCATTTTTGATATTATCGTCATCATTCTCATTATCATCATTCTTTTGTTGATCTTCTTTGATTTCTTCTACCTTAAGACCTAATTTTTTAACCGCCTCTGAATCCAAATAATCTTTCATGATTAAACCTGTAACACATCTATACAAGAAGCGGACACCTTCAACTTGATGTGGTCTTAAAATTTTTGCCAATCTAGGATCTATAACGACTGGAATGCTTTGGAATTTCTTTTCAAGGTCTTCATTACTTGTTAAATTATCTTTTAATAATTCAGTTAATGGTTTATTTCTGACACCATTTGACATCATTGTCGGATGTGTATATTTTTGTTTAAGTTTTGGCTTTTCTGCAATCTCCGCTTCTTCCTCCTCTTCGTTGCCTTTGTCTTTATTGGAATTCTTTTTGCTTTTCTTTTTTATATCTTCAACTTCCCTTTGCAATCCATTTATGTTGTTATCTGTTATGATCATGTCCCCATCAACAGTTGGATCATAAAGGACAATTGCAAATTCATCAGTTGGATCATGCAATGGTCTAGGTTCACATATAATTTTTCTCTTGGTTCCCAAAGTCAATGCTAAATTATGTCTTGCCACATAACCCTTCATGGGTACAGTAAACGACCTCTTCAGAATGGTTTCAATACCATTTAATCTTTCAGGTTCCTGAGATAATCTTGCTGAACTTAAAGCATCTGTGCGTCGTATTTTTAACTTCTTGCTACTATCACCCTGCTCCATGCCTTTATATTCCTTGTTGATGTTTGTTTTATCTCTAAGAACTCTGCCGGTGATAGTTACTCTTTTAAGTGAAGCAGGGTCGATGGTATTTGATCTATAGGGAACTTTGAACGGTCTAGTTAGTGTTTCCAGCGCTTTTTCCACATTTAACTGTCTCGGAACTAACTTAGGTGTTTCACCAAACCCAATACCATTAGGTGGTCTATCTGGGTATCTTCTCTTTGCCATTATTTAACGAGTTTGATTTTGTATCTTTCCTATTGTATTTCTCCAGAGATGATGGGTGCCCTTTTAAAGAGTTAAACCAGATTAAAAACAACAAAAAAGCACAAATAAAAATATATATTTATATTGCAAAACAGTGATTTTACTCGAGCAGATGAGATATATAATCGATTAGAACTAAAAATCTTATTCCAAACGATAATAGAATATATATTAGTAAGTGAGATATAAAGGTTTGGTTGTATCTATGTATATAAATCTGGTATGTTGACAAAAACGCGAAAAAATACCGAGTATTTTTACCGTGTCAAAAAATGTTTCACTTTCAAAACTTGACGTGACATCTGATTGTATATTTCAATTTGTCACGTGTATAGTCCGGGTAATAAAGGGTGTTTACATCTTTTAAGATCACTTTAGTCAGTAGTAATAAGTACTATCTAGCTGATTTAACAGAACTCCATCTAACTAATAATGACAGATTGTAGATAGTTCGAATATATATAAGTTACTGTTAACTCAACTATAGTTAAGCAATCCACTTGAGAAGTCTTTAAAACAATATCTGTGGGAGGTTTAGAACATTGAAAGTAAAAATAGGGGTTTCACATAGGAAGAAGGTTTATACTCTAAGACTAAAAGGATGAGTGGTCAAATATTGGACAAGAATACCATTGATATACTTTCTCGTGAGTGTATAAGAGCTCGAGAATCGTCATATAGTCCATATTCTAAGTTCCGTGTCGGCTGTAGTATATTGTTGACCAATGGTAAAATTATTCGTGGTTGTAATGTAGAGGTAGCAAGCTTTGCCGGGACGATATGTGCAGAAAGGACAGCAATTGTTAAACTAATTAGTGATGATGAAGATAATAATGGCAATTCAACTAAGTTACAACAAGTGGAATGTATAGGGATTATAGGTGATACAAAAGAAGGCGTCATTACACCATGTGGTATATGTAGACAAGTATTGAGAGAATTTTTACCTTCAAAGACTAAAATAGTTATGTTCAATAATGACGGTACTCAAAATGAAATATTGACATTAGAAGACTTATTGCCGTATAGCTTTGGATCTGATAGTTTGGGAACTTAAGTTGGATTAATATAATTTGTAGATAAGTACATTTGATTGGATTTATTCTTTAAATAAAGGTAGACTTCAAAAAGATATAAATCAATATTACACATCACCATCATAATTATAAATTTCTTTTTCTATTTTATTTTTATTGTTATTTTTATTTTGACTTGCTTCTACCATTCCAAACTGACCTTAATTTTTTACCTGGTTGAATATACTGTAGGAAATAATTGGTCCACTCTATAGATATACATCATTCCGTATACAAGAAATCTAATGTGTAGGATGCTAAGCGAAGAGGCAGAAAAATATATATTTCGAGACAATGTACATGAATTGGTGAGAATGACGTGATGGGTATATTAAAAACAAGAATCAACTTGAAAAGGATCATTGAAAATTCTAAAATATAGTTCCGGAGTTTACGACAATTGATTGGTCATACAGTAAACTACAATTAATTGGCTAGGATGAAGAGGAAACACCGTAATGAATGTTCAAACTTGTGATTAAAATATGTGATTTCGGGACTAATAACATTTTTTTCTTCAAATCTAATTTGCTTAGCAGAGTCAAATATACGTAACAGAGACAGAAACGGACATGATACCTTCAATGGAAACGAAAGAGAGGTGCATTTTCTTAGATTTTAAACTTTCATTAGGATTTGGCTCTTTGGATATCCGAACAAGAACAGACTCCTCTTAGTAAAAATAGACAATTAGTCCACTTATATGTATATGGGTACCCGTATATGAAGGCTAGGCGACAGCCAATGAAAAAACAGCCGCCAGTCAACGAGAAATACGTACTTCGTTTAATCAACCTATGAATGGGTGGGCGATGGGATGGATAACTTTCTTGCCTTCCCTGCGGGTATGGTTAGTAAAATTCTATATAAGGACGGCAAACACACCTTCACATCAAAGGAAATTCCAATAGGAAGGTGATAAACTCCGTAAATGGAAGAACACACGTAGAAAAGTTATCGCGTGGTTCTGTATTCCAGGTTTGCAAAGAAAAAAAAGGAACGACCAACTATAAGCGAAGCATTTGAACAATTGTATATCCGCAGAAACATAACATGTGCATACAGAGATGTAATAAACATATAAAGCGACGTCGTTAATTAAGTTCCGGGGATAGTTTTAAACTTGATTTGATAATCGGAAAAGAGGCTGTCTGGAGCAAATACTCTGGAAGAATAAATAATGCTACCAAATTAAATTGATATGATTTTATAAAATTTGAATGTTTATTGGACCTGTTTGCAATATTACCTGTTTAGATTTCCTTTTAAATACAGTCAAAATGGAAAAATTCATTTTTAATTTTAAGAAGGATTATTTTGTAATACAAGAATATATGACACAAACACTAACAAAATACAACGATGAAAAGAAAAGAGGAATAAAAAGAAATTGAAACTTGAGTTTTTCTATATTATTTTGGTCATTTCTAATTGTGCATTTAAAATCTGTCCTCTTTCTCTCTTGGGCATCAGATTTTGGCTAAAACATGGTAAAAAAGAGTTGTTACTAATATGATCAGAATGAGTTATCTTATAGATAGAGAGAGCAAAAGAAATGTTGAACTGACACTTCCACTTAGATAATATTTACTTACCGATTAAAAATTTCTAATAATAATAATAGTCAATATTATATGCATACATAAAACTTCTCATTTTTGCTTTATCGCATTATCGCATTATCGTTATGTGTTTACCGCCTTTCATGCCAAACTTTCTTGCCTACACCACCATCATTGCTTTTTCTTACTTTTTTCTTCGATACGTATCAACTAGATTGTTTGGAAGAAAAGGAAGGGGGTGGATTGTGGGGAAATTCGGCTAAATAGCTTCTAAACAGTAACGTCTGGATGCTCTTAACTTATATTATGTTCCATGGATAACTCACATCCCTGAAAAAAGTGTAACAAGGTTCTTGTTTCTTTTGGTGAGCGGATCAACTTATTATACGTTTTCTTAGTGCAAGTGAGAAGCGGAGGATATAAACGGATAAACAAAAAAACAAATAGATATGTATGTGTGGCTTAGAGTCGAGTTCGGTACGGATCAATTTGGTAATAACAATAATGTAAAATATATGTGTCGTACAATAATAATAAAAAGCAATACTTATGGTTATTTTGTATCATGCTTTCTCTGTAATATAATTGCCTCCGGATAATATAGGTTTTAGATAAATGTACAAGTAAAACAAAATTCCAGATACAAAAGTATTCAGTAAATGATACAATGCTTACAGTGCCTCACCAAAACTCTCCTTTGTCACCCCTCCCCAAGGTAAAGAATCAAATTAGTAAGGGATGGAGTTCAAGAAAAAAGGTAAAAAAAGGCTGAAAACTGGATCCTACTACCATTTTTCATTCTCACAGCTTTCTCAATACTTTCAGTTCAACGTATAATCTTTTATGCTATTTTATTACTAACAAGTTCGGATAGGATTGTCTGGAGAATCCCTTCTCTTCTGAGTAATATATTTACTTTCCCGGGCTACACTACCTTTAATATTCTTTCGTATTCGGATCACAAGCATTTTATGATATACAAATAAATGAAAGACTGCATGGTATAAACACAAGAATCAACCTGGAATGAATTATATTAGTAAAAATAACTAAATATATGAAAAAGAAAAAAAAAGACTTGTTTACATTAAAAACATATAAGCGTTTCTTTTTGTGTTTATTCCCAATTGCAATTTTTGCCAAATAAAGATTTGTGCATCTCGGAACAGGCAATTATAGCCGTTTGCACGTATTTCTCTTAACAATGCACTGTTGGGAATTGTGTCGGTCTTACTCCAGCAAAAAAGGATTGTGGTTGAGAGCACTGTACAAAGATATATTGAGCGGAGGGAGAAAAGGAAGCAAACTTAGCACAGCTTTCTTCGAAATATCTCCCTTTTTCTTTTTTTTTAACTCTTTTTCTTTATTTCGGAGAAAAATTTCCATGAAAGCTAGAAATTAAGAATAGTTTCTTTTTCCAACAATAAATCTGTTCCCGAGCAGTCCGCCCACTACTTTGAAAAGAAATACCAGAGATTCACATGTTGTTGTTTTTTGTACCTATATCTGTTACTAACCTTTCCCTTTCGGAAATGCTATTATTGCCCCTCCCGTCCGGGGAGTTTTCACCTCCACTACGAACCGAAACTGAAAATATCGTGAAGACAAAATGCAAAATTTTGAATAAGAAACTGCCATACGCTCGTTCTAATCTTGTTGTTGGGTTTTTCTTTAGCAATTCCCTGTAAAAATGGAAAACGAATTTTGTAGTATTGAAATGAACTTGATCTTTTCAGTGGTCTCCGAGATCTTGACCACCGAACGACCTTCCGTATCAGCATGTATTATCTACGTGGTACACACTATTGTTAAACCTATTCGCTCCCTTTCCATCTTCTTGTCTCTCTCTGTACTATTTCCCTGTTTCTTACGGTCACACTCTCCTTTGGTAGTCGTATCTCCAGGCAAAAATTTCTTTGCCCGCACCTGGAGAAATGACCGACAGGTAATATAAAAAGAAAAAAAGGGAAATAAAAGCTATATTTTTTGTAGTTTCTGCAACAGTTTCTTGTTCCTTCTCGTTCCCCAAATTTAAATTTTTAACTCTCGTTATTCCTGTCGTTGTTGTCGTTATTGATGGGTATTTCTATACAACTTTTCTCTATCAAACAAATAAAATACTAAGATGTGTACATAACGAGTTAAAATAATGCATAAAGCCTTTCGTTTTGTTTTGTGTATTCCTTTAGACATATCTTTGCCTGAGGAGCTTCTCCGTATCTAAACTGTCTCTCTATTATTTCCGATCCTCGTTAATTCTTTGAATCAATTACACATACATAACATGAAACGTAGACGTAACTTGTATTATTACAGTATACCTTAAATTTAGATATCTTTTTTTTTTTTTTTTTGGCAAAGCATCATCATTAATAATTTCAGTAATAGTGATTACTGCAATAATAGGATTGCAAGCTATGGGATTCTAACTAATGTGGGTTTCGTTTCAAATACTATCATTTAATTATCTGTATGGCCTTAAGTTTCTTCCCGCTTCAAACCATAAAATGGGCTCAGATGTATGTCCCTCTTCTTAATTTGACTGATAATTAACCATCGATTCTTTACTAGAAATATCAGAGAGAGAGAAAAAAAAAGATTGGAAATCTACCTACAACCCCTCCTCTCATTACTCAATTGAGTAAACCTCCGGAGACACCAGAGCCTTTTCCTCATTTTTGATTCAACTTTCGTTTTCAATATTTTTCTGCTGTCGCTGTTTGACTGTTTCTTGTGGTTCCCGAACTTAGCTCTCTTGATCTTGGTTGTCGTCGTAGTTGTCCATCTCTTTCATCAAGAACAGATTGCTCTTCCGTACAATAAATACCTTGTGTTTGTTTTAATTTTTGGAAAAACAGAAAAAAACAAAAAGAAAAAAGAAAAAGAAGAAATATGGTATTGTTGTCGTTATCCAGCAATCTTCTGATCACTAAGGGAGGAAAACCTCTAAGGTCACTACCATCATTCTCTTATCGTACCGTGTTCCATATTATTATTGGGATTGATGTGTGTTTGTTATTTTCGAAACAGCATCCCCTTCTTTATCATGGAAAGTATCAAGAAAAGTCGGAAGGTGGTGCTTTATTCTAATGATAATAATGAGAACAAAATTTAGAAGACTACAATGGTTTCTTTACCCGACTGGTGTATATCTAACCACCTCTCCAGCATGGATGTATGTGAATTTGTATCAGCTTGCTAAAATTAGTGGTACTATGGGATAACATATCTTACTCGGAATCACAAGTGCCAACTACTCTTTGATGAGTGGGGGGGTAGGAAGGGAGGGGGATCTTGGATAGTTACAGTCCGACAAAACGAGCTCTCATATACTCTTTGGCCTTAATTACGGAGAATTTTGGTTCAACTTATTTATCGATTTATTTCTTTTTTTCATTTTTCTTTTTATGCTTCTGTTTGGCTTTTATCTTTATACTGTCTACTGTAGTCTATTTCTTTTTATATTTCCTATTATACTAAGCAGCAAGATTAACAAGAGCATAACTAGTTAAGAAAGTGGTAATAATCGTAGTAGTAGTAGTAATTATAATTTGGCTTAAATGTTAAATAACGAGCTAACAGAATTTCTCACTATATTGGGATTGTTTCCACAATCTTATCTCAAGGTTTCTTACCGTCTGACTGTTTACCATTATCGTTTGTTTTATTCTATGTAAATGAGCAAGTATCATAATTCCTTTTAATAGAAAAAAAATATTAAAAAGAGAGATACACTTCAATACGGTAATAGTGTTTTGTGGGACTAGGGAAAAATTTTCGTAATATACATTTATCTTTTCTGAATTTAATATATATATATAAATATATATTAGTTGCTTTCCTATATAATTAATAGAAATTTCTGATCTCTTAAATGGTATTTCTGCTCTCTCGAAAACTTATGTAATTCTAATAATTTTTTAATTTTTTCTTTTTACTAATCTTTCTTCTGATTGTTACATCCACAATCATCGCACTTATACCTGCATATTTGCATAAGGTCAAAAATAACAGGCTAATATACTAAGTTGAATTTTTGATATATAAGCCCTTAACAAAGCAACAACAATAAAAATCAAGGTTTAAAACAGTATTTTGTGTATATAGCCTTTGTTTCTTAATTCATACCAGTTACTCCTTTTTTTCTACTTTAAAAGAATATTAAGAAGAGACGAAGATAGCCTACATTAACCGGTTTCCCCCATTATCGTCCTGTTTATTGTTTTATTACAGATATCATTTCACATATTTTAATCCTATAGAGCCATATATTTTAACGTCATAATCATTATAATGTTCGCCCCAAGCATCACTTTAAGAAATAAGGACCACAGCTTGCCGCCATTATTACTCCCAAATTTGCATTTAATATCTAATACCAAGAATTTGAAATCTACTGTGCCGACTACATTTAATAGTAATGATGTCACTCCAAGTGCATACGTGACTTCATCTGAAAAGTCCATTGATTCATCTAAACATTTCACATTAACTCCCATTACATCTTCACCAAATATTTCAGGTTTAGACAAATTAGCTACTATAGCAATTAATGATTTACCAGAACGTATTGCTGAAGCTCAAAAGTTAATTGATAATAAGCTTTCCGCTGAGTATATATCTTCCAGTCACATTTCAAAAAAGAGGAAAAGAAGGTCTGATTCATTGTCATTAGATAAGCCATTTACCAAACAATCTGGTGTTACAAAGATGACACCAGCTCCTTCACCACAACCATCTCAGCCTGCTTCTTTATCCAGCTCTGTTACATCTTCTCCTCAATCGATGATTGTTCAGCCTCTATCAGTTGGTACTAGTCAAGAGAAATCTCTCTCTCAGCAAACTTCAACCTCAAACGTGGAGCCAATTCGTCCACCTTCCAAAAGACAAAGGATTGGTCCAAGCTGTGATGGTTGTCGTTTGAAGAAAATCAAATGCAATGCCTCCATAGAAACATTATATCAAGATCGTTCTGTCATTCCAATGTTTAGCAATTTATTACATCACAAACTAGGAGATACAGAAATACAATACTTAGTTAATGATCCACAAATAAGATTAAGATTTCCATCCAATTATGATAAGGCATCATGCTCCATTGTTAAACACATAGATAAGATAATGTTTTTCAAGCCATGTACCTCCTGTATAAAGAGAAAGAATACTTTCCATGATTGTTTATTCTCAAAAGGTTTCACAAGAATTGACATCAATATTTTTAATAAGATCAACAATAGTTTACTAAAAAATGGTCAAAAGGAAAAGACTATATTTGAAGTTACAGTCGATGATTATCGTAATACTAATTCCTGAGGTAAAGAGTAAAGGAAGTGGAGATTCCTAAGATGCTGCATAGCCAAGCTTACATATATTTATGTTCTCTATTATTTTATTTTCGGTTAATTATAGTTAAACCAAAAATTTATTTTAAACATACAAGTTTTAATGAACTTTAATATAATTGAGAGAAATCTAAACGGCAAAATTGAATGATAAAATGAGGAAAAAAATTTTAATTTCTTTTGCCTTTGGTACAATTATGGAACTGGGAGATTATACTTCTTCTTGTCTGTGATGCGTACTAGATAAATTTAAAATCTTTAGATGCCTCTACATTTTTCCTTCCACATATATATTTATATATACAATTATAAAAAAAACTGGATTTTTTTAATTTAATGCAATAATGATTACTTACTAGACTTTTAATTGTTTATAGAATTTTATAAATGAGAGTTTTATCTCTCTAACTTGCAAAATTACAAGATTCTTAAGACGTTGGTGACTATTCATCATAATCTTAATTGCTTTGTGTATAAGCTGTGAAATATAGCTTATTATCAAAACCTATAATTTTTTGAAGTGTATCAACTTACTCAAATCCTTCCTTTTGTAATATGGAAAAAAAGAAAGAAAAAAAAGGAAAAAACAGGGAAACGAATATTTTATGCCCTCGATTTTTCCTTATCAAATAGAATAGAACTCTACAATGAACTAAAAGCCGAACACTCAAGAAAGGAAACATTAAAAGTAAAGGAAACATTAAAAACGGAGAATGTCCTAATCTCTACGTAGCATTTTTAAAAACGTCTGTCTGGACTTCTTAAGAACCTAGTTCACATTTTCCTTGTTGGAAATCCGTGGCATGGAGGGAAATAGACAAAAATGATCGGAAAAACGGAAATATTAGACACTAAAAACTCTAAACAACCTGCAGAAGCAACAGGATAATTTATAATAAATTTTTCCTCTACAACAATTCCTTTAATTAATTCCGAATTGAGAAGATTTATCAAAAAAATGTTAGATATATTTCTGAAAAAAAGGGGTCGTGAAGGAAGCGCGGGATAAACAATTATAAAAATGTATCAAAAAATAGAATAAATTGAAAAGGTTAGTGAAAGATTAGTGTTTTTATGTTAACTGCTATATTTGAACTTGATGCTAAAGTTTAGATCTATGATCAATTACTGCCATTTTTGGTTAGGTATTTTATTTGACCCAAGTTAGTTGGTGTGTTATGTGCAGTTGAGTTAGTTTTTGAATAAAAAAGGGAGTTTCGGTTTAAATCGGATTTATTAGTTATCTAAGTATTATTTCGAATTTACATGAGCACTTTTGACCTTTGACTTTTGACTTCTGACTGAGTGCAGAATCAAGTATATATTCATATGTCAGAATTATGAGGTAACACGTGATATATACGTATTACGACATTATTCATATAGGATAAAGAAATGTTACTTTACACGAAAGTGTTATTTCTGACGTTAAAACTTTTCCAACACTTTATATAAGAAATGACAAGATCTTAATCGACACTTGTCATGTTAATTATATTCCCATGTGTATATTATATACTTTAATACATTGGATCAATATCAACTTATTAAGAATGTCCTTGGAAATAAATAAAGAATCTATTACTATGAACGATTCGGTAGAAAAACCACAACATAATTCTCTACATGGCTTCCCCGCCAGGACTTCATTCAAAGAAGATTTGATACCCAAATTTACTGGAAACAGTAACGTTAAATTACTATTCAAGATACAAGAAAGTACTTGAAGAAGAATTAACAAAATATTCTTGTTACTTAAAAACGAGGAAATTATCTAGAAGTAACAAGATATTAAGGATAAAATCTCATATCTGAGAAAATACATAAAGACGAAAGTCTATTATTATTATCCGAAATAAAGTGAAAATAGTCTATCTATTGCCACTTTACAGGGAGATACTGGATATAAACTCGAAAGAGCTTATAAATTCCTGATTAATTACATTATACAAATCAAGGATCCAAAGTGGATAAAACCCCTTGGATTAATTCAAATAACCTTATTCTAAAAAATGTGATTAATAAAAACAAACAGTCCGGTAACAAAACAGTCAGAGTTGTAACAAACTCGACTAAAAGGTCAACCTGATTACCATAATAAGGAAGACAAAAAATCTAGTTCATGATGACGATATAGATATGGCATAAATCATAGATAATAGAGTAAAATGATGAATAATCTTCACAGGAGGTGAAGTATAGAGCGAAATGAGAAATTATACAACAAGTAATCGATTGCTAATAGCAAATTTCGAGTTAACGTGCCACTGACTCTAGAAAAACCGTTTAAACAGCGTATTAATATTACTAATAAGCAGGACAACAGATAGGTTTATTACAAACTGAGGCAGATGGTAAAAAGGACCCTCTCACACCCACGCGACAAATTCAGCCGTTTTTAGATTGACGAGATAAGGCAGAAGGTAAGACCTATACTCATATCTCAGGCATGATAAGCAACAAGGTTTCAAAGATGAGCAAGAGGCAGGATGTAAGACCTACACTCACACCTTAAGTATGATAAGCAACAAGGTTTCAACGATGAGCAAGAGGCAGAATGTAAGACCTACACTCACACCTTAAGCATGATAATCAACAAGGTTTCAAAGACGAGCAAGAGGCAGAATGTAAGACCTTCACTCGCATCTTAAGCATGATAATCAACAAGGTTCCAAAGATGAGCAAGAGGCAGAATGTAAGACCTACACTCACACCTTATTCATATTCGCAAACCAGGGTTTACAAGATGAGCATGCGGCATATATCCTCTCCTCATACCTGCGCCGACACCGCTATTATCAAATACGACTTAATATAATAGTAATAGACAATTCATTATTGTTGGAAATTCTTTCGAATATCTTACGTAGGCCAAGAGAGCCCAATATCGAGCCAACAATATGTCATTACACACTAATTCAGTTTAATCATGCACAAACAACTTGATATCACATTATCTTTCATCTAGACTGACGTAAAATGAGGACGAACCTCAATATGCATCAGTATCTTTGCCATATATATGAGGAAGAACTTCAATATGAATAAGTAACTCCATATGATATTCCTGAGGACGAACCTCGGAATGAAGATTCTCAAACTGACATAAAATGAAGAAGAATCTCAATATGCATCAGTATCTTTGCCAGACATATCTGAGAACGAACCTCAATATGAATCTATAAATTCACATCAAATTTCTGAGGACGAACCTCTGATTGAAGAACTATTTGTACAAGACGTATCTGAAGACGAACTTCAATATGTATCATTAACTTCAAGTGAAAGCTCTGATGAAAAAACCTCGGAATGAAGAAGTATCTGAATTCGAGACGCGTGTAGACTAACATCACACAACAACTGGATAGTGGTAAAAAACTTACATATAGATCATGCATTACTATATGCTGATCTACAGGAGGTGAATATATATACCACATCCGTATGAACCGAAGGTGGTTCAAATAAATAAAGCTTTATATGGTTAAAGCAAAGTCCGAAAGAATGGAATGATTACTTAAGAAAATATCTAAATAGTTGATCATTCTATGACTCGGAATATAAATCAAGTATCCATTTTCTAAAGATAGATTTACAGCTCGTAAACTAGAAAAACTATTAGAACAAGTTCGAAAGAACGTAACTGCTATAGAAAAAATATCTGGTTTATTTAATGTTACTGATATTTTAACAAAAAACAGTAACGCAAATTCAATTCAAGAAATTGTTTGAATGCTCGGAAAATAAGTTACACCCAGGAGACATTCTTCGTATAACTGAGCTAGGAGAATCAAAATCCAAGGACAGGAAGAAGATGTTGATGATCAGTTAAGAAGATCGTAAAATCATGTCTTTACGGAGGTGTGTCAGAATTATGAGGTAACACGTGATATATACGTATTACGACATTATTCATATAGGATAAAGAAATGTTACTTTACACGAAAGTGTTATTTCTGACGTTAAAACTTTTCCAACACTTTATATAAGAAATGACAAGATCTTAATCGACACTTGTCATGTTAATTATATTCCCATGTGTATATTATATACTTTAATACATTGGATCAATATCAACTTATTAAGAATGTCCTTGGAAATAAATAAAGAATCTATTACTATGAACGATTCGGTAGAAAAACCACAACATAATTCTCTACATCATAGTTACATAAATTTTCTATATTTCCTAAAGCCAGACGCTCTTGCATTTACATATTATCTATCACATGTTTTCGTTGTAGATAATTACCTTGACTCTAGTACTCATGCTATAGCTTCTTGGTATAAGATTAAAATAATAACAATGGATACTTCAATTGCTTTCTCATTTATAATAGTGATACCATTAAAAATTATCTGAAATATAGTCTCAAAAAAATAATCATTAGATTCTACTATTACATACAATTTGTATTGTGAGACTTGTTAAAGTGAAAAAATTGCGCAAGCCCGGAATCGAACCGGGGGCCCAACGATGGCAACGTTGGATTTTACCACTAAACCACTTGCGCCTGTTAATTTGTTATTTGATTTTTTAAGTAACATATAAGTGCTAGACTTCAGAAAAAAACATTTTTATCCATTTATCCATTTATCCCCTACCTTTGACAATAATAACTTTAATTTATACAAAATAAAAAAAAATAGTTAAATTGATAACATTTTTTTTAAGATATTTATTGTTTATGTTCTTCGCTTGGTTTTTGAGACAAAAGTGTAAAAGGAAAAAACTTCAATACTTTCTCTCAAAAAGAAAACATTATGTGAAGCATATGTTTTGATATACAGAAAAAAAATATTGACCCTTGTCAGTTTCAGAAACAAAATAATTGACATTATTCAAATGAACCTAATCCCTATTTAATAGAATTAAATAAGAACATGACAGATAGAATGTTCCTCTCCCTTTTCTGAAAAAAACTAAAAACTTTAAATGATTATGTCTATCTACAACAAAACCTACAGGAAACCTCGAAATCAAGGGAATACTACATCTTTCAGAAACACAGATTTAATATCCACCACAATAAGTGTCAATAATTCGTATAACAAAAATATGTGATTAAGAACAGAGGTTTCTCATTTTTTGTTATATTTCTACTAAAAAAACTTTTATTTAGTAAAAATAATCACTTGTACAATAATAAATGATCAATTCAAGCAGTGTGATTGTTTAATTAACAGGCATCCAATCATAATATATCCTTCTTCAACATTTAGGCCACTGTCATTACAGGTGTAATTTTATCATTTTTTTCTTCTGTCGCCGAAACTAATCGAAAAATTTTTTTGTCATCACATTGTCCGTCTTAGTAACCTTTTTTGAAATTCTAGCTCATCTCTCATTTTTGGCAATAAAAGTTATGTTAAAAGTTATGTTTAATTAAGATATCAAAGAAATAATAAGTTTCATCATATTAATCTATCCCTCTATTGAAGGGAATGATTATTCCCTACCATATTTGCAGTTGCTATCTTTACTCTCTCGATAGAATTCCTTTCAGATTCTGTATCGATCTGCTTTCACTAAGCACACACGTTCATTACCAGAGGTTTCAAAATTTATGCTCTTTAAAAGGGCTTTTTATAGATCAATGTCATTTAAAACAAAGATATTAAAGGTGGATCCATCTTCGATCATTTTCTCTGAAAATGCTCATATTGATGGGTCTTTACCAAAAATTACAGATCCAGAAACTGAAGCTGCATTGTTAGAGGCAGCTTCAATAATACGGGATACTGATAATGTTGTAGCATTTCCAACTGAAACGGTATATGGTTTAGGTGGTTCATCACTGAATGATAAGTCAGTCCTTAATATTTATAAAGCTAAGAATAGACCAAGTGATAATCCTTTAATTTCCCATGTCTCATCAATCGATCAATTAAACAGAAAAATATATAATAACGTTTCAGAAACAAATAATCCTAAATCGTTACTTTCCAATATTCCTCCAATATATCATAACCTAATTAGTAAACTTTGGCCAGGTCCATTAACCATTCTTTTACCAGTGCCTAAAGAGGGAAATGGCAATTTATCAAAATTAACAACTGTTAACCAGCCAACTTTTGCAGTACGAATTCCTTCTCATCCTGTTGCAAGAGCATTGATTGCTTTAAGTGATACTCCAATTGCTGCTCCTTCAGCTAATGCATCTACCAGGCCATCTCCTACCTTGGCATCCCATGTCTTCCATGATTTAAATACAAAAATTCCATTAATTCTTGACGGTGGTGCTTGTTCAGTTGGTGTTGAAAGTACAGTAATTGACGGTTTATGCAATCCACCAGCTTTACTACGACCTGGTGGATTTACTTATGAACAAATAGTTCATTTGGGTGGTGAATCATGGAAGAGTTGTAAGGTTGAAAACAAGAAGACTGTTTTGAAGGGTGAGAAAGTAAGAACCCCGGGCATGAAATACAGACACTATTCTCCATCTGCGAAAGTTGTATTACTAGTACCTTCATCTCCTTTTAATGAAAATACCTATCTAGAAAAGATTTCAAGAATTATTTCTGAGGAAAAAGATAAAACAAACGTTAAAAAAGTGGCTGTCTTAACTTCATTAAAGTTGGCTACTATCCATTCAAAGTTAAGCAATCTTGGTTCATATTTGAATAAGGCTGATGGTATAGAAATTAATGTTCAAAATTTGGGAAATAATGGCACGGAGATTCAGTCCAACCTTTTTGCAACATTAAGAACAGTGGATGAGGTTGACAACGTTGATTTAATACTTGTTGAAGGTATTGAAGAAGATGAGGAAGGGCTTGCAGTTATGAATAGACTAGAAAAAGCTGCTGGTGGTAATATTACATTCATATAATTTTTTGTATTAAATGATACACTTACATATGTAAAATTAATAAAACGAGCATATTTTATCTTAATTTATCTTATTAAATATATTGGTGGAAAATAAAAAACGTATAACTAATACTTATTAAATACTAATAGAATGGGGGAATGAAAATTGTGAAAATTGTGAAAATTGTTTTCAAAAATGCAATCTGTCCATGAAAACACATATGTGAAGCAGGAAGCCACCTATACATTTGAATAATAGTATGGATCCTCTAATTCTTGCTTTTTACTATAATATTTTCTAACTTCATCAGCAATGAAAACACTACTGCTTACGAAGAACAAAAATACCAGGTCAAAAAAGGCCAAACTCTCTGTCTTGAAAATGTTTTGGAAGAAGGGAACATAAATCGCACACATTTGACCTAACAATGAGAAACCAACTGCATAGTTAAACATCTTATTAGAGAACAAACCGATTTCAAAAATAGACTTTGTTGAATGTCTACAAGCCAAAGCATTGAACATGTCAAAAAATACGAAACATGTAAAAGTCATAGTAGTGTCTCTTGCAGTAACTTTCCCATCTTCTGCCATTTCTTTCATAAATACATAGACCGTACCCATAATAATAAATACAGCAGTCGTTAGCAAACGTCTCAAGACAAACGGAGTTAAAATTTTATCAGAACGTTTCCTTGGTGGCTTTTTCATAACATCATTGTCAACAGGCTCTACACCCAAAGATTGAGCAGGTGGACCATCCATTAAAATATTAATCCACAGAATTTGCATAGCATTCAATGGGTTTGGTAACTTAAAAGCAGTGGACAATGCAATCAAAGACAATGCAGCTACAGAGGTAGATAGTTGAAATGTTAAAAAGTTTTGAATATTGTTAAAAATACCCTTACCTTCTTCAATTGCCGTTAGAATAGTACTGAAATCATCGTCCGTCAAAACCATATCAGATGCTTCCTTAGCCACATCTGTACCCATTCTACCCATAGAAACACCAATATCTGCTAACTTCAATGCAGGGGCATCATTAACACCATCACCAGTCATAGCAACAATATCACCTCTTTTTCTTAAGGCACGAACAATGTTTAATTTATGTTCAGGAGTTGCACGAGCAAAAATATTTACATGATCAATGACATTAGCAAGCTGATCATCAGTCATATCATTCAATTTATCACCGGTTAGAACAGAAACGTCTTTACTTACAATAGGAATACCAATTTGCTTAGCAATATTAACAGCAGTGTTTTCAGAATCACCAGTTATCATAATGATATGAACACCACCTTGTAATAATTGTTCAATAGCTGGCTTTACCGTTGCTCTTGGAGGATCATTCATACCAATCAAACCAGTAAACACCAAACCAGAAATTTCACTTTCATTTAATTCAGCTTTTTCATTATCAACATCAACCTTTGCAAAGGCTAAAACACGCAACCCATCAGAAGCTAAATCGTTGGCACAGTCTGTGATAACTTCTTTTAGCTGATCTGTAAGCTTTTCAGGTTTACCGTTTTTGTTCAAGTAAAATACAGAGTTCTCCAGAACTTTCTCATAAGCACCTTTAACATAAATACCACATTTCTTCTCTGAATCGATTATCTTTGTAGCCATGAATTTTCTCTTTGAATTAAATGGGATTTCCTTTAATTTCTTCAAATTTTGCCTTATATCAGTCATTTCAAATTTAGATAGTTGCTCCACTAAAGCAATATCTGTAGGATTACCTAGATACTTACCATGTTCATGGGAGAAGGATGCATTGTTACAAATGTTTGAAATCATTAGAGTTTGTCTTACATCTTCGGTCAAGTAATTCTTCAGATTACCATTTTTATTTTTTTCAATTGACAAAACATTTGACTTGTTTGACATGCTGCCCAAACACCAAATTTTTGATACAGTCATATGATTGGTGGTCAAAGTACCAGTTTTATCGGAACAAATGACATTTACAGAACCTAAAGTTTCAACACTTGGCAGTCTTCTTACGATTGCCTTACGTTTAGCCATTCTCAATACACCAAGAGCTAAGGTAACAGTTACAATAATTGGCAAACCTTCAGGGATTGCCGCAACGGCTAGAGATACTGAAATTTGGAACATCTCTAACCATGATCTTCCTTGAATGATACCAATTAAACAAATAACACCAATAACAATGAAACTCATAAAAGACAAATCTTTACCTAATTTATCCATTGCCAATTGAAGAGGTGTCTTAGGTTTTTCAATACTGCTCATCATTTCGAAAACTGCACCAAAGCAAGTATTAGTACCAGTACCGATGACAATACCTTTACCATGTCCTTCTCTTACCAAAGTACCCATATAAGCGATAGAAGTTCTATTAGATAATGGTATAAAGCAATTTGGCTGATCATTGAAGCTTTCCTTATTGACACGTCTTGCAGATTTATGGACCGGTTCATTCTCACCGGTCAAGTTACTTTCATCAATCGATAAATCTACTTGTTCAATAATTCTAATGTCAGCAGGAATTCTGTCACCAATTCTAAAATGAACTAGATCACCTGGAACTAATCCTGAGGCTAAAATTCTTGATTCTTGACCACCTCTAATTAAATGACATTCTGCCGGCACTAATTTATTTAAAGCTTCCAATGATTTCTCAGATCTGTATTCTTGCACAAAACCAACTGTAACGACGATAACTATAGCCATTGTAATACTTATGGCATCATCGATGTTTCCCATTAAGAATGAGATTACTGCTGAGCCCATTAATAACAAAATCAAAGGATCCTCTAAGAAATTCATGAAGAATTTCTTAATCAATGACTCGTCATCTTCCACAGATACTTCATTTGCACCATATTCAACTTTTCTGCGACTAACTTCTTCAATTGAATTCAAACCAGTAATTGGATCTGTGCCTAATCTTTCCAAGGTTTCAGCCGTGGATAAGGTACAAAATTCTAGAGAAGGATTAGGGAGATTTAAAACTTCACTAGTGGCGGAAAGAAGATTTTCAGATTCAAGTAGTTCATTGCTACCAGCCAATGTAGATTCAAAGGGGTTTTCACTCATTCTATAAGTTGACAAAAACAGTCAGCCAAATTTTAACAAATTTTTTTTTAAAAATATTAGACAAGTTTACACTCAGAAACTGGCAATTTCAATACAGATCGTCTTATTGTCGTTCAGGTATCACACTCTTCTATTTTCTCTAAAAATTAAATACAAAAACCCAATCCCCAACACTAATTTCAATTCAAAAACCAGTATGAACAGAACTTAAACATAAACTAGTATCTACGATCAACAACAAAGCCAATAAATCCCTATCAATGGTCGACAATTTCCTGTAATCACAACAATTATCATATATATCTTTAACATAAAATCAACCAGTTGTTTTAAATGAATTGGCTATAACTTTGGTTTATTTAATTAAAATTTCTTATTTCGAAGAAAAAAATATCAATTGATAAACGTTTTTCCTTTTTTGGATATCACGTGACAAACCATCATTAATCTGACATCCAGGACATGACAGTTAGACGTAGATTTCAAAGGATAAGCCTTATCTGCAATATAAATTTAGTTTCAATTTGATCTAATTGTTCTTATAATGTATTTGAATTTATATATCTATAATTCTTAGTAAATCTATAGTACACGGGGATTGAGAGAGATTTGAAAGTTAACGATATAGAACCAGAAGAAATTGCTCTATACATTTTCTTCTGCAGCTATGCAAAACAGACAAATCTTAACATATGTATGAAGCTGTATTGGGTATAAGATGAGAAAGGTAAAAAAAATAAATTCAGAAGTGGTTAATTTCTGATCTTTTCCTTTATTTTGGTGTTACATTATAGCGCATTCTAATACCCATAGCATTCAATTCAGAATCTAAGTACTTCAAAACGAATGGAATTGCAACTGTAGTAGTTTCACCACCACCAACAAATTTATTACCTTGACCATCTTCCCAAATCTCTGAATCATCAATGTATATCTTTTCATCATCAGTTTGGTATTTAGATAAAGATTTCTTTGCTTCATCAAAATCAATTGCACAACGACGACAACGGACGGTTGATACCGAACCAATTTTCGGTACACTTTGTTGTGTAGTTAAGATAGAACCACACTCACGACAAACTGCAGTTTGGGTGTAATCAGAACAGTTTAACAAACGATCTTGTAATAAGAAAGATGTACCATGACCAATCAATGCATCTCTTTCCATTTCACCAACACGAATACCACCATGTCTTTTTCTACCTTTGACAGGTTGCATTGTTAAACTGTTGACTGGACCTGTAGAACGTACTTGGAACTTATCGTTAACCATGTGACGCAATCTTTGATAATAAACAACACCGATGTAGATATCAGCTCTCAATTCTTCACCGGTAGCACCAGAATACATTGGTTCATTACCATGATAGTTGTAACCGGCCTTCAATAATTGGTCACCGAAATAATCAGCTGGAGTATCACTTTCGTCGAAGGTCCATGGAGTAGCATCATGAGCGGTACCATGTAAAGCACCTGCTTTACCAGCCAAAGATTCAACGAACATACCGATGGTCATACGAGATGGGAAAGCGTGTGGGTTAATGATGACATCAGGTTGAATACCAGTTTCACTAAATGGCATATCAATAGTTGGCCATTTTCTTGAACAAACACCTTTTTGACCGTGTCTTGAAGAAAATTTGTCACCGATTTGTGGAGTTCTTCTAATACGGTATTTAATAGACACAGTTTGTAGTTCTTGAAACTTGTTAGACTCATCACCAATTAAATTAACTTCTTCAATATATGCTGGTTCTGATGAATGGTAGGTTTTAATCTTAGTTTTATTCAATGTATCATCAAAGTATGCACAAATTGGGTCACCTTCTTCAACATAAGTACCAATATATGGTAAACCATCTTCATCCAACTTTTCTAACCATTCCTTTGGCCATTCATCTGGACCAAATCCGAAATGTTGAGTAATTGGGTCACCACGACTTCTGTTCATTGATAAATCAACCTTTTCAACTTTATACATTGTACCATAACCGAAGCCTCTTTCATCTGCAGATTTATTAATTATCATCGCGTCATCCATATCGTAACCAGTATAGGAAATAACGGCAACAACTGCGTTGGTACCATTAGGAAAGTTATCCATACCATAATCATCATATAGGTTAGCTTTAACAATAGGAGTTTGACCAGATTGTAGTCTATATAATTTGTTATCTGAACGGTGACACAACGCAACACCAGGGGTACCCATAGTTTGTTTACCCATCTGACATTGGTACATATTTCTTGGGGATTGGTTGAAATCTGAGAAAGGTGTCAAGTTAGCCAAAATAGACAGAATGTTAGTTGGAGTGAATTCAACATGGCTGTGAATATTGTTTTCGATTTCTTGTGGAGTGACCGCAATGTTCATGTAAACCTGTTCGAATGGACCAACAATATCTTCTTTACCTAGAGGCAAGTATCGAACTGGACGCATCATTCTTGAATGACCACCAAAGATATACAAACCTGGATATTGACCACTAGAAGATGGTGGAACGTAACCAATTTCCAAATCTAACGGTAAACCTGGAGTCTTACCTTCAACCTTCCAGAATCTCAAAGTATCTGCGACGATTTTACCTTCATCATGAGAGACCCAACCGACAATTTTACCATCTAATTGAACACAACATAGGGAAGGACCTGCAGCAACTGTTTGAGAAGCTGGGGTTACACCTAATGAGTACAATAATTCTGGAATTTTAGAAACATCAGATTGAATTGTTGAAATACGACATTTATGGGCAAAATGATTCAACAGACCACACGGGGAACCATCTGGTGTATGGACAGGACACAAGAAACCCCATGATTCTGGTAACAATTTTCTGACAGTAGTAGTTTTCAATTGAGCGAAAAACGAACCTCTGTGAACCATTCTGAAATGTGAAATGAAACGATAGAAATTAATCTTTTCAGCAACAACTGTATAACCTGAAACTTGTTGTAAATCTAAACCTGACTGTGAAACTAGGTTACCAGTAGACAAAAAGTATTGTAACTTAGAACCAATATTTTCGTTAACCCTCATTAAAACTCTGCTCATGTATTTACGGTCCTTGAAATTTATAGCCATACCACGATTAATGTCAGCTCTGATTTGGGCAATAATGCTTTGTAAATATTCATCCATCTTTTCCTTCAAGATCATACCGTATAGGAAACCACCTAACAACACTTCTTGATGTTGAGTGGCATCTGGATTGTCTGGGCAACATTCACCTGCGACCAAAGAATATAATTTTCTGATCATGAACATTAACATTCTAGATTTGTCTTCGTTGTTACCAGTACCTAAGTGTACTAGAACAATACGATTCAAAACTTCTTGACCAACATCATAATCTGATTTATCTGGAGAAGCTTGGAATACAACACGAAATTTATCACCAATGTATTGAAGAACTTGAGTACGGTTTTGCAATTGTGGATATCTCTTCTTGAAACCACGTAATAACAATTCTAAACGATCAGTTAAGAAAGAATTCTTAATATCACTACCAATGATCCCGTCAAAAATTTCTCTGTCACTTGTATCACACAATGCCTTCAAAATCATAACAGCAGGAATCAAATATTCGTTTTTTCTCCAAGAGAATCTGAAAGTAACTTGACCATCATTCAAATAATGTAAAACGTTAGTTTGAGATGTTTGATCATTTCTGACTGATCTTATTTGAATACCATACTGAGTGTATGAAGCACCTCTATTAGCAAAAGAAGGTCTGATAATAGCCATAGGATGGTTTCTACGTTGAACAATCAACATTCTGATAAGTTTTTCAATACCGTTAACAATGAAGTAACCACCTAATTCATCTGATTCTTCTTTACGTTGAACCAAATCATATGGCGATAATTTATTTAAGTGACATCTATTACTTTGTAACATAATAGGCAAACCACCACCATCTCTCATGTCCGTTAATACTTCTTCACCATCGTTCACAGACCATTTTAATTTCATTAGTAATTTACCTCTATATGAAGTTAATCTTTGTCTTGCTTCACTAGGATAAAATTTTCTTTCAACAGCAGATGAGACACCATCATTTGAAGTTGGTTTAGCAATAGAAACTTGTTCGATGCTAATGGATAACTTATTTCCCAAATAACCTTCATTGATATTTTCTTCATCAGCACCATTGGATTTACCATCAAAGATAACCTTTTCACCAATATCTTTAATAGCTTCACTTAATAATCCACCATCAGAGCCTTCAGTCAATGCATTAAAAGAACCAATATGAGGTTGAACAGCTTCCTGAAGTAACGGATAAGCAGATTTATCCTTTGGAGGATTTATAAATCTGGACTCTCTTTCAAGAGTACGGAAATCTGCTGTTCTTCCTGTAGAAGGTGGTTTTATTATTTTGCCCATATTGTATATGGATATGTGTGAATCTTAAATAGAGAATCTCAATTTAAAGCTTTCAGACACCCACACAGAAAATAAAATAAAATAAATATGTATAATTTTATATAATTTTATTTTTGTTTTTCACACTAATTGACTCAATTTATGTTTATTGTTCAATGGAAAATTAGCTCTATAGCGAGACAGCCCTCTCTATGCTAAAGAATGGTCTTCTTTATGATTTTACTTAACTTGATTTGATGAGATGAGATGAGATGAGATGAGCTTGCCAAATTGAAATATTTTTTTTGATCTCTTATTTCAAAAAGATATTGGAAAACTAAGCAATATATCGTCAGCGATGATACAAAAATTTTCTTTTACCAAACTTAGACAACTACGTAGAAGAACCATTCAATATATATCTATTTGTGATGGTTATCATTAATGACGTCATAAATCAGTTAGGTATATCAAATGAACTTAAATCCAAACTAGCAATCCTCTATGTATGACTATGAGCTCAACAGTTGAGAATTGATGTCAGTTAGTGGCCAATTTTATTTCATATTTCTTTATGAATATGTTCATTTTTTTTTCACCATTTTTTCTCAGATTTGGTGTTACACATATTTCACAATAATTGACATTTCTAAAGTCATTCAGGTACAAAGGGTTGCATATAAGGACAAATAAGTCATGTTTTAGGATATTTTGATTTATAGGCATCGAGAGTCAGCAATATCTGGTTTTCTTTCCAGCCTCTAAATCTACTAATGAGTTATTAAAATCAATTCAGTCTATTCGTTTATTTTCCCAACTAAGTGGTTATTAATTATTCACGAATGTATTATTATTGCTATTACACATATCAAAGAATTATTACCAATTCAATATCAATATTTTTGCAATTGGCTAACAATAAATTATTAGTGAAGAAAAGATTTGAGTGGAAACACTAATTTCCACATTTGTATAACAAAGCGTTCATAGAAAGATCCATGAATTACACAGTTACTAATAATTTTTGATAGTAATTCTATATTAAATAGAGAATTTAAACTATTTATCCCTTAACTTTGCTAATTCATTACAAATGTCAGCTATACACTGTCGCCAATTTTTCTGTAAAATCATGTGTATGATGTGGAATAACTAAACTTTAAACATGTTTTGAAAATTTCAATAAAAAAAGCCTTGTTGGCGCAATCGGTAGCGCGTGTGACTCTTAATCACAAGGTTAGGGGTTCGAGCCCCCTACAGGGCTTTCTTTTTTAATTACACTATTTGTAATAGTGAATATTATATTAAATAAATGATAGACATTGTCATATCCAATTGAATTTCTACAAATTTGAAATGTTGTAGCATTGAGCTCCTTTTTGTATTTTGACATTTCATAATCCAGAGTTCTTAGTTTTTTTTTTGCTGACACCCATGATTCTTGAAGTACATCTGACCAAATATAGCACCAACTGTTCCTCGCAAAAGTGGTAATGAAGTTAAAACAGCAATGTGACAAATAATATAGGAACATGAGATTTATTAAAAATATAAAGTTTTAAAAAGATTATAGAATATAAAAAAAGATATAAATAAATACTTCTAAATTTAAAAAATAAAAATTTATTGAGATTACATTGGTATCTATGATGTTAAAGCGTAACAGAATGACTGCAACCGAAGTATAACAATTGCATTCAATAGATAAAAACAGGGCTAACAGATAAATAAACCTTAAGAATATTAGAAACAAAATAGAGGATTAACATTAAGAATAATAATATAAAAAAAGGAAGGTTTAGTGTGATTAAAAAGATACACGGCGAGGCGAGAATAGAAATAAAACAAATAAAATGGCTACAACATTAAGATATAGACCAAAAAAATCAAATCCATATAATGTTAAAACCACTTTTAAAAATCCATTTTCACCCTTGCCTTTTCATCTCTCTTAGATCAAACTAACTTCTTGCTTCAAATTAATTCAGTTAACTTTGCATCTATTTGTTTTGTTCATCACCCCCCTTGGTCAAAACTTCTTTCAAACCAGATTGTTCTGGGTTGGCAGTGATTCTTAAACTGTCATCATAGGCAAATTTCTTGTAAGTGAAGAAAACACCAGAACACAAAGCTACACCCATAGCAAAAAACAATGGAGTTAATTCAACTGGTACACCGGAACCAGAAGATTTCTTAGCTGCATTCAATAATAATTGGGAAGGTCTCATGCTTGGAATTAATTAGAGTTGATATGATATGATATGATATGAGATGATGTTAAATATATAGAAATGAAAATATACAATTAAAACCGGTTAAATGATAACAAGCCAAACTGAACAGTTTTTAATTCTAAACGCTCCTAAAAGGATCCTTATAGTTCAAATTTTGAAGTATTAAATAACAAATAGTAAACTGTAAAACAACAAGTTAATCCATTAGATTCAATCAATAAGAATCAACTTAAACCTGGTTCTATTCTGTTTCGAAAAAACAGTTGGTTGGTGATGGATGAAGTTTGATATCAATTAAAATTTGTACTGAGACGAGGGGTGTGTGGTTTGCTGGTAGGTTTGCTGCACTATAGAGTAAGCTTAACAGTGGGCAAAATCAAGTTTGGTTCCCAACCGATAATTTTTTCGAAAAGTTATCGTGTGACACGAGACAATTTAATTGGATAATAAGGTCATCGAATCAAGTTGAACTAGAGCCTAAACCTATATTTAAGGTTAAACTTATACTACAACAGACACAGTTTTATTTATATACATATACATATACACATACACTTGAATTAAATATCTACAAGAGGAACTTAAATAAACAGAGGAAAAAAAATGTCATTGAATATTATTAAAATTGTTTCAGTTTCCTGTCATCTTGGAATTCTAGTGTTGGGAAATTGGAGGCGACAGACGGTTTAGATAGATAGTTTGTCGAGATGGGATAATGTAATAATTGACTTAGGAATAGTCTCTTCATCTTGGACACAGTACCTTTTACTTTATTTTATTTATTTTTTGATTCTTGGTAGGGACCTTTGGAGGATGTTACCAATTTTTGATGAATTGTGTTGACATTTCGTAGACTACCCAACTCACTGCTGTAGATGGCACAACCTTAAATAAATTTACCGTTAATCCATTGTAATATCCTTTAAATCCTTCTTTCTTACCAATTGTAACCAGTGCATTCCAAATACTGGTATAATTGAATCCCAATTCATTTTTACCCATATTGATGACTTGGAATCTTCTTCTTAATAGATCAAATGGATATATGATCGTTTGAGCAACACCACCACTAATTGCACCCAATCCTAATTTGATTATATTATCCTTGAATGTCACATTGCCGTTACCATTGTTAAGGTTTGATTTTTCGTCAGGCAATGCAATCTCCTTTAAAATGTTATAAAATGTAAAATTTAATCCAGCATATGGAACAACACCAAAACAAGTTGGTATAACACCTTTATACAAGCCGATAATTTTACCTTCATTATAATAAACATCTTTAAACAGTTTCCAGAAACCCGGTGGGTGCTTAATATCTTTAGCTTTGCTGGCTTTTAAGTTTTCTAAATCTGATGTCTGTATAGATAATCTTGTTCTAATCAAATCAATTGGATAAGTAGCAATTACACTGGCAAATCCACATAAACCACCACTTAATAATCTTTTCGTATTTGTATAACCATCAAAAAAAGAATCCAATTTAATCATTGTATCTTCATAGACCAAAAATTGAATGGCATAATTTGGGAAGATACGAACACAGTTGATACCATTACCTCGAAACCAACCTTTCCAACCTTCATTCTGATAGATATAAACTATTGATGCCCAAATACCTTTATTATAGGAAGCATTTATATTATTAGCAGTTTGTAATTGTAATAAAATTTTAATCCTTTCAAAAGGTGATACAACAGTTCTCGACACAGCACCAGCTAAACCACCAGATATAAATGCATTTGTAGAATCTGATTTAATCAATTCTTTTAACTTCATTTCATTAACTAGTTTAGTCAGGTACTCATATATATTTTAGTTTTCAAAAAAGAAAGTATGTAGAGTGAGAGTAATAAAGAAAATAAGGGAATATATACATATGGTTTAATACTGTCAATTCCCGTCGAGACTACTCTAGTTATCGATGAACATACACCTATCTATACATAGGTATACATTATGCTATATAGCATGGTGTAGGTGAAATCATAGATCTAATGTTTGAATATTGAATAGTTCGCATAGTAACGAAACTTTTAGCATTTTATGAAACTGAATAATATGGGAATTAGAGAATAAAGAAAAAAAAGTTAGATAGTAAAAGTTATAATGATACCTTTTATTCGATGTTGTATATTAACAAGGACCAAGAATCTTATCAATCTTATTAATTTATTAGTTATGATTCGAATTGATACGAATTTGAAGTACAAAACATATAAACCAATTTAACAAAACAGGCATTGATGAGGTGTTACAATATCCTGGGTTAAGTTTATGAGTTGAAGTAGCTTTTTAATGTCAACATCAAATTCACTAACTTGTTCAGGTCTAGTTGTTCATTTATTAGATACACATAAACATGATATGTTTATCACTTCGAAATAATTACAGCAACAACAACCGTCAAATTACTATTGTATCAGAGTACAACATTACACTTGGATAATAGTATTATACATACCTTTTATACATTGTCTAGCTAGTTCGTTATGAATATTACCTTAAATAGAGATACAGATACAACTCATCTTAAATGTAACATGAGTTAGACATCCATGCGTTGCGACAGCAAGAAAAGAAGAATCTTATATTCAATTGAATTGAATTGGATTGGATTGATCTAATCTCGAGTGAACTAGATTCATTTAAATTTAGCTAGAATCATTGTTTTATATCTTGGATCGTGATGGTTCAGTCTGGTTGTTAAGTTTCAAATGAAGAAATTCCAGCAAGAAGAAGGAAAAAAAAAAAAATGGCTCTTGGTTTCATAAAGGGAAATTAGCTAAAACCTCATAATCTAGAATGCGGATCAAACTTCCGAAGGTGTTGTCATTTTGCAAACATTTATAATTCGATACATCGAATTGATTATGAAATAATCCGAAATTTGTAATGTACTGTATGTATTGTAAGAGAGCGTGAGAATTTTGAATTTTAATCGTAGGTTTTAGTGATAGTAAAAGTAAAAGTGAAGGTGAAAGTGAAAGTGAAAGTGGAATTGTAATTAGATTTGTAATTGTAATTAGATTTGTAATTGTAATTAGATTTGTAATTGTAATTGTAATTGGAATTGTTAGTAAGTGTATCTTTATGGAAAAAAAAAGAGCAAGAGATGGTTATAAGTATACAGGGAATTGAACAGAGTAACAATAGCCATGTGAGTTGCTGAGAAAAGATATGTTTTGAATCAATTAATTCTTGGGCTCTAAATTCAAATAAAAAGAATAACATTGTTTAATTACTAATTTGGCTTTTGAGTTTTTACGATCATGAATAAGGATAAAGAAGCGTCCAACGACGTTTATTTCCAGTACGTTTTCATTTAATTTCATACTACGTTGATGTTGTTTGAATATGAATCCATTGACTAGTTCAGAGCAGTCGCTGTGCTACTAACTACAAGCAGAGCACGAATGATGATTGCGAGAAATTTTTTAATGGCTTTTTTATCAAAATAATGATTGGGAATAAATTTTTTTTTGACTTTTTTGTTCTTGTAATTAATAAAGTTGATAACATTACAACAAAGCTACCTAACCCTTGCAAACATTAATTGGCTTACTCTGAAGTTCAATTCAAAAGTCTTCTTCTTCTTCTTTTTTTTTTTTTTTTCTTTCTCACTACCTCTTTTGTAATAATGAAGAATTATAACTACATTTGTCTAGATTCTTTCCTACGTAATTTAACATTTTAGAGATTCTAATATGCCGAGCGACCTTTTTGACCCGACCCGACCCTATTATGTAAAATTAAAAATTAAAAATCAATAATTAGTAACGAGTAAGCAGAATGTCAAAATATCTCAAAAATGTCACTAACTGCAATATTGTTCATTTTCTTATTTATTATGGATTATATATTCGAATCTTAATTATAATTGTTAGAACACTAATGAACAATTAAATATAATGATGCAGATAGAGTTATTATTACTACTATTATTATTTATATTTAGTTAAAGAATATTTACAAACTATAATACCAATAATAATGATCATTTACTACTCTTATTATTATTACTATTATTATTAGTATTATCAGTGCTATTATTATTAAAATTTGATGACGATGATGATGACGATGATGATGATGATATTGATGACGATGATATCGACGATGCCGACAATGTTGGAGATAATGAATTTGTAGAACTCAACTTCTTGTTCTTATTATCATTACTATTATTACTATTATTATTATTATTATGATGATTATGATTATTTGTTTTTTTTTCAGTTTTTTTAGCCAATTTAACTTGTTTTCTTTGATGCGATTTCAAATGTCTTAACATATTACTCTTTACATTAAATGATTTTGGACAATTTTCCCATGGACATTTAAATGGTGTATCACCAGTATGAATTAATAAATGCGTCTTTAACGTTGCTGGACGTGAACAAATTTTTTTGCAAATGTGACACTGTTTCCTTAACAATGTCATCTTTTTACTCTCTTCTGAATTAAAAGCTTTTTTACCAATCTTATTAATTGACGATGATGAAGGTGATGTCATCGCAGGCATTGGCATAGAACCTTCAGGTTCAACTTTGATGACAGAGTTATTGATCGGAATATATTTACTTTGTACACCAGTTCCAGGTACATGCAATAATGGTTGCTGTTGCTGTGGCAGTGGTGGTGAATTCATCGGCAACACAGTACTATTCATATTGCTCATAATTAAATCGCTATGCCGTAGCATCGCCAAATTTGGAGTAGGGTTGTGGGTTAAATTTCTAATATCGTTAATATGTTCTTCATTTTGTGGGAATATCGTGGGTATTAATGACGATAACGGCGGTAATGTAATCTTTTTCTCCTTATCCTTATCTTTGTCTTTATTATTATTATTATCGTTGTCTCCTGACATTTCCTTAATATTTTTCTTAAAATGCCCTTTTTTGACTTGACTCTCTTGTTTTCTTTGCTAGTTCCTTTCAACAATATATATAAAAATATATGCGAAATATATATATGTTCAAAAGCCTCTTTTCCTGTTTAAAATTTCAGAAATATTTCTTGTATCAAACTTAATTAGGTATAATTTATAAAATTTAATCGGCAAATTTAGAATTATTTAAAATCACGACCATACCTAATTTGCTATTGATAACGAATAAAATTAAAATTAAGATAATAATAATAATCAAAAGTTCCTGTTAAAATAAAAGAAATATCAAGTAATCAAAACGTTTGTACAATATTTATTATTAGTTATTAATCAATTTTCCAAAATCAAACGGTTAAATCAAAATTTCAAAAAAATAAAAAAACTTTATCGGGTCTTTCTCTACCAATAATTAATGAATATTTAAATTTGATCTAATGTTTCCTTTCCAAGTATTATTATAGATTAGAATTCTTAAATATTTAAATATCGTAGTCAATAGAGGTGTATGTTTAATTTTTTATTGTCAACGTAGTAGTAATTGTATTATTAGTAGTGTTAGTAGTATTTTACTATTTGCAATATCAATAGTATTCCTTGTTATCGTTGTAGTAGTAGTCACTATTCTGTTATAGATTTATAACTTGCTTTTAATTTTTTTTTGTTTTTAGGTTATCTATATTAATCTTGTAATAAAAATGTAATTAAATAAAACCTTTATTGTGACAAACACAACATCACAACTTTAAACTTGATTGTTTTTCAGTTATATTATAAAAGAAAAAATAAATAAATAGATAAATTATAGTAAAATAACTGGTGTTTATTTTTTACGTTACTCCAGTTAATTATACAACTATAATGGTTCTTTTATTATTTTATTCAAAAATAATAATGATAATAATTTTCCTTTTTGTATTGCTGAAGACTTAATGGTGATAAAATGTCTTTTGTTGCAAACTTAAATTTTCTATTGTCAAATTAATATTAATGGGTGACAATAAAAAGAAACTAAGAGGAACAGTTAAGGTATTGATATCGATAAGGTGGGAAGAAAAAAAGTATAGAAAAAAGAATATTAAATGAATTTATAATATAGTAATATTTAAATAATAAAATACAATAAGCTCATAAAATAAAATTAGAAGCTAGATTGAAATATTTAAATCCAAAAGAATTATTAAATTTGGAAAGGGAACCCTGTGATTTTTATATTAACCAGAAACAAATTAGAGTTGTTCCTTATATATATAATCTAATAGGGTTGACTTAACAAGATTAGGATAGAGAGGATATAGGAGAATGTACAGACAGGATATAACGAAAGTGTATACGAATTTAAGCTAAGACATATTAAAATTTTAGTTTAATATTAATTTAGCATAGTTTTCAATTTCAATTTCAGTTTCAATTTCGATTCCAATTTTTTTTCCTTTCTTTCTTTCTTTCTTTCTTTCTTGAAATTGAGTAGGATACAGAGCTTGTTAGACTTGTGTAATCAACATTTTTTTAAGGACAAGATTTCGAAATCGAAAATCGATAAATAATAATATAATACATTTAATTGTCCCTACGATATGGGAACCATTTAATGGTACAGTATACAATATAGTTCACATGTAGGTTGACGATGTGAGAATCAAAAACAGAAAAAGTCAATGTACTTGTCAAAAAAAAAAAAAAAAAAAAAAGATTACAAAACTAGGAGAAACAGTGGGAGTATAAGTGAGCAAGCTTTTTGTATAAATGATTACACATAGTATTCCGATTAATAAGAGATAAATAATGAACTGTGAAAGGGAGCTAAAATATGTATACCATAACGTAACATAACATAACATAACATATATATAATGTTGTTAGCTCCTGCATCTTCTTCTTAAGTCTCTGCCCAAGACTACGGGTCACTTAGTGTTGCTGCTGGGAATAAGATACTGTTGGTACATAGCCAGTGAATGAGCAAGTGCACACAAACTGCAAAAAAAAAAGATAATTAAATTAATTTAATTAATCCAATTGGCAATATAATGTTTTCGAACAGAAAAAAAAACCATACATACATTGGAGATGTTGAAGGAGAGAAGGACAAGAGAATATATCGAAAATGAACCAGTGAAAAATCCGAAGTTCTGGATCATTAGTTTACTTAGTACTAATCTTGAATTATTGTATTGCACTGTAAAAGCTTGGTAACAGCTAAGAAACTAGAGAGGCTATTGGATTATTTTTTTCTTGTTCTTCTATTTTTCTCTCTTCTTGCTTAGATGGGAAAAAATTAAGAAGAGAGGGATAAAATTTGACCTAGGAAATTTTAAGATGGAAAAAAAAAATTAAAATAAAATAACTAATTTATCTAATTAGCTAATTGCACAATTGACTATTTATGTTTGCAGTTACATTACATTATTCATTCATTCATTCATTCATTCATACAGTTGCGCAGTCACTCTCTCACACATATATACGTCCATAGACACACGCATACACATTCAAAAACATAGACATACACTTACACTTACACACACATATACATATACATTTACATATAGAGATACATATACTTAAACATTTACATTTACATTTACATATACATATACCTATACTCATACATATCAATATACATACACATATACAATTGCACTTAATAGTTCGAAATGCCTTTCTGATTACATACAGATCATTGCTTTTATAATTCAGTGTATGAAATATCCATGTAGGGCAAGATATGCTGGAAACCAACCCGGTGAAATCCTGGACTGCAATTGAACTGAGTCGAATTAGATCAGAACCGAAAGCAATTTGAGGGCGTATGTATTTCTTAGTAATAGATAGCAATGATAGTAATCAAGGCAAACGGTATTGAACATGTCTGCTTCCATAAATTTTCCATGCAATTATTATCCAACATAGAATATTGATTGATGCTTAAATGCGGCGTTATTCTAAATATTGATTTCACAGAATTTTAAATATTGTGCACATTTTATAAACTCACTCACTTGCAGCTAGGACACTTTGTAGTGCTATTAAATGTACATCAGCATTTAAAAATTTCTTGCAAATGAGAAAAATCTACGTAAGTTTTACTGAAATCTAAGAGTATTTTTTTACGTTAGGTAGACATTTTAACAAGATCACAATTAATTAATTAATCGATTGCCTGTCTGCTGCCTTCCTTCTTGTTTGATTGATCCAGTAAAAATGAGAGATACCTAGTGATAGTATGTTGAGTCTGAACAAGTAATGCACAAGGAAATAAGCTCAAAAATATCACCCCTGTTTGAATACCAAAATAAACAAGCATAGTGGAAAAACAGACAAATGCTAGCCTGAGCAAAACAGACAAATGCTAGCCTGAGCAAAACAGACAAATGCTAGCCTGAGCAAAACAGACAAATGCTAGCCTGAGCAAAACATTGTTATATACATTTGTATATACAAAAATCTGTATTTGATACAAAACTCCATGCCATCCATATATACAAATCGTAAAAGCAAGAGAATAGAAAGTACAACATTGATTGGTTCCTTTTCCCCCCCCTCCCACTATGGGCAATGACTGCTCCTTGTAAGAAACACTGTAAACGTTGGCTTATCTACAATTTTAAATTTTAATTTAATTTTAATTTTAAATTCAGATTCAATTTTAAAATGTATCATATATATTAATTAGCTCCAGTTGAGAATGACGATGGTAATTTAACCTTTATTTCTAAATGAATTTATTCGTTTTCACTACTTCTCTCTGTCTGTGGTTAAAATAAGTAACTAACGGAGATGTATCTATCCCAATAAGTTCATTATCAAGGAAGGAGACGGAAGCTTACCAACCTTTACTTTTACTATATGAATACATTTTTTTGTTTTTTAATATTGTCTCATCAGCAATTTATTTCTCTTTGATTCCCTTTACTATAACTAGCTAAAAGAGTCAAACAGATGTACAGATACAAGCAAAAACAGAAATATATATTGTTATCTACATTCGGCTAATAATACTAACTAATGCAATAAAAATATTTGTAGATTTTATTAAAGTAAAAAAGGTCAGTAATAGAGAGGACACAGTCATTATTATAGATGTGACAATTGCCGGGTCGACCAACCCACTGCATAAGTAACCATATCGTTCCCAATTTTAAACTATCCAAATTAGTGTAAAAATGAAAAAGTAAAACCAAGAAATCTAATTAGATTGAAACATCACTTGTAAAAGTTTGAAATTCTTATTTACTCTACATATATTCTCGTAGTCATTTGTATTTACATTTTGATTCGAATTATTTCAATATTTTTTTTCTCACACGAGGACAAGCATAACCCATTATTTGCTTGTTTTGGGTGGACAAGGCTAAATTACACATATTACTAAGAAGCACCATAGAGTGGAAACCAATTCACCAAACAAGATATCTACTTCCGAATCAATATAAGCTTACTTAGTTTAGTGTTATTCACCAAATGATTTAAATCTGTGAAGGGGTTTTGTACTTGTGGTGAATCGACAGCAACAGCAAGAGCAACAGCAACAGCAACAGCAACTTAAAAAAAATACCCGTTTTAGAAGGAGAAACTACGGAAGGGAGGTTGAGAAGGGAGGTGTGAAGGAGGGTTGGGATAAGGTCAACTATGTGTGTTTTTGTATTAAAGGGGTTAATGTTGCTAATGCTGCTGATGCTAATGTTGCTGATGATTTTGCTGCTGTTCTTTTAGTTAGTTGTATTATATGTACCTCAATACACACTAAAAAGAAAACATGAGTGTGTGCACTAATTAAATAATACACCATACCATATACACAATTCAAGCAATATATGAGTAAATTGATGTTGGTAAAGTGTGATTTTAGCTTGAAGAAAAGATTGGAAATCAAATCACAATTTACTGCACCTACCATACTAGAGATATATCAGGTTAGCCTACTCTTACAATATCGTTTCAAACTTTATATACATATACAAATTTGTATATGATATGATATGATTATTGCATACAATTATCATATCATATCAATATGAATATCATGCCATTAAGTAAACCATACAATAATTTGGCATTAACATGAGTATGGTTTGATCACAAAAGAAACTTCTTAGTGAGAAATCGATGTACCAACAAAGCACCGCATAAAAAAAATAAGCTAGTCAAGAGTATTGGCGCTTATCCTCCATTGACAAAGGTAAAAAAAAAAAAGAAATGCTAAAAAGAGACAAATAAGTAAAAAGACAGACACGCTAACTAAAATCCACGTCCTGCTTTTTCTTTTATTAGCGTAGCGAGGAAAACGGTTAAAAATTTGGACTTTATTTTATTTTTTCCTTAGGCTTTCCTTGTTTTTCTTCCTTGATGTCTTTTTCACCAACAACCCATTGAGATACAGCTGCACATCACATTTAGGTGCCGGAGCAAACAGAATGAAAAGGATCTGCACCATGAAACACAAGTAACAATTGAAAAAAAAGCACATAAAATAAAAAAAGAATATACAATCAGTACACCTCCAAAAAAACTAACCGTAACTACCTGCTAATGCGGTACTGATGTTATCTAAGCGTTCTAATTTCTTTCCGTCTACGTGCGTTTTTGGTACTAAGCTGGAAGGCAAGATTACTGTTACAACCCGCACACTGTCTTGATATGGTTACTATAACGACCAAATAAATAAGTATTTCTCTACTGATACGGAAGCCGGGCTCTCTTGCAAAAAACAGAAAAATACAGTATGACAAGTAAAATGCGCAACAGTGGCGGAAACGGTGAACTTATTTATTGTACCTTTTCCGAAACCCATCGGAGAGGAGACGAAGAGACAGCCGACGTACAAAAACAAACTTAGAGACAAAGAACAGAATAGAAAGTACAACAGAGAAATAAGAAGATATCTGCCGTATTGAATTAGTGTATGTATTTTTTTTCTTTTTTTGTTTTCAGTTGTTTTTGTAGACGGCGAGGCGATTAATGAATATTAAAGCACCGTAGTAGGTAAAGTACTCGGTTGTATATGATGACATGGCTAATAAACGTTTTTTTTTCCTATTTACTCAATAATGTTTTGGAGAACTGGAAAAGTTAACAGTAAAAGGAATATCTTGATATGGTACCATGTCTTTTTTGGTAAAAAAAGTTATAGTTATCAGCATATACTTACTTACATAAATCAATTGTCAAAGATATATTACTATGGTGTAGTTACTGTAATTGTGGTGCTGTAAGAAAAATGTCGTGTAGCGTAGTTGAAAAAGTATAATACAAGATATTATTTAAACAAGTAAGACAAAGAATGATGTTATAACTTGTTCTCTTGACGTATTAATCATACATAATAGGGATACTATACTATACTATACTATGATATATTATGTTTCTACACAAAGTAAATAAATAAATATGTATTGTTTGAAGAGACAGTCTTCTTATGCTTACATCGCCAAAGGAGAGAAAGAATTACACCACTGATTTAAGTGAATCAACTATTCTTATGTCATATTGTGTCATTGCAAATGTGCTAGATATTACAAGGAATAATAAGAAATTACAATTTTATCATCTCGTTTTGCTATGTTTTATTATAATCGAAATATATATTGCTTCTTTTAATTCAATCAAACCCAGTTGAATTCAAAAAACATTTTGTAATTATTATTAACAATCCCAAGAATGTTCTAATGTTCAAATGTTCAAATTTTCTCTTATGTCACCGATTGTAAAGGGAAAAATCCTTAGAATGATAATAAAAGTTTTTTTTTTTAGAAAAACAAAAACTGAACAGAATCAAGGTTTGAATAATTGATTTTTTTTTTATAAATCTAACTGTACTTTAGCATCAACATTTTCCATGTTTAACAAGCATAATATACACGTACAGAAAGTTTAGACAATATTTTTCATTTTCATTTTCATTTTCGTTTTCGTTTTCAATTCCTACAAAGCTGTTGACCAAATTTCGTTCCACTTACTCTTGCACCCTATGTCCATCAAACATACTTGTGTTGAGGTAATATGGACACATCATCACAATAAGCTTGGGAGACAAACGGATGAATCTGGCAATTTTTTGTACAAAACCAAACCAAATAAGAAATTAAGCAAATGTTACGAATTTTCACCCCTTAAATGAACAATGATTAATTTTTTATATAAACTATTTTTCCAATAATTATCCATTTTTATGATAATCGGAAATTCAAAATTGTATACAAAAGATAATATACAATTTTACACTAAATTGTAATTTTCATTTACTATTATTTATCCACCTATCCCGCAGACACTGCCCTCTCCCCCTTAGATGCCTCAATCCACTCGAATGAAAAGAGGAAATATGCTTACAAAAAGGGTTATACTTTCATCAATCTGAAACTTGGTATATGGCCAGTTTTGGTAGAAATGAAAAAAAAATTATACATAATCCTAATAGTCAGTAATAACAGCATTAAATTGTATTTCAAATTCCAGAATCTAGTTCAATTGGTACCTGCATAGGAAGCTATGCCTTGATCCGTAACATACTCCCCCTCTCACGACTCAATATCAATATTGCATCAAAAAATGTCAATCTGGCTAACTAAACAATACTTGAAATTGAGCATTCCAGTTAAAGTGCCACTTTACCTTTAATTTTTTTAAGTTGAATTATTGTTTAATTGCGAAGTAAATGTATTCACTTGCGCTTAACTATTTATTTCTGTTAGACGTTTTGATTAATTTAAAATGTAAGGATTTCAGAACTGATTGACTACTTGGAAATATATAAGAGAATTTCTTAGAAGTAGCATTATCAATTTTAGAAAAATTACCAAATCCACTTCATTAGAGCTGTACTCTATCTTTTTGATTATATTAATAATCATCATCGTAAACCAAAATAGTCCGATTACTTATATTTAATGACACTTCCGATATTCTAACCATTTAATTAATATCGGATCTTGTAGCTTGCCAGTCCAGATATCCCAACTCTTAAACAATAATAGGTTACCCAGCTTTTACATTAAATCACAAAATACGAAAAATCAATTTATTCAACAAAGCGGGGTAACTAAACTTGTTTCATATAGTATGCTCCATTGTTAATCACGAGCAACGAAACAAATTATCTTAATTATCACCATTACTGCTATTCTTCGCATTAATTTTTTTTATTTTTTTCCTTATTGTAATGTTAATTTTCAATCCATATTACAGCGAAGCAAAGTAATAAATATTCATATTGAAACTTTGAATTATATTACTTCTATAAGGCATTGATTGTTATTGGCGACCACTATTTTTAATACCCTAACCAAGATATCGTTATAAGTTTTCTCTTAGCTATACTCTACCATTGTCTAAAGATAGGTTAAAGAACTAAGATCTTTCTTCCCGTTATATCTTTGTTTTATTAATTAAGGTAATTCAATCCAAAAAAATTACTTTGGTTTTAAAATTTAAGAAGTTCTTTATTTAATTCTGCAATTGAGATTAAATAGATCATACAGAATTTTCGTATACTCATCTTTTTTTCCAGTTAGACGATATTTCTTTTGGCACCTGTCCATCACAGTTATAAAAATTTGAGTTAAGGTTAGCCTATTGACCTCGAAAGTTTTTAAACGAGTAAGAAAGAAAATTAAAGTATAAGATAATTAATTAGCTATTTTTAACTTTCCCATTTAAGATATTTACTTTGATAATTATAATTTGGAAAGAATCAACAACAGTAAAAAGGTTTAATAATTCTCAATTTTTAAGTAAATAAAATTTGAAAACGAATATTAAAACCTTAATTTGTAACAGTTACTTATTTATGCCAATTGCATTTTCTTTTTAGTCATTTCGAAAACGCATAATAGAACAGCAAGACTGTGATATATTTGTTTTATTTTTTCCCTCCCCCTGTTCAAATTGTTATTAACATTATATTAACTTAATTCAAATAATATTATTTTTATTGCATCATGGGTATTCCTAAATTCTTCAGATACATCTCTGAAAGATGGCCAACTATTTTACAGCTTATAGAAAATGATCAAATTCCAGAATTTGATAATCTATATTTAGATATGAATTCCATTTTCCATAATTGTACACATGGTAATGATATAGATAGTACTAAAAGAAGACTGTCAGAAGAAGAAGTGTTTCAAAATATTTTCAATTATATCGATCATTTATTCAATACAATCAAACCAAAAAAGAAATTTTACATGGCTATCGATGGTGTCGCTCCAAGAGCTAAAATGAATCAACAAAGATCTCGTAGATTTAGAAGTGCTATGGATGCAGAAAACGCTATGAAAAAAGCTATCGAAAATGGTGATGAATTGCCAAAAGGTGAACCTTTTGATACGAACTCTATTACCCCAGGTACAGAGTTTATGGCTAAATTAACAAAGAATATTAAATATTTTATCCATAATAAAATTTCAAGTGATTCAAATTGGCGAAACATTGAAATTATATTTTCAGGTCATGAAGTTCCTGGTGAAGGTGAACATAAAATTATGGACTTTATTAGAAGTATCAGATCATTAGATACTTATGATCCAAATACAAGGCACTGTATTTATGGGTTAGATGCAGATTTGATTATGTTAGGTTTGTCTACTCATGATCCTCACTTTGCTTTGTTAAGAGAAGAAGTTAGGTTTGGTAACCAAAGAAATAGTTCAAATAATAGTACTTTATCTGCCTTAGATAAGCAAAATTTTTACTTACTGCATTTGTCATTGTTAAGACAATATCTGAATTTAGAATTCAAAGAAGTAGCAGATGGAATTAATTTCAAGTACGATTTTGAAAAAGTTTTAGATGATTTCATTTTAATTATGTTCGTCATCGGTAACGATTTCTTACCCAATTTACCTGATTTACATTTAAATAAAGGTGCTTTCCCAGTTATATTACAGACATTTAAGGAGGCTTTATTGCACTTAGATGGTCACATTAATGAAAATGGTAAGATTAATCTACAGAGGTTAAGTGTATGGTTAAACTATTTGTCTCAATTCGAATTAATGAATTTCGAAAAAGATGATATTGATGTTGAATGGTTTAACAAACAATTAGAAAATATCTCTCTTGAAGGTGAAAGAAAACGTATAAGACAAGGTAAAGTTTTGCTATTAAAGCAGCAAAAAAAGATTGTTGGTTTAGTAAAACCTTGGTTATTAAAACTTAACGCTAAACCTATTTCCGATCTTTCTAAAGTAGATGAAAAGGCTTTGGTACTAGAATTGAATGATCAACCAATTGTGGAAAATTTGGATTTCTTAAAAGAATTCTCTTTTGAACTAGGATTGTTTATTATTCACTCCAAATCTAAAGATACATACTCTTTGAAATTAGATATCGATTCTATTAACCCTTCAGAGACCGAAGAAGAACACATCGAAAGAATTAAGTCAATGAAAGTAACATTCAAAAAGTTCTCTAATGCAATTTTGGTGGAGGACCAAGAGGAATTAGATACTGAACAGGAAATATATAATGAAAGATTCGAAAATTGGAAAACAGATTATTACAAGGAAAAATTCAATTTCTTTCAAAAGGAAAGAGTGTTAAAACCATTTTCTGACTCCTCTGAAACTAATGAACAAGAAGAGCATTCAATCGAATCTGAATTTATTGATAGACCAAAATTTGAATATATTATTACTGACGACGAAAACAAATTAACAGAGTTATGTAAAAATTATGTTGAAGGTTTGCAATGGGTTCTTTATTACTATTATCGTGGTTGTCCTTCTTGGAATTGGTACTATAAATACCATTATGCACCAAGAATATCTGATTTAACAAGGGGTTTAGATCAAACTACTTCATTCGATCTAAGCAACCCATTTACACCGTTCGAGCAATTAATGGCTGTCCTTCCTGAAAGATCCAAAAATTTAATTCCTCCAGTATTGAGACCTTTAATGTATGAAGAAATCTCCCCAATTCTGGATCTTTATCCTAATGAAGTAGAATTGGATAAAAATGGTAAGACAGCAGATTGGGAAGCTGTTGTTTTATTACCATTTGTTGATGAAAATAGATTGATTGATGCAATGAAACCTCATTTGGCAAAATTATCACCAGAAGAAAAAGAGAGAAATCAGTTCGGTAAAGATTTAACTTTTATGTTTTCTCCCCAAGTTGATGAAGTTTACAAAACTCCGTTGGGTGGCTTGTTTAACGATATCGAACACAATCATTGTGTGGAAATTGAATTTAAGTTAGAAAAAATCCACAATGATAAAATTCGTTATGGTTTATTACCAAATGCTAAGATTGGTAAGGACTTATTAGCAGGCTTCCCATCTTTGTTTACCATACCTTTTAAGAATAACTTAGAATATAATGAAACTACTGTTTTCCAACAACCTTCAAGACAACAATCTATGGTTTTAAAAATCCAAAATATCTATGAGGAAAATAATATGACTGCTGAAGAATTTGGCTCAGCATACTTAAACAAAATTGTTTATACCAAATGGCCTTACTTAAGGGAATCAAAAGTTTTGGAAGTCTTCAATGAACATCAAATGATGGAAGTGGACATTAACAGTGGCAAATCAAAGTCAAGACCTTTGAATGATTCTGAAAGGAAATTATATATGAACTTAAGAAGTTCAATATTCAAAAACTATAACAAATCCAAGGCTGTTAATGTAGGTAAAGTATCAACTATTGTAAAAGTTTTACCAGTAAATGGTTTAATGAGAGACACCGATGGTGCGTACATCAAGACTTACAGCAATGAATCTGAATATTATCCATTACAACTTGTTGTCGAAACAGTTTCAAATGTAGATGAGAGATATCTAGAAAAGCCACCTCAACCAATCGAAGAGGAATTTCCACAGGGCTCAAAAGTTATTTTCTTGGGTGATTATGCTTATGGTGGAACTGCAACTATCGATGGTTACAGTAGTTCAACAAGGCTAAAACTTTCTGTAGAAAAAAGATCATTGAGATCAGAACCAACTATTGGTAAATCTAGATGTAACATAGATAAGGATATGGTCAAGTATCAACCATCTTATGTTGTAGCAAGAAACTTAAAGCTTCAATCCCTATTTCTTTCAAGGTTAACATCGAAATTTTTGGTAGCTGATATTAACGGTTCCCATGTAAATGTCGGTATTCCAATAAAGTTTGAAGCAAGATCACAAAAGGTCTTAGGATTTGCTAGGAAGAACCCTAGAGGTTGGGAATTTTCTAACCTAGCTGTTGATTTGTTAGTAGCTTATAGAAAAAATTTCCCAGATTTTATTGAAAAATTATCCAGAGTTAATACTAGAGACAAATTACCATCGATCGAGGAGCTTTATCCTGAGCTAGATAAGGCTAAAGCATCCGCATTATTGGCTAATGTCAAATCCTGGATCAAATCGGTCACTGACCCATTTGTTACCGTATCTTTGCAAAGTGATTCTTTGACTAAGGCTTCTATTTTAGCAGTTGAAGATTTCATAGAACCATATTCTAAATTACCAGAAGAAAGTGAAACGAAGCATTTGGCAAAGGTACCTAGAGAAGCTGTATTGGATCCAAAGTCCTCGTTTACATTGTTACGTTCCCAAAGATTTGATTTGGGTGATCGTGTTGTCTACATTCAAGATACCGGTAAAGTACCATTATTTTCTAAAGGTACAGTTGTAGGATATACAACACTGGGCCAACGTTTATCTGTTCAAGTATTGTTTGACCATGAAATTGTTAGTGGTAATAAATTCGGTGGTAGATTAAGAACTAACCGTGGTTTAGGATTGGATGCTTCATTCCTATTGAATATTACAAACAGACAATTTATTTACCATTCGAAAGCTTCCAAAAAGGTAGGTGAGTCGACCAGAAGTGTTGCTCCTACTGCAGCATCAATTGAAGCCCGTAAACATAAAGCTGCTCAAATAAGAACTGCCCGTGCAAAGGATTTGTTGACTCATATCAATGTTGATAAGAAGGAGAAAACTGAAGTTTCTGAATTAAAGGAAAGTTTAATCACAAGTTCAATGCCTCCTGCAAGAAATGTAGCTAATCACGTTTACAGTGCCGTATTAAATCAAGTTGCTACTGATCCATCTGATCCTGCTAACAATCAACCAGCTGCACCACAAAATGTGAATGGTGTTGAAGCACCAGGCTTACCATATCACTTACCTCCTGTCTTTGTCCCACCACCAATGATTTACCCAAACATGGTGACAGGCCAAGGTCCACCAATGCCAATGAATAGCCTACCACCAATGCCACCATATCATGGTAACTTACCTCCACCTGTTACAATGTATGCTCAAAATCAATTTGTAAGTGCTCCTGCAGTTGATGAAAAAGGTAGCAAGGAATTGAAATCATTTATAAAGGGTGGAAAGAAAAAGGATAGTAAGAAGGATGATGATGGTAAGAGGCCAAAGAACAAAAATGATTCAAAGTATAAAAATAAGTCTAATAAATCTTCAAAAAACAATTCTGAAAAGACTGTCTCAAGCAAGATAGCTAAAGAAAAACAAAATTCAAAGGAACATATAAAAGATTGATATAATTTCTTTAAATAAATGTACTTATATAATATAGAAGAATAATATATCAAAAAATGGTTTTTCAAGTATGTATCAAAAGTTAAGAGTTTAATATAGATACATTCACACTTATCTGAAAAAGTAAATCGCTGATGACATTAAATAACTTCGAGTTTATATATAAGTAATGCGTATATGTTCACATATCCATGGATAGATAGTCATTAGGTAAAATGTATAAAACCAATTAAATATCCTCTTGCAAAGTATAACTCTGTATTTTCTTTTCTTCTATTTCATTTTTCTTTGCAAACCATCTTTTTTCAAATCCATTTGATCTATCGACACCATCCCATCTATAACCTGGTGTTATGCTAAACCTATTTTCTTGAAATAGTTTTGAATAAAGTTTACGTCCCATTGGGGAGGTATATTCCATATTATTTTTTGTCTCATTAAACTTGAATGCTTTAGCAGGGTCATCAAATTCATTAATTTTCTGTCGTAATGATGCATTGTTTACTACTTCATCCAAGGCTAATTGTTCATCTTCCATTTTTAATTGAATTTCACCCATATTTAATATTCTTATCCTATTTTTCCTCTCAATTTCCTTCTTGTATTCAATTTCCTCTGTATTTTTAATTGCCTTATTAATATTTTTGATTTTTCTACCCTTCTCATCTCTATACAATGTTGTGGTATTTTCTGATGCTGTATTAAATCTTTCCATTTTCTCCTTCATTTTAACTTGTTGATCCACTTGCTCTGCTGTATTCAATCCTGCATGAGCACCTGAACTCATTTGTATCACATCTTTAGGAGAAGATTTTGAAATATCGACTGTATTTTTGGATACTAATCTATTTGTATCTAAATTTTTCCATAATGACTTATTCTTTCGATGAGTTTCAGCACTATTATTATTTCGATCATCACCGGTTTCTGTAATATTCTCGAATGTTGAATATGAATTCTCTGTAATATTCATTTGACTACCTGTAGTCCCAGCAATTTCTTGACCCTTTTTCTTCTTACTCTTACGTTGAGGTATTGAACCATATTTTTCATTCAAATAATTATGCAATGACATCCCAAAACTATCTTCGAAATCTGAATAAACTGACTATCCCAAAAATAAAACTACACACACACACCTTGGATACTAGCTACCACCTATAAACTCTTCAAATATATATAGTTATCTGACCCAAATGTGTATCTTATTAATTTATAATACTTTGATTACACGTTAAAATATACATCATCACCTAATCGCTTTTTAAATTCGATCTTTATTATGTATTATTTTTGAGTATTTTTCGATGAGATGATTTAAAGATTCTTTGTCCTTAATAAAATCATAACAGAAGCAGACAATTAGAAGAGTACCACTGTGAAGGCACTGATGAAGGTATCCTATGGTCAACAGTCACATTGCTATTGAAGTATGAGGCTGAAATCTAAATTGGAGATCCTTACCGAGTTAGATTTAGATGAATTGTTGAATATTCAGCATGATGTGACTCTCTTGATAAAGAAGAAAGTTAGAAAGTTACTGATTGAAAATAACCTTGAGGATTCAATTTCTGTCAAGAAAAAGAATGAAACTGATCAAGGTGATACATGTGATGGAGAGTTAGTGGAAATTGACAATTCGGGTGTTGATATTCAAGATTTTATATTAACACAGATTGAGAACAAGAAAGTTGACGACAGAAATCTGAAATCTGAAAACGTTATTCAAGAGGTTAAGGATCCTTTATTGGAGAAGAATAGTTATCTAAAAAAGGAGGTGAGAAGCTCTATATTTCCTGATTTCAGTTCTCCATTGAAGAGTTATGATGAAGTTAAAACTTCTAAAGTTGAAGCTCAATCTCCGATTAAAAATATAAATTATAAAAGTATAAATAACGTTAAAAGAAGTTTGATCCTTGATGATTTAAATGATGAATTTTTTAATGGGAAAGCCTCTGCAAAGAGAGATAAAAAAATTTATGATTTTAATAGGAATCCAATAACTGCCAAGGCATGGATTCTTGAAGATTTTAAGCCAAATGAGGATAAATTAGCAATCGCAAGAGGAAGAAAAAGAGATGATATTATTAAGTTAAAAAAGATTTATAAAGAAATTGGAGAACCTCCTGATTTAATTAAACCCGAACATGATTCTTTTGATAATGAAGATTTATTTATTAATAAGGAAACTGATTTTGATAATCTAAAAACAAGATCAAGGTCACCTCCAGGGTACGGAAGATTGGACTTCCCAAACACTCAAGAACGTAATGACGATAAAAAGAAGTCCCAAGAGATTATATTTAAAAAGACCAAAATGCGTTTTCTTCAAGCTGTCAGAAATAAAATTCCACCACAAGAACGAGAATTCCATTTCAAAAGTGATGAGCTAAATAGAATTGTAGATGATGGAAACTTCAAGTGGGACGATAATAAATTGAATATATACAGCAGATCCTAATAGCTTGCTTTCCTTTAACCAACAGCACTATTTTGATGCTCTATAGTAAATTTAATTTGTTATCACGTGCCTTTTATGTCTTTCTTTTCCATATTTCTAACTGATTTGTCTGCTTTATTTCTAGTTAAAACTTTCTTCGATGCCCTCATTCATATAAATGATTCAACCAGGTACCGATGTGCAAGTTTTAATAAATCAGTACTATTGAGTTAAAGCATGCGCTACATTAAAAATTGGGTGAGTACCAGATTATTAAATAAAAAGGCATGAGTCGTCCACTACCTGGATTTTACTACGATGAAGAACGAAATCGTTACTTTCCTATAACTACTTCAGGCCCAGGTCCACATCCACAAGATAAAGGCAAATATAAGAAATTAAAAACAGAGAATAATAAAGACTTAAAAAAACTGGAAGATGAATATATAAGTGCTGGTGAAAAAATAATTTCACATCAATCCGATCCATTTACTAGACTTTATTCAAGTACATCTATCACTATTCCTAGAGCTCTTGCATCCCCATCATCTAAGTTCAGACAAAAATATCATAATGAGAGGGCATTTGATAACATTAAAATACAAAAATTTAGATTCAATGAATTGCATACTACTGAAAAGTTAATCCAAAATAAATCAGTTTATATTGATAATGAAATTTATTTTACCACGACTTTTGGTAGAATTGTAAAATGTTCAAAATCTGATAAACACAATATATCACTGGTTTCAGTGTTTGATAGTTATCCAGGCCAACGGAAATTTTTCGAGTGTACTAGAATTGAATACTGTGACAGAAAGATCTTCGTTCATTTTCAGAAGTTTGGATCAAATTATCATGAGTTCCTTTTACTGGCAAATTTAAATGGCATAGAATTGGAAATAATAAATAGAAGGACACTTGTATCCCCAAATGGTTCTCATATCTTTGACTCCACCCTGATCAATAACAATATCATAGTTACATCAAAAAATAAATTGAATATGTATGCTTGGGACTCAGAAAATGCGAAGAGGACAATAAGCATTGACACTTCAAAGAATCCATCCGATATTTTATCTATAGCGAAGTCATCCAATAGTAAAGGTTGTACTAAAATTTATTGCAGTACTCGTAGTGGATTAATTGTTTCAGTTGATTTAATGAACAAGGATACCATACGGAATAAGACGGATAAGTTAATCATCTATAATATTCCTGATATAAAATCTGTCATTTCTATCAAATCGGGTGATAATAATGGTATTCTATATGCATCAGTTATTGAAAAAACTCCAGGCTCGAAAATGAATACTGAAATAAGAAATAAGATCGTTGTTATAGATTTGATCAATATTAAATCTCATACCAAAGGGATATGTGAGCCTGCTACTTATGTTAAATTAGAAACAAATTTTTCCAACTTTGCAAGGGGAACCGGAAATATTTAATATCTTTAACGATAAAAATTTTCTGTTATATGGTTCTACTAGCACAAGTCTGAACGGTACTCCGTTTGAAATATTTCTGCTAGAGGATTATCAATTAACGTTAACAAGAAATAATAAATCTCAAGATCTTTTCCCACTTGCATCCTTTAATTCATACTTTCAAAAAATGTTAGATATTACTTCAAATAAAGAGATAATCTCATGCGAATTTCTAGATACTGAAGTATTATTAATAACTCAGTCTATTCTAGAACCATCTATCATTGGTACATCGAATGAATATATCATTGAGATTGCTACTTTGCCACTAAAGTAAAAATTTCAATGAAATTTGTTGAATTTTTGCATTTACTTTCATCTGTTAATTTATCCATTCCTAATAACTACTATAAGTTACATATACAGGCATATATCTTGCACAACTTGAAATATCCTATTTAATTCTAATAATTATATATATATATATATATATTATTTAATTACTTGCATCTCTATTGCTCAAAAATTACAGTTATGCCATAATACCTTATATTCAAGATATGGTATGCTCTAAAATCATTTTCTTTTCCACTTCTCACCAAATATAGCAGAGACACATGATTAATATTTAGCAATAAGAGTTCTTTGAAACTAGATATATTACATAATTCAGATCAGTATAGTAAATAACCGACAATTTATAATTGTGGAGGGTTATTTACTAATTCAAATTAAAAATTGAGCTGTTTGAAGTCTTGTCGGTAGAAACGTGATTATTTGTGCAAACATGTCTATAAAGAGATTCATTGTTAGCCGGAGAAGATGCTAAAGGTCCATAATTGACATTCTGATTCATCGAAGGTTGTGAGACATTCCAATATAAATTCATGTTGGGACTGTTTCTGAAAACATCAATATCTCCATTAGATAATCGAGTTAAGTGTACTTTATCACTCTCTGTAGTGAGAATGGTAGGGTGTGAAAATGAGACATTGTTCAAAAGAGGCATGGCCATTGATTGCGACCTATTAATTACACGATAATCAATTGCATTCTTATTCTGTGCATCTGCAGAAAATGCATATGATTGAGACTTGAACAACACAGGAGGATTAGAACTAATGCTAAAATTTTGCATGCTTTTCGCTAGTAGTGTACTATCATCATTGGTAGAAAAAATATACCTATCGTTTTGAATATGATTGTTAATATTCTTGTTCGATCCTTGGTTCATAATCACATATTTGTCATTGTTTAAAGATGAATCTTTAGAAGGGACATTGCTCTTAGAGTTCCTGATATTTTCATTGTTTCTATCTATTTGAAGATTAGTTACACTGCCAATAGAAATGCCATTTGAATTATTCTTTAGGTGACTTCTGTTGGAGATATCTTTCTTTGTATGATCAAGATTATCATTTTGATAATCGTGCATAAAGGCATTTGCCTTTAAGATTTTACCATTTTGAATTTTGATACTACCGACATCTTTGGACATGAGCTCTGTAAAATTTACACCCTTGAGTTCAGCATATAACTTTATTTTCATCTTAATTTTCTTTGCATAAGATGTAGTTTTAATTGAAGGTAGAAAATCTTTAGTTAAAAGGAATAAATTATCAATCTTGTTTGAAAATTCAAGAATAATATCATATAGAGGTCCTGCTTCGTTTTCGGAATAGACATTATGCATTTTCAAAATCTCGGAATAATTTCTGACATCTAACAGAGTTTGTAAAACATAATTACCGTAGTTGTCTCTTATAATATTGCTTAAATTGTTGGTGAATAAATCAATAATTGAAAATAAAATTCCAACAGTTGAAATAAATAAATCATCACTTGTATTGCTTGAACTCTCTTTTCTTGGGATAATATAACTGGTCATAACTTTATAAATTTTTTTAATGAATTTCTCTATCACGTTTGAAGAAAATTTTAGACGTGATAGCTGACACAAACTGAGCTCTATCTTTTTATAGATTTCAGATACCAAATAGAAATCAAGTTCTCTTACATCGAGAAGAAATTGTATTATATAATTACCAAACTGATCATTTATCAAATTTGGTAAATATTCAACAATTTTTATTGATATTTTAAAGAACTGCTGTAGAGTTGAAACACTAAGTAATTTTTGAAGGACGCAACAACCGTGTTTATGAGTAGAGATTGCAATTATATTATCTTCATGTACCATAGCATTTATGATAAAATTAAATTTGGAAGTAGGAAATTTCAGTATACATTTTTGAATAACATGGTTACCATTTAAATCATTTATTAATGTTACAATTTGTTTAATCGTAGTGTATTCCTGCTCAAACCCTTTGATAATCATATCTATTTGAGCCTCATTATCTATTGTATCAATTATTTTCTGGAATGATCTGGTCCCGTATTGATTAATTGACAATTGAAATACATGAGGATAAATTGATTGAATTATTAATGATCGTTGAGAAGAATTAATATATTCAGATAATTTTTGAATAAGATAATTACCGAATGGGTCTAACATCAAATCCAAAATAATTGGTTTAATTTGTTCATATAATACATCCTTCACAATCATTGATTCTGATGGAGACTCTAATTTTTTCTGTAAGAAACGACAGCCATACTGATCAGTAGCCAGTTTAACATAATCCAATTCCAATAAAGGAATAGAGTGAATATCTAGATTTGATGATTGAGTTGTAGTTTTAATATTGTTATTACAAAGGAGGGATGGGGTACTATTACCATTTTTCAAATTTGGATTATTAGGTTCAATTTCAAATGGTGGTGCCTGAAAAAATGAATAATCTACAATTTTGCTTGCATTTTTATTATCACTGACAAATGAAAGCTGATTTGGATTAAATTCAGATAAATCTAAAGATTGGTTCTTTGTGTGATTTCTATTGTTTGCAGAAGGAGGAGTTATAGGTTCCACCAAAGATTGAACAGAATTGACTGATAATCTTTGTTGATGGTTGTATTGATGCATGCTGGAATAAATTAGAATTAATTAGCTAGAAAATGCTTAGTAAACGATTGCTTTTTTAAAGCTAATTATATGCAAAAAATGAAATAAGATCGAGATCTGTTGTAAAACAATTCTAATTTTGGTTATTATTTAGAAATTGGGAGGTTTAAATGCAATCTTTATTTGAAAACAGAGGTAAGATTTAAGATAAAAGTAGGAATAAAAATTATTAAGGGAACGTTAGAGCAGGGGTATCGATAATATAGACTGTATGTGTCGTTTGTGTTAATATAATAAATCTTGTTACACTTGTTTTCACGCTGTAGTATATATAGATCTATGCGTATCCTTAAATTATCGTATTTTTTTCAATCCATCAGTTTGAATTTATTGAGAAGAATAACAATAATTGAATAGTATAGTAATCCCAATTATAATAATACCTTAAAAAATATTAGACTGTGTCTTTTATAATAATTGAAATCAAGTTTGAAATTAAAATATTTAGATCACAATTTTAATCCGAATCTTCTAATAAGCATTGATGTATTGAAATTACGAATTACCTAAAAAATCGAAGTTGACTTTAGTGATTACTTGGAACTTTCCTTTTTATTTTCCCATTTAAACCAATTTCAAACACCAATTCTTACCTAACTAAAATTATGATTTTGAATATTATAGATAAATTTATGATCCATTGATTTAATTATAGCTGAGATATCCAATTAGTAGATGCTCTCACTCTACCTTGATTTGTAACAAAATAGGAAATTTACCTGTAACGCAAAAAAAATCTAAATAGCTATAGGTCAGTCCATTAAAGTATCTTCTTATACGTTATAGGTATGCACTGATACAATTGTATCAATTATCCCAAATCATGTATGTATGGATGTTATATTTTAAACCTTAACGTTAAACTCAGCAGGTAGCTGGATTTCAATGGTAAACTTATTATGACGCATTATGGATTGCAATTAACTTTTAAGAATGCGAAAGAAAATTCAGTTTCAAAAGAGATATTTTTAAGTGGATTCTAAAGCATCCACTTCGCTTGCCTGTCATCCCACCTCTACCACCATACATACAATTGAGCATCGACACCATCACCGACAAGTACACGCTCTCATAATGTGTATGTGTTTTTAAAATTAACTTTTCCCACTTGTCAGTTCCTATAATGGGGCTAGCTCAATAGTAGCTTATGCTTGATCTACTGCTGTGTATTCGATTAAGCTTAACAATTTTTGAACACGTCAAAGCCTCACCTGATTTGTTGTATGTGCCATTAAGAAACAATCCAGTAAGTTAGGATGTGACCTCTATACGTAAGAAGAAGAAGAAGAAGAAGAAGAAGAAGAAGAAAAAAGTATTTTTTGAACGGACAGACCTATATTCAATCATAGTAAGAAGAAATCAGACGTACCTTTAATTTTGAGCCCAAGCAAACACTGCTGATTTCTGATCTTAACCTTTAGTTACTATTTTTAGGTTACTATATTTTTATCACATTTATTTTTTTCTTCTTCAATAAAAGAAAATTTTTTTGAATCTTCTTTTGCGAAATACTTAACTAAAACTTATCCTTAAAGAAGGAATTGCCTTTGGTACTACACGATGTCTGAATGTGAGTGTGTTTGTGATAGAGGTGATAAATTTTGCTTGAGCTACATATTGTACTCTCATTGATTGAATAGATAGATTGTGTACCCTCAATAAGAAAACCACATAGATGATATTTCAAAACGCGAAAAGAATTTTTGTCAGTTCGACTCCTTTGGGCGACAGATTTCATTCTTGTCTCTTTTTGTAAATACCGAACTCATTAATGGCAGCTACTCCAGCCTCGAATCTCCCCCCTTGAGGTCAATTATCTTGTTTTTTGTTTATTGCCCATCCAGCCAAGAACAGCCATCTACAGAGGCGAAGGGGACCATATATGAGAAACACATCAGATAGCTGATGTTAGTTTAGTGCAACTCTGATCTTTTCAGTGAGAAGTATCCCAATGATTTATTCTCCCTTTGATCTAAATGTTAATTAGAGTACACTTGCAACTTCTTAGTATTAAGACCGGCTTCTCCAACTATTGGTCCAGAACAAGTTAATATCTAAATTTCACTCAAATGATATATTACCACAAGTCATCATATTATCATTGATCCAACATCAATTGAAATACTAAATAATACAATTAAACTCATTTCTTATGAGATATAAATTGCTTTTAGCCATTCTGTGGTTCTCATATGTTGAAACCTGCTTATGGATATGCTTTCAAAGTTAAATCAAAAGACATACATACATAGCGCCAAATCAAAATATATCAATAAGGAACTTGAAAAAAAATCCTTTAAGTTCCGTAATTTTAATATCCTTCAGAAGTTTTTCTTGATATCCACACCCGTACATCCCAATTATATGATTAAGAATTCCCCATACTATTAAAATTACGAAAGATTGGAGTTTAGTCACAACCATACTTATATTGTTATTTTTTGTTATTTTTGTTAATACTACTACTACTATTACTACTATACAGAAGAATTATACCATATTTAAATATGCTTAAGAGGTAATGCCGAAGGTTATATAAAATTATGTTACCAGAAACTTAATGATAAACAACGTTAAAATATAATGTTGCTTTGAAAGAGAAAGGGACTGTGTGTCATGTGTTTAATATTTCTTACTGTTGCTTAGTTTTTGTATCTAAACAAGTAACACGGCGTTCACACAACCATCTCTATCTGGTTCATTGGTGATTTGAGCATATTTACCCCAAACAACTTTACCACCAGAAGTAACCATACCTAATTCAGAGACATTGACTTCAATGATAGTACCTTTGGTTAGAACACCTAATTGTGTATACATAGGAGATTGGGGATTCTTCTTCACACTTAGGATTGGTAAGAAGACGGTTACACCTAATTCTGGGTGAGTAACATTTGCCTTTTTTTGTCTTAAAGCACTTGGCCTAATAATTCTTTCCATCTTGACAGGTCTTCTAGTGAAACCTTCACCGACAAAAGTATGTTTAGTAATCATTCTCTTCCATGACTTGGTCTTTGATTTACCAGTCTTGACGACTTTAAACATTTCTTCTTCACTAATACCACGAACTTTAGGTAGAGGAACCGAAAATTTATCAGCTTTTTCCAATCTTTTTTGTTTGATAGAGGAAGAAATAGCTTTAGCAGTATTAGTTTGTTCTCTATCTAACAAATAAGTAGGCAAAGCATCACCGGATTCATCCAATGGTTTTGAACCACCTTTAACTTTACTTTGTTCATGAGCTTTAATCTTCTTACGCATAGCAACTTTTTCAGAGTATCTTTTCTTAGCAAATTGCTTACCTTTCCAACCAGTCAATTTCTGGGCTCTTTCAGAAATCTTATGGGCCTCTCTGGCCTCTCTTTTACGTTTTCTTTCTTCATGATCTAATCTACGACCATGTTGCTTGATATGCTGTTCAATATATTCGTTTTGAGGCATCTTGACTTCCTTAAACAATACACTTCACTTGTCCTATCTATAGTCTAATAATCAATATTTAAATATTAACATTCCTCTTTATAAGACACCTTTGGTTTTAAATTTATTTCATCTTATCTCATCTCATCTCATCTCATCTCATCTCTTTCTTGTTGGAATTTAACAAAATTTTCTAAATTTTTGTTAAAAATTGATTATTCGTATTCTGTGATATTAAAATTTTTCAGTCACGTGCGGATATGAAATTTTTGCAAAAAAAATAAATCGATGAGATGAGATGAGATGAGATAAGATTACATATTGTTTGACATGTATAAGAATAAAGAGATATGATTACGATATATATTGTTACTTTCAGTTGAGGAATATTTGATTATAAACACAGTCAGAGGTGTGAGTGAGACTGTTTAACGGTATTTTATTATTTATCATGTCTGAATTACACGCAGTTTTACAAACGATCAATGAATCACTAGACAATACCTCAGAGTCTCTTGATAAATTGAGAAGCATCTATTTGGAAAATGGTTTGGGCGCTACTGAAGCAGCTAAACTAAGTTTACAATCCGACTTATTGAAAGGTGGTGAAACTAAGGAAAAAGTGTCATTATTGAGTTTAAAAAATGGTAGTATGATCTCTTACATTTCTTCATTATTAATGATTGTTGGTGAAAAATTAAATGGAGGTAATATCAAAGATTTAACCGTTTCAGAGCATCGTGAAAAAACCATAGAGAATCGTGTAGTGCTTGAACGTGGTGTTAGACCTCTAGAGAAGAAGTTGGCTTACCAACTAGATAAATTGACAAGAGCTTATACAAGAATGGAAAAAGAATATATAGGTGCAGAAAAGCGTGCCTTGGAAAGATCACAACAGCAATTGAAGGGTTCATCTGATGAAGAAGATGAGGATGACTCCAGTGATGAAGAAGAACTATCTTATAGACCTAACGCAGCAGGTATGGTAAAGTCATCTACAGTAAAACACAGAAATAATAGTGACAAAGCTACCGAAGACCAACATAATGAGGATGAGGAAGATGAAAACGATGAAGACAAGAATAGTGGAGTATATAAACCACCAAAAATCAGTGCTATGTTACCTCCAAGAGAACAGCACTTTGATGATAGATTCAATGCTCAAGAACATAAAGATCGTAGTAACAGATCTCGTATGCAAGCTATGGAAGAATATATCAGAGAAAGTTCAGAACAACCTGACTGGGAAAGCTCTATTGGTGCTAATATCGTGAACCATGGTAGAGGTGGTATCAAGACATTAAGAGACACCGAGAAGGAAAGAAGAATTACAACCTATGAAGAAGAAAACTTCACTAGATTGAACGTTGGTGGTAGTAAAATCGATAAAAGAAAACAAAAACAGAGAGAAAGAATGGCCAAAGTTAACATGATTGGTGGTGAAGATTTCAGTATTTTCAACTCCAAGAGAAAATTAGAGGATAGCACTTCAAGACGTGGTAACAAGAAAAGTCGCAGCGCATGGGATAGAGCTAAAAGAAGACTATAGAAATTGGAATATTAACAATCTAGTGTGGCATATATACATATATCTAAACAAGTATACTATATAGTTGTAAGAAAATTAGAATCATAAAATGATAATGTGTTTTTTTTATCAACATACAGTTCTTATAAATTACATGCTTTAATGCCGGGCCCATCACATACAACAGGATCAATCATATAAAAACTTCGATAGAAATCAAAGAAAGTTATATATTTATAGATAGAATAAAGTGATTAGCATAATAGGGTGTTGTAAGACCTTAAAAGATGATTAACGAATACGTAGCACGTCAAGTTGCATTAAAAGACACCCAGCCATGTATAATATGTAGTAAACCATCGACGACGGTTCTATACAATGGATCAGGGCCAGATTGGTTTTACAGTTGTAATATTCACCTAGTTGATAATCCACAGTTTGTAGTACCCATGTATACCCAAGAGTATTACTCTTCATTAGAGGAGTTGAAACGGTTGAAACAGGAATCCAACTCATTGACTCAAGAAGATTTGAGTTCATGGGATGGATGGGTGACTAAAATTTTTAATAAGAAACCTAAAGAAGATTCAAAAGAGAAAGAGAAAGAGAAGGAGCAAGAGAAGGTGAAAGAGAAGGAGTCTACAGAATCAGTGGTGGATAGATCTAGTGAATTGAAGAATGAGTACAGAAAAGCGTTGGATAGATTAAGTGAATTACAAAAAAAGAATAAGAAATATAAATTAAGTCAAATTATGTTTGAAAGTAGAACTCAACTAAAGCAAAAACAAGCAGCAATTGCGGAATTGAAACGCAAAGAAGCTGAAAGTTATACGAATACTGAGCCAGATGAACTACTAAATAAGTACTCCTTCCCTGATATTCCAAACTCAACCAAATAGAATCTTTTGAAAACAGCTGACTTCAGTTGCAGCATCAGATAAACTCTTCGATTATCTGTTGTTGTTTTTTGCTTTATTGGCTTTTGAAAACAGATAAACGAATCAAAAGATTCCATTAATAAATCTTACAGATCTATATTTTCTTCATTCTGTTTCCAATAGATTTGATAATCGATAAACTGATAAGGATTGATTAAAACACATTAAACCAGTTTATATCTTAATATGGGTTAACTGCATTGTTCTCTATTTGCATAGTAAAGTCAAACCCCATAAACACATTACCCGGATTCACTGATTTTGTTTTTTTTTCTTAAAGGCACGAACAAAATCAGTAAACCGTCTTGATTCTTAACAATGAAAATATATTAAATAATACGTAATATAATATAATATCATATCATATAATATCATATAATATATTATAAAATAGTTTTAAATTGTATTGTTAGAAACGATTATTATATGAGGTTTTGGAGTTACAGATTTGTATTGTTACATTACCGCTGAAGATCAATCGAATTTGTTTTGTGTGTGTTGTTTTATTTTTCTAAAAAGATTTGGAGTTGAAGTTTTTCTGGGCAATTTGGTACTGGATTCTCCATATTAAAATAAAAGGAAAAAAAAAAGTTGTCAGCAATAAGATTAAATTTGATTATCAAATATAATAATTGCAACAAGGATATAAATTTTTTGATAATACTTGATTAGTGGTGGATATTTGGTGGGAAGTTTTTATTTTGTGGAATTGTCTGCTAGTCTCGAATTGGTATATAGGATACAGGACAAGCAGAAACTATTTGTTCAATAAGTCAATTTTTTGGTAGTAAGCAGAAAGTTATCTGCCGATAATTATTATCTATTATACATTTTGATACAACAAGATCTAGGTTCACTTTTCCCCCATTTTTTTATCTCTTCTTTTTTTTTTCCTTCTTTTCACCCTATTGTTCTGGGTTTCTGGATTTCCAATAGTTAAAGTATTAGAAAGAATTCTTAAATTATTTGTGTTTTTATAAGAATTTACATTATGTCAAATAAACCAGAGTTTGAAGAAGTTGATATACCTACCAATCTACGGTTGGAGTTATCTGGCTCAATTCATCAGAGTCCACGATCTTCAATGGAACCATTAGATTTCACAACATCATGTAATACAAACACCACTGAAACTACTACCAATACGAATACTACGTGTACAACAAATACCACTGCAATTTCTACTACTAATAAATCAAATTCATTGGTACCGTCGACGCCAGAAGAAACTATTGAACACCTTTCTGTATCTTCTTCATCAATTGAATCATTGACAATGTTATTAGAAAGGCAGCAAATTAGACAAATAAATCATCCTCAGCATCAAGAACATATAAATGCTACCCAAAGCATATCACAAATAAAGGTTAAGGAAACGAATCGAATATCATTGAAATACGATCCTGTGTCAAAGAGAAAAGTATTGAATACTTATGAGATTATATCAGAATTGGGAAGAGGGCAACATGGTAAAGTGAAATTAGCTAAAGACATTATAACAAACACATTAGTGGCTATTAAAATTGTTGATAGACATGAAAAAAAACAAAAAAAATTGTTTAAGTTTAAAAAATTATCTAATGATCTTAATGATAATAAAATTAAACGTGAAATAGCAATAATGAAAAAATGTCACAACAAACATGTCGTTAAACTAATTGAGGTTTTAGATGATCTAGAATCCAAAAAAATATACTTGGTATTAGAATATTGTGCAAAAGGTGAAGTTAAATGGTGTCCAGGAGATCAGCTTGAGACTGAAGCTAGAGGTCCTCCATTATTAACATTCAAAGATCAAGAGAAAATTTAAGAGGTGTCATACTTGGGTATGGATATTTACATTATCAAGAGATTATTCACAGAGATATCAAACCAGCTAATCTTTTATTTTCAGAGGATGGTACAGTGAAAATATCGGATTTTGGGGTTTCAATGGCTGCCTCTGGAAGTAGCAGTAATGGTTCTTCCGAAAGTGTGGATGAAGTAGAATTGGCTAAAACAGCTGGTACGCCTGCATTTTTTGCACCAGAAATTTGTTTGGGCAATGAAGCAATTACCAAATATAATTTAAACAAAAATGAATTGTTTAAGGGCTCTTGTATATCTTTTATGATTGATATATGGGCCATAGGTGTTTCTTTATACTGTTTATTGTACGGTATGCTACCTTTTATCTCGAATTTTGAACTTGAATTATTCGAAAAGATTGTTAATGACCCTGTTACATTTCCTCCATTTAAATATATACAAGAGAATAATATTTCCAATGTATCATGCGAAGAAGAGTATAATAGTGCTATAGATTTGATAAAGAAACTATTAACAAAGAGTCCAGCAAAAAGAATTTCAATTAAAGAAATAAAGAAACACGATTTTGTTTGCTGGGATTTTGATCACATTGGAACTAATGATGAAAGTTATAGAGCATCAAAATTGTTAGAAAAAGAAATATTTCAATCGGATCAAAACAAGGATACCAAGCAGATTTCGATTTCCAAACATGATTTAAGACATGCAGTACAAGGATTTATACAAAATACGGATAATGAAATATTTCAAAATATAACCCAAAGCGGTAGTGAATTAAGCAATAATAGTAGCGATGTCAATACCGCAGACCTAAATTCAAAATATTCTGCTAATAGTGATTCAACAAACAGAGATTTGATGACAACACCTAATAATGACTACAATTTAAATAATGACTATCATGACAATAATTTTGACGATACAAATAATGAACTTACAGAGAAGCAACTATTTGAAAGAGAGTTGCAGAGATTTGATGATAAACATAATCCAGGTACAATTGTTAATTTACCAATCAATTCTTCGTTTGCCTCACTTGACAGTTTTTATATCGATAATTATGCAATGACTAAAGTTGGAATGGAACCAACTCAACATTCGATGGATTCGAATTTAACGAAATCCCCTAGTATTGTAGCACCCCCTACATTTGTCAGTTTAGTTCAATTGCAAAGAAGGAACGATGCACTTCGTGGATCTTCTTCTCAATTAAACTTTGCTAGTTTAAGCATGCCTTCGACTACTAGTGATCGTATTCCAAGGGACAGTGCTATCTTTAGTAGCAATAACAGAAATTTCAAAGGTTCAGGGATTGGATTATCAAATCCTGAGAAATTTTCCTATCAAAGAAAAATTAGTGGAAATGTCCCAAATAATTTTCCTGAGCAAACAAGAAAAACTGCCGGCAAAAAGGACATAGCAAACAAAAATAGTTCTGCAGCGGTAAATCCTTCAGGAAAGGATATGGTGGATAAAGTTTCTCCTATTAAATCATTTTATGAAAGATTCCAAGATTCAAAGGAAAAATTACAAAATTTCAAAATTAAGAGAGGAAATTTTTTCAGTAATTTTAATGGGCAAGATGAAGACTCAAGTAGTCAATCGGGAGATTCATCTGAGACTGAAGATTCGTGTTATTCAAAAGAAAGAAGTGAGTCCGATATGAGTAATACAGAATCGTTGCCGTTTGAATTTGGTATCGATACCGAAAATGGTAGTGTTTTATCTCTAAGGGATTTAGGTGATTTGAGAGTACCAAACGTATTACCATTAAGAAATGACACCAATACAGTTGAAGAAGAAAGTTCAGATGAAGATGAGCTTGTTTTAAATGTCGGTAATGGTTCTCACAGAAGAGGGGTTAGTATTAATAGTGCTTCTTCACAATTCACATATGACAGTAGAAATAGTTTTTCGCATCCAAATACTGTGAATAAAGCTAGTACAGCAACATTTGTTCGCGCCAATTATGAACCTTGCGATACTTTGACAAGTAATGAATCCGATATGGAAGACGTTCCATTAAATGTTCTTAGATCAATGCAATCTTTTCAGGATTCTTCTCAGCCCATGGAACATGATATATCATCCGCAAGCACTGTGAAATACAATCAGACTTCTATAGCTAATGCAAAGGCATTCCATATAAATGGGGGTTCACCTCGACCAACTATTGAAACTTCTGTTATCGAACTGTCTGTAGATAATTCTGGAAGTACAGGATTCAAGGCGGAAAAAAATTATCAAGAAATTCTCCAAGATGCCTTAAAATCGCCTGCAAAAATTGGAACCAGGACATTACCATTGAAATCGGGGCAGGCATCCAGTCCAAGAGTTACTGATGAAAATTAGAGCTTTAAAATGCGAAAACAATTCTAATGTTACAGACATTTCTTCGTATGATTTCTTGTAAATGACAGCAAAATTTGTTATCTAATTGGCATTTAAAGCAATGCAGTTTGTAACGTACATACATATATAGAGAATTTTAATAGAATAATCCTAATGACTACTTATCGATAAAAAGACAAAATCATATGATTTTTGAGTTTTCACCAAGGTGGATTGAAATAAAGTATTATTACCATTAATATTATCATTATACAATGTATGGAAATTTCATACAAAAGACATTAACTAAGCTTTATATTAAAATCTAGAATAAATTTAAGTTCAAACTGTTTATGTTCATCTTAATGAGCTTTCGTATTACTAAAAAATCAATAAATTAAAAAATCATAACATTAAAGAATGACTAAGAAAACCGAAAATGCAATTATATCATCATTAAACCATGTATTGATAAGAAAAATAATTTTGAACCAAAATGATCAATCAACTACCTCCTTGACTAATTTTTTCTCTAAGAGCCTTTAATCTGTTCGCAATGCTATCGATATACTTTTTAATAATTTCTCTATCTTGATCATCTAACACTGCAGAATTCTTGCTAGAGAACTCGTTGAAATTATCATCTTCAATTCTATCATCTAACAAAATTTCTAGCATCCACAAGGATGTCGCATATGCAAGTTCACAATTATTAAGGTGATCGCCTTGAATCTCTAATTTAGCAGCTGTTCTTGAGATTTCCAATGCTCTGTCGTAAAGTAATTTCTCAACATAAATCTGGTCTTCTTCATTTGCGTCATTATCATTATTATGGACAGTCTCATTTACACCGGAAGTTTCGACATCTGTATGGTCTGAATTCAACTCGTTTGATTTATTTTCACATTCTTCTAATTCAAGTATTTGTATTCTTAAAAAATCCGCTCTCTCTAAGCATTCATTAAACTTATCTCTGATCCATTGGACTAATAAGTTTAGTCTTAGAGAACAATTCTTTTCATTAGATTGATACCACCAATTAGATGTAATTTGCATTGCTGTTGCCAATATTGATAGTGTTTTCATGTATAAAATAATCGCTTCCTTTGATAATTGATATAATTCTCCATGAGGTAAGTCTTGGGAGCAAATACTCGTTTGGGATAATGATGACAACGATCTTCCCTTTAATGAAGGGATGTAAGTATCATAGGTTTCCGTCTGAATATTATCATCCTCTTCAATTGCACATCCTCGATCATTCAAACGTCTGTCGTTGGCTGGACGGTTAACAGTGGAGGTTGATAATGACTTTAGAGGTATCGTTTGAGAAAATTTAACCTCGGCAAATGAATGTACAACAAACGCTTTTGCAGCTAATGACTCTAAAATTTGCACTATAGAATTTGAGTCGATATTAATTCGATCCTTACCTTGTAATTGATCGACTCTTAGCAATATATTTTCCGTTAGATCTTGGAATACTTGAGGATTTAATAAAGGCATTGAAGTGTTTATATTATTGGCATTACCGACACCAGCATTTTGATTTGGAAGGACATTAGAACCAAATAATTTTGTTGATGCAACACCCAAAGCTCTGGATAATGCATTGGATGGGTTCAAAGAAGAGATGGATAAACGTCTGTCAACAAGTGATGCACGACGTGAATTTCCACTTCCATTGCTTGATAGAGATGTTCTTGGACTTTTGACACTAAACGGTTGATAATGCTGGAGTGATTCATTATTTTGTAGGACATTCCCAGCTAAAGTTGGTGAACGGCTAGGATAAGGTACCTTGTAATTTAAATTATTAATTTGCCCTATCTGTGCCATTTCATCGGCAAGAGTGTTGACTTCTACACTTTTTTTTTCTACCACTACATATTCTTTCTCTAGAATTAAATCCGAATTTGAGTTATTAATAATATCGTTTTTACTATTTCTTAATTTATTATTCCTTAACGATTTATAATTTTTTGATTTCTGCATCATTCTAGCACTCTGGCTATTCATTTCTGAATTCGAATTGTCATTAATGTTGGTAGTAATAGTATTTGTATTGGGAATTAATTCATTAGTTGTTTGCTTTGTACTATGCTGTTTATAATTACTATTGCTCCTATTAATATCACTTTTTTCATTATTATCATTAGACTTGTTATTAACTTTATCATTATTATAATTGTGATTAGTATTATTATTATCATTGTTTTCGTTATCATTATTGTTGTAATTAGTGGTAGAATTATCATTAGTTTTATCATTTTCGTTTTCATTAACCGTAGGTAAGATGTTCGAAAAAATTGTAATATTATTTATTCTATCATTTGTGGAAAGATTTGAAATTATCATATTATCTGTATCATCTTTTTTCTTTTCAGAAGGTAAGTATTCTGAAATAAACATATTTGATTCTAAAACACTCTTTGATTTTAATTCTAATTCAGAATAAACTTCATTAGCAACTTCGTATTTTGATAAATCTTCAATCACTAATTTATTATCAAAAAATTCTTGGAAACCTATTCTTTTATTTGGATCGAAAGTTAATAAAGCATTGATTAAGTCTTTTAAATCATCTTCGATTTCACAATCATTGGAATATGAAATAGTATTATTAGCCTTTTTAATCTTTTTGTATAGTTCTAAATGGTTAGAAGCTTTAAAAGGTGGTTTGCCATAACACATTTCATATAGTACTGTACCAACAGACCATAAATCTGCCTTTGCATTATATTTTTGATAATTCAATATTTCAGGTGCCATATATAATGGTGAACCACAAAGTGTTTCTGCCATTGAAGTATTTGGCAAGAACCTTGCAAATCCAAAATCTGCAATTTTCAATATGGGTAAACTTGAAATTCCTACATAACCTAAATCATGGAATGATTTTGAATCATGGTAATCAACAAAAGGTGTAGCTAATAATAAATTTTGGGGTTTAATATCTCTATGAACCAAATTTTTTGACCTTAGAAATTTTAAAGATGACGATAATTGTTGTAAATAATTTAAAATGAATGCACGATGTAAACCATTATGATTTTTTGATGGTGGTGGGAATCTTTTGAAAACTGATTTTAACAAAGGATGATTTTCCATTATTTCTTGTCTTTTTTTAATTAGAAATGTTAAATCGCCCAGAGCACAGTATTCCATTATTAAATAAAAATCAGTTGAAGTTCTTTCACATTCGATTAATCTTACAATATGAGGATGTTTAATTTTTTTCAAAATTGCAATTTCAACTTCTAAGTTTTCTAATAATTTCTTATTTTTCAATTTTGATCTAGGTACTGCTTTTACAGCAATTTGGTTCCTTGTAGTATATTTTCTTTTATCATCATTAACCTCGACATCCTCGTTATTAGTATCGTTACCATTATTATCATTGTCATCTATAATATAACCTTTCAGCACTGTGGCAAAGGAACCTTTCCCAATTTCTTTCTCTATAACGTATTTCCCTGAAATAATCATTTGAGTTTAAGGGACAATACTAATATAATTATATCTGTTTATTATATGTATGATTTTGTAATGGATTTTTACTATTATAATCTTTGATTTTTGATCTATTCTCTCTAATTAAATGTAAAACTTTTTAAAGCCTAAATTCTGTGATACCGTTCTATATTTGTAATATCAGAATTTCTTCTCTTGTATTACTAATACGATGTGGTATTACTACTTTAATTAAATTGACCTATTGTAAATTCTTTTCTTTGTTTGTTTGTTTGTTTGTTTGTTTTTCGTTTTAGTTTTATCTGCAATATAACCCTTTAAGTATTGAATGCTAAAGAAAGTACAATACTTCAAAGTAAAAATAAAAAATAAATCAGTAAATATAATAAATTACAATACTCTTGTTGTGATCGATAAAGTTCAAACAGTGATGTATATCTTATATGTGTGTGCGGAATGGGGAGTTATTTGCTTAGTTTAAAGTATGTATATTTTTTATTTCTCGTTCTCTTTTCTCTTGAATGATTTAAACTGAGATGCCTTTACCCACTTTCAAGTGAGTATATGCCCCTCTCTTTGTGTTGTTGTAGTGGTTGATCTAGTTGCAGTTGCTAGATGATCTGTTTTATGGAAGATGTCAACAAATATACATACATATGTATGTATGTATGTGTGTATGTATGTATTTATGTATGCGGACGTGGGTGTTGCTGTAGGTCTATGGATGTATTTTGATAATCAGAGCAACCTATTCTGTGCTTAATAATAAAATATACAGTGATTAGCTGTTATAATTATTTTCTGTTTTATTTTATTCCTATACAAAATTAGACCACATTTATATATAAATATAAATGTCTAGCTTTGATTATTAATTATTTTTGTTTGTAATCAATCTCTTGATTTATATATATATTTTTATTTTTCACTTTTATATTGAACTATGGCAATAGAAAAGTACTTTATTGTGTAATCACACAGTAGTAGTTGGGGTTGCAACAGTTGTTGTGGTTGTTACTCTTACTCTTACAGATGGTATTAGTCAGAATACCAGATGCAATAAAGTATGATCTGACGGTGACTATACGATATGACCTATTTATCTTTAATCTGCTTATATATATATATATATATAGTAATAATAGTAATAAACAGTAATGGTATACAAATATAAATAGATATAATACGATCTTATTGAAAGTATCAAGTTTGTTCTGTCTCCTTACTTGCTTGTTTGTTTCTTAGTAATGTATGTTTAGTATATGCACATATGCATGTACCGAATCGTTGATGATATTAAACCAGTAACGGTGATAATAAGAACAAGAGCAAGAACAGGGAGGGATAAGGATACGGATAAAGATAAAGATAAAGATAAAGATTAGAAATCAAACATCAAGCAGGCTAATGAAGTAGAGAAAGGAGGGAAAAAAATTAAAAGTTTCCTTTCCTCACATCTCCCTATTTATATAAATTACAAGAGGGACTGGACTGGACTGGACTGGATTGGATTGGACTGGGAGGCGGGGAATCAAAGGAAGATGGGGTTCATTATTATACTATAAGACAGCTAGACTAGAAATGCCAAAAATCAAGAAGTTATCAAACATACAAACAAGCGAATAAACAGTCATCTGGTTGCTGACATGATAACCTTGGTTTCCCATCCCATCGCATTAGGTTGAATTAGCCGATTTGTTTCCCCTCTTGTAAGAAAGTCTGGCCTGGGTAATCTATTAACAGGTTAACCTGGTTAGATAAACTTGATAAACCTCATATTCTTTTGATTGGAAGAAATAGCACTAAATTTAGTAATGACCGGGTGTCTATATATACGGATGTCGCGCCATTTGTTGCATGCAAGTTAGTTGCCGCCAAACAGAAAAACTACTTCTTTCTAATTCCAAAAGTCATTCGGTGTAAGGAACAGTATGGTGTGACACAGCGTTGCATGGCATATATATACTTCAACACAACACAGGATAGGATAGGATAGAACAGAACAGCCTCACTCAAGGGAGCATGACCTGACTTGACATGGTATGAATACTCATAATAAAGGACCCTTAATGAAGTTGTTTAGTTTCGAACCCTCAAAAGAGTCATACTTTGATCAGTTTTTGTTGCCCCATTTGTGTTAGTTACTGTCGGATGCGACAAAGAACGGACAGGCAGGCACACTCGTTGGGAAAGGGTCCTTGCCTCTCATACAAACTCGAACGTATGTGCGCACGGGTTTGTTAATTTTCTGCTGCAAAAGCGCTAATGGTGGCGGTGTGTGGGTTGGGGTCCGCAGACAGACGGCGTGTACGTTTCCAAATCGAAGAAAAAGGACGTGGGGAAGGGGAAGGGGAAGGAAGCAACTATGTGCCATTGAACGACATGGTACTGTGGCGAGGACAAATATACACACAAACATACACACACAGCAATACAAATTTTAACACCAGGGCGTGGCTCAGCGGCTAAATAGAATAGGATGTATACGAGGGCAGAATGGAATGGGAATGTTCTTTGAACCACTTTCATATTGTTCTTAAATACACCAATATAACTACAAATGGAGATATATAGATAGATATATGTATGTATATGTATATATGTCTGTCGTACACCAAAATAACAGATGTCTATTGCATGTAATAGTTTGGATACATTTGTTGCTGTCCAAATTGCTGTTGCTGAGCAAACTGTTGTTGTTGAGCAAACTGTTGTTGCTGCTGCTGCTGTTGTTGTTGTTGTTGTTGTTGTTGTTGTTGTTGTTGTTGTTGTTGTGCAAGCTGCTGTTGTTGTTGCATCTGAAGTATTTGTTGATACTGCGGATGATCTTCCTTGAGTTCAACCGGACTAGTATATAAATCTGGCCTATTGTATAGTCCCATTATAGCATTCTTGTCGACCAACGGTTGCTGTGGCTGCATCTGCTGGCCCATGTAAGCTTGTTGCATCGCAGCCTGTTGCATCGCAGCTTGTTGCATCGCAGCCTGCTGTTGCAGCTGCTGTTGTTGTGCTAATAGTTGAGCTTCTTGTACTTGTGCTTGTGGTTGTCCTTGTCCTTGTCCTTGTCCCATCGCCATCATATATTGTTGTTGGTCAACGTATATCACACCAGTGGCGGGATCGATGTATTGTTGGACAGTACCATCAAATACTGCAGGTGTCGCCTGAGTCGAAATGCTTGTAGCACCAGTAAAAGCAGCAGTCATAAAATCATCGCCACCATCAAAAACAGCAGCCTTTGGCCCGCTAGTTCCTGTAGGTCTTCTTGGTAATGATGGAACAGGAGCTTTTGTATTTGTTTTTGCAATATTATTGCTATTGCTATAGCTATTACTACTACCATTATTGTTTTTGTCTAAAATCGTAATTGCTCTGCTGATATCACCATTCGCCAAAGACATGGCCTCTGCATTGTTGTCAATATCGTTAAATCCCATTTCTCTTAACCTATTTAATTCCCTTGAGTATCTGCTCAATTCGAAATCCCTTGCTTTTCTTCCTGTTAATTTTGAAGGTTCCCCGCCATATTGATAATCTCCACTGTCGTAACCACCATCCCTACTATTGTGACTTCTTCTTAAACCTAGACTTCCACTTCTAGCTCTTCTGTCTCTACCACCGCTGCTTCTACTTCTTCCATACCCTCTATCTCTATCTCTATCTCTATCTCTATCTCTATCTCTATCTCTATCTCTTGAGTCGAATCTGTCAATGTCACGTCCTGTATCATAATCATCGATGGAGCCGAAATCTTCAGGACGAATCTCGTCGTATTTGAAACTCCCTATGATATATTTATCTCTAATAAATTCTTCAACTTTCGATTTATCATCATCCCCATCGAATGGGAAGGGGGTTCTTTTCGGGTTCCAAAAATGTTGATTACCTTTATTACCACCACTTCTCGACAAGGTATCCAAATCTCTTGAAGTCCATCTATCTATTGAAACTGATTTTATACTAGAGAAAGCCATATCATCTCTATTGCCTAGAATTTTTCTATGAACAGAAGCACATCTACCACAAAGAAATATCCCTAAATTGACTGAACACCAAGTTGGATGAGTGCTACCACATTCACCACATTTGTTATTATTTTCAGGTAGATTGATAATTTCAGTTAACTCAATCTGAGTACTACTTGGACCAGAAGAGTGTTTACCCATAGTGTTTTAAATTTTTGTTTCTAATTTAGCTTAGGTTAGGATAGGATAGTTCAATTCAGCGTTGTTCCTTTATTATGTTTTTTTATTTCAGGTTGAGTTGAATTATTTTAAAAATGAAAAGTCGCTTTGATCTGTCTATTTGATGGTAGGTCAAACACTGTTAGTTTCTCCTTTGTGTGATAAATCTTGAATTTTTCAGTTGTGTGAGACTCAGATTGTCCAGAGAGAGAGAGAAATTTTTCTTAATATTAATATTAGTATCACTTTCAATTTTATTAAAATTGTTATATTATAATTCAGAATTTAAAGAAGTTCATATGAATTAATAACCTTTCCTTTTCCTTTTCCTTTTCCTTGTGAAAACGAAATGAAGTGGAACGGGAGAAAATGACCAGGAGAAGAGAGCCCAGAGGGGTATATGTGATCTTGAGCGTGGGAGAGTGAGAGTGAGAGAGTGAGAGCTAGTTTCTTAATTAACGGCCACGAGAAACAGCACAGCACAGCATTCGAAATCGAAATCAAAATCAAAATCAAAATCAAAATCAAAAACTCAATTTCGAATTCGAAATTCGTAATGAGGAACGAACGGCCAGTTCAATTTCTTGATGCCCCCAATATCGATCGATGTTGACTAGCAATGTCACAAGACCACACAGCTCCCTACAAAAGGGCCATCCATACCTGGAAAGACGCAACCCAAAGAAAAAATAGAACCGTGCTGTTTTTCTTTTTCTTTTTCTTTTTCTTTTGCTTTTGCTTTTGCTTTTCGTCACCTCGATTTCCGATGGATGGGGGGGACGGGACGGTAGCGGTAGTTCTGACTCATTGCACACGGCAGTCTGACACTCTGACACTTTGACACAGCTTTTCTATATGTGTCTGTATTTGTATCTGTATCTGTATCTGTATCTGTATCTGTTGCAACATCTCCACCTACATTGAAAGTGCCGTCAGACACAGAGAGACAGCCAATCTCATCTCGAATGATAAGCAGTTGCAGTTGCAGTTGGAGTAATCCCAAATCTCTAATCTAATCTAATCTAATCTAATATATGGTGAACTATGCTGGACTGGCCCTTGCTTTAGTTGGAGTAAAAAATGGGGTAAACCTTGTGGTTTCTCCATCTACACACACTCTCTTCTGTTTGTCGTAGTTTGTGACAACGATCTTGTAGATTGTTGTTGTTGGAGGTATCTTATGGTATTGTTATTGATTGTTACTATACCCTCTCTGTTTTTTAACATTTAGTTCATTCAGAGCCATATTTAAACAAATGGTAAAATAAAGAACATTCGTTTTGTCATTCCTTTATTATTTCTCTTATTGCTATTATCTCTCTCTATATGTATCTGTATTTCTGTATTCCCAATTCAACAATACTAAAAACTCACACACACACACACATTTATTATGGTATGTCTCAGCTGCTTATGAACTCGTCACCCATCGTGATATACTACTTTAACAATAATATACTAACCACTCATCGGCAAGTCCCTTATACACATTCACATTCTCATTCACTCTTTTATAGTTATAGTTATAGTTATATTTATATTTATAACCGTATATTTGATATTCATACTTTTTATCTTCAGACCCTTCACATTAGTACCCTTTTATTGTTTTCTTGGGGAAGCGCCAAAGCGGACTGGAAAATTAAAAAAAAATATACACATATAAATATTTATAACTATAAATTGAATGTATCTGAATGTCTATAACTAATGGGGTCACCTTGCTGGACCAAACATTTTGTTGTTTACAATTAGCCGCCAAAGAGACAAGGTGTTTCACTAGAAGACAAAAAAAAGAATATCTTGAAATTCTTTCAAGATGACTACTCCTACTATAACATGAAGGAATTGGAGAAAATAATTCCAAAAAAATGTGCTGGTGTCTCTCCAATGATTGTAAAAGATCTAACTCAGCAGATGATCGATGAAGATGGTGTTATTTCTGTAGAAAAATGTGGCAGTACTAATATTTATTGGTGCTTCAAGAACCAAATAGTCAGAAAAATGTTCGATTCCTGTAATAAAATACAGTCTGATATCGACTCTAAATCGAACTCCATTAAAGATATAGAATCCCAATTGAAGCAAACCTTAGCAAATGATAGATCTCCCACTTTTATCGCAAATGGAAAATCTTACAATAGAGTCGAACAATTATCAAATAAACGACAGTTGGATGAAGAATTGAAAATTTTACAAGAAAAATATAAAAATCTATCAAATGTCAAATGGGATAAATTTACTTACCAAGAAAGAAAAACCGAGTTGGTTAAACAAAATAATAAGTTAAATTTAATTACTGACAATATCGAATTGTTAATATCATATTTAAATAAAAAATACTTCATTGATCCACAACAAATAAGAAGTGAATACGAAATCCCACAAGAATTCATGGAATTCACAAATGAAATATCTTCCCTCTAACCAACTCATTATAGCATTTGTCTAAACTAATTAATAAAATAGAAATTTAAAATATTTTGATAAACATCCTACATTTCTCATCCCTATAGAATCTTTTTCCTCCCTCCCTCCCCTTCTCCCCATTTACAAGAAGACTTCACAAACAAAAATTAAACACAATCATATAATCAATGCTATCAATACATTTTCACTCCTCCAAATAAATATATTCACTTTTGCTCTTTCAATTATAATGGCGCCATTTGATAGATTAGTAGTTTTGGTCACCATTTAACGAACGATACTTATTCAAGTTCTTTTAACGACCGATACTGATTGTTGTGCAGTAGTAAGATTAGAAGCGAGATAAAGATACTAAAAAAAAAAAGCTAATGCTTTAGATCATAGTGTTTATCAAATAAATTTATAGAAGTAAACCAAGTGTGAACAATGTCATCAAAAAAGGAATCAATTCTATTCATAGCTACTCCCAATGAGTCTTCTTCTATTTTAAAATCTCCTGAATTTTCTTCGAAGTTTAATATCATCAATTACACTTTAAACACTATCGACAATTTTCTGGAATTCCTAAAGAATCATAATGGTGATAATATAGTTGCCATTTACGGTGGCTATCCAGCATTTTCACCAATTGGAGGGTTGACTAGATCACTTTTAGAACATCCACACTTTCCAAAACATACATTGAAATGTATCGTGTTATGTTCTCGTGGCTATAATGGTATTGATTTAGAAGCATTGAAAGATCATGGTATCAAATTGTTCAATTATCAAGATGATGAAATAGATGAAAATACCATTGTAAAGGATTTCAAGAAAGGATTAGTAGGTAACGATGTCGCTGACTGTGTTATGTGGCACCTATTAGAGGGTTTCAGAAAATTCTCGTATCAACAAAGAGTGACTAGAGAATCCAAGGATACTCTAACCGCTAGAAGTAACACTTGTGGGAAGCCAGGTTACGCATTTGGTCATGAGTTAGGACAAATGATAAATAGAAATAGCACTTTATATACTGAATCACCAAGAGGTAAGAAATGTTTGATCCTTGGTTTAGGTTCAATTGGGAAACAAATTGCGTACAAGATTGATCATGGGTTAGGAATGGAAGTTCACTATTCCAAGAGAACTGAGGATATAGAGATTACACAAATGTATCCAAACTGGACTTATCATCCCTTCAACGACACATTATTGGAAAAATTAGATATGTTCCATTCCATTGTCATTTCATTACCAGGCACACCAGAAACTCATCATTTGATTAATGAGAAATTCTTATCACACTGTAAAGCTGGCGAACTAATTCTGGTCAACATAGGTAGAGGTAATATCCTTGAACTGAGTGCTGTAAAGAATGCTATTAACGAAGGGATTATTAGACATTTAGGTGTTGATGTTTTCTACAATGAACCTACTATCGATAATGATATTTTAATTGACGATCGCTTGACCACCATTACTCCACATATAGGTAGTAGTACCAAAGATGTATTTTCTCAAAGCTGTGATAATGCCCTTTCAAACATCTTTAATATTTCATTAGACCAAAATTTCACGTCATATTCTCGCATTGTGTAGTTCCAGTCAATAAATTTGCCAATCTGCCAATTTACCAATTAACTAATATCAATAATAAACCAGATTCATATATTAAGATATATAACCAACTACCTACTAGTTAAATAGAATAAATAAATGTCATTTAAGTTATTATGTCAACGTTTTTATACTAGTACCATGGTTACAATAACTAATCAATTCATAATGGCTTTATTACTATGACACTGGATCTAATATCTTCTTTTTTTTCCAGCTTTGGCAACGGCTAAGCGCAGCATCTCATCTCATGAAGAATGGAATAGTTGGGATTTGAAAATATCAAAAATTAGTTGCAATCTACATGAGTCATGAATAATAAAGACCAATGGTCGAGATTCGAAAGGCATTTAATGCCATATCTAGTTAACAGAAACAACTATGGACACAGTTTTATACATTAAGGTGAAAGAAAGTTGCTAAGATCTAGCGAATTGAGTACTGAGCGATTGACTAAGTATATCGACTTACATAATTTAGAAATAACAAAGAAACTAAACGGATCAATAGAAGGTATCTAGGTAATGGAACAGTTTGAGAAATCTATGGGGATAGAATCATCCTCAGAAGCCAATGGGTTTATATCCTTGGAAAAAAAAGTGGAAACTGAAGTACAAGAAGTAACTATTGAACAATCAGCTACTGCTAGCCCAAATGAAAATGATGATGGATTTACTAATAGCAGATTCTTCAAAACTATAACCAAACTATCGAATAAGTTAGATTCTTTAGGTGTCGAATCTAATGGTATCGATAGAGTTTCGCCTGATGAAAGAGGTAGTCGTGGAAGACAACTTTTACATGTTTCTGGTTTATGGTTAAGTGCCACAGGTGGGTTATCTTCAATGTCAACATTCCTACTAGGTCCACTACTTTTTGAATTGACATTAAAGCAGTCATTGATATCTGGTTTGATTTCAATGTTTATAGGTTGCTTAGTAGCTGCGTATTGTTCGATTATGGGTCCACAATCTGGATGTAGACAGATGGTTACAGCTAGATTTTTATTTGGATGGTGGTTTGTGAAATTTGTTGCATTAGCTGCAATTACAGGTGTCATGGGTTGGTCTGTTGTCAATTCAGTTGTTGGAGGTGAAATGTTAGCATCTATTTCAAATGATAAAGTTCCATTATGGATCGGCGTCGTCATAGTTACAATATGTTCATTTTTAGTTGCGACATTTGGTATTAAACAAGTTTTAAAGGTTGAAACATATTTTGCAGTACCTGTTCTTACATGCTTCTTACTATTATATATCAGTGCCAGTGATAAGTTCTATATGTTAAATGATATCGACAACAGTGAGGTTGATCGTAGTACAATCAAAGGTAATTGGTTAAGTTTCTTTTCATTATGTTATTCAGTTACTTCTACATGGGGGTCGATTGCTGCAGATTATTATATTCTATTCCCAGAAGATGCTCCTAATTATCAAGTATTTTTACTTACATTCCTTGGTATATTTTTGCCTACTTTATTTGTGAGTGTATTAGGTATGCTGTTAGCTACTGTTGCTGCTACATACAAACCATGGCACGATATGTATGATAAATATGGAATGGGTGGATTATTACATGCTGGATTTGAGAGATGGAATGGATTTGGTAAATTTTGTGTTGTTGTTTTAATTTTGAGTTTAATTTCTAATAATATTGTGAATACTTATTCAGCTGCATTTTCTATTCAATTATCGAGCGTTCACTTGGCACGCATTCCACGTTGGATTTGGTGTATTTGCTGTACTGTTGTTTATTTAGTATGCGCGTTAGTTGGTCGTAACCATTTCAGTACGATTTTGAGTAATTTCTTACCAATGATCGGTTATTGGATTTCAATGTATTTTATCATATTATTCGAAGAGAATGAAATATTCAGAAGACACTATTTAAAATTGTACACTAAAGAATTCCCAAATGAAGATAGTACAAAAGTAGAAGATAGAGAGACAAGGGATACGCTATCATTGACTGGAGATTCAGTCATTGGAGGCGCTAAAGAAGAGAGTTCACAACATGCATACACTAGTATCCATGAATTGAAAAGAAGACACAGAAGTACTAGACACCGATACAATTGGGCAGCATGGGATGATAATGAAGTACTGACCCACGGTTATGCTGCGACAGCTGCATTTTTAATAGGTGTAGCAGGGGTTGTCATTGGTATGGCGCAAACGTATTGGATTGGACCTATTGCAAGAAAGATAGGGGAATTCGGAGGAGATTTAGGGATGTGGCTCAGTATGGGATTCTCTGGATTGGCGTATCCGCCTTTACGTTATTGGGAGTTACGTAGGTATGGTCGTTAATAGCTAAACAACAAGGCATACCTATACTCAAGTACGCATACAGATACAGATATAGATATAGAAATAGAAATAGAAATACATGTACATATGGATATCCATAGATACCGCAATATCGTTAGAAACGGCAGGTATAAAGAGACAATTTAACCGCCAAGGTATGTACGTGCATCATGATATATAATCGATTCGACGACTCTACAAAATAGGGAACTCCGGGTAACACCAACCGGAATGGAGTACGAGCAAATTTAATGCCAAAATAAAAAATAAAGACATACTTGAAAAAAACTGCACATCACTCCACACGTACATAACCATCACGCTCTCTCTCTCTCTCTCCCTCTCTCCCCCCTCCCCACTCTGTCTCCCGTCCCCCCGATATCCGAGACCGATAGCTGTAGACCTCTAACCTTCTCTGTATCTTCTCGTCCCACCCCCACGGTTTCCACCAATAGGAAGCAGTAAACATCTGAAATATTCAATGGAATTATCGTGTCTAAAACCACCTACCTATACCAAAACAGAACAAAACAACAGCAGCTGAACACATTGTCCGGTGCCAAAATTGCCTACTTACCAGTTTCTTCATCACACTACATACCATACATAACATAGCATAGCATAGCATAACATAACATAACAGCCAATTCAATCTATCTAACTCTAACTACTTAGCGTCTATTACTATTACTATTACTATTACTATTACTATTACTTCATATCGTTACTATTATTGTCTCTCTCTCTCTTTCGTTCTCTCTTTCGACTTGTTCTCGTTCTTCTCGTCCCAGCCAGCTAATAGCAATTAGCCAAATAGCATTCAATCTAATTTTTGTAATTGTAAATTTTCAGTTCTGTTTTAATACTAAGCTAATAATGAAGGAGTTGGTTTAGATTATTGGTCAAGTTTTAGTAGTGAATTGAGCAACAATTTTTCAAGGTTTTAACTCATATCTGTATTCACTAATATACACATACCCATATATATATATATAGACACATTACTTGTTTAACGTTGGCATTTAACTTGGTACTGGATTGAAACTTCACCTTTTGTTCTTGTTCTTGCTCTTGTTTTTGGTTTTGTTCCTCCACTTCTTTTAGTTCTTGATGCCCCACCCTCTCTTTGTTAAATTAAAAACTAACCCGGTAAAAAAACCTGCTACGTCTAATACGCCAGTTAATCAAAAGTAATATCAATTACCATCCATATTCCCAATCCCCCACCCCTAAACGAATCTAGAAAGGTATCCCTCCCCCCCCGTGTAGAACTTTTAAACCATTTCAGAACTTCTTCCACTTCAAAATCTTGTTCAAAAAAAGCGGCCAAACTTTAAAACGCCAAAA